AGGTATCAAGTGTATTTTCTCAAATATTTGAGGTTATTCCCACTCATCTATGAGCTCCAGGCCAACTGATGACCCCGTTTACCAATTTTACATACTGTCATGTGATCCACGTGTGTGTTACATAATGTTCTGTCTCCTGAGGTGCCGACTTCGGAAGGTCATGGTCTATGTTGTAAGTACATATGTACCTATTGACCTTCAAGAGTCAAATCCACAATGACAGCTCGATGATCTGAGCACAAAACACCATCATCGAACCGATTCCCCAGCACTGCGTATCCACTGACTGCCAACCCCTGGCCTTGAGTAGCGGGTTTCACGAGAACATAGTCAATACGGGAGGCTGGCTCATCCTCGTAACCAAACCCGGTCCAAGTGATGTGGTTACCATATCGTCTCGAGCTTTCAACTTCCTTATATGCATCAAGCAAGCTTTTTGTCACTTCTTGGTAAGCTTCCTGGTTCTCTTCGCTGTTGAAATCGCCAGTCAAGAAAGTGCCCGAGATGAGCTTTGCGAATTTGTTTTGGCTGTACTCAGAAATCTTCCCAAGAATGATCCGTGCAGCCTCGAGACGAGATTGAGAACCCTGGTCGTCAAGATGGGTGTTCATGGCAAGGACCGTATTCTGAGTAGCTCGATGAGTGAAGACACCAATGGTGACAATGCGGATGGAGGCTGCATCCCAACTCTTAGACGGGGTTTCAGGTGTTTCAGATAGCCACACCGTTTCCCAGTGTATTAACTCCCAAACTGCTGGTCTGTAGATAATAGGAGAGTATTCCCCAGCCTCATGGCCATCATCTCTACCAACGCCGATATACTCCCACTCTGGTGCTTCGGGCTTTGCATCCTGATTCAATCCACCCAGAATATCACCAAGTTGATTGTGAAGAACTTCTTGTAGACAGACGAAGGTCTCGGCACAATGACGAGTCTCGTATTCAAATTCATTTAACAGCAATTGTTTGCGTTCAGCCCAGGGCTTTTCGCCTTTGAAGGGGGATGAGGTTGCATATCGGATATTGTGTGTCAAAACCCGGATAGGAAACTTGGTAGAGCCCATATTGTAGAATACAGAAAGCTAGAGGATCAGACTCCCAACAATGGTGCAGTACGTCTTTTGGATATGTAGCTATGTCGTGGGTTTATAACTGAGGGGAACGTTGCAATGCCTCAGGCTACTACTGTATGCGAGACGGGCCCACTTTCAGTAACGTTCGGGAGGTTATGTACATGGTACTTTGATGTAGAGTATCTTACGGGATACATCGTATGCCTATACACATGGAAAAAGTCGTTATGTAACCATGCTTTTTACAGGTCTACGGGTGGCGGCCAGGGGTTCATCCTTTCCTAACCTTGTAAAAAAAAAAGAAAAAGGTCTTGGAAATAAGAATCGCAGCAATCAATAAAGACGTCAAAAATATGAAGTCTATTATATCATCTCGAGTGAACGGGATGTTCATGTTCCATCACCGCCACTGGGCGTTTGCTATATAAGAGAATAAGCATCTGTCATTCTACTGATCTAGGCTGGGTTGATATCTTAGTATATGTATGAGCTTGTTTGACATAGAGGGATCAATATGTTGACTATTATCCATACATCTACATAGTGGCTTCTTTGATTGTACTGGACTCGAGGTCTATAGGGGATGATAGGGTGCTTTACGCCAAATCTCTGATGATCCTCAAATTGTAGCAATCAGAGCTTTTAAAGCATGACTAGCCCGATTACAGCGATGTTCTTCCCATGCACGAGAGGGGAAACACCAGTCAGGTGAGAAGTTACGAGGGATTGGAGTAGACTGGAGGTCTGAGCGATCCTGGGTTGTGGCGGAATCCGGGGTATCAGAGGAGATATCCACGGTCTATATTACGAAAGAAACACCAAGTCTAGCCAGGCAGATAGTAAGTACGTATTTTCTTAACTCGATCAAAGGCGTAGCTCAGTATGAAGTCAAGGGAAAGATTGCCATGACGTCTTCGGCAAAGCCCTAGGCAGGCCTGAAACGTCAGGCGACCACCCCCAACCCCACCAACGCTAAACGCCCTCTCGACGCTCTGCACACGACTCGATCTCGGTCCATTCCTCTCCTCTAGCTTCACACGGATTTACAATCCGAACACTTTTTTTGAAACCACTTGCATTTATTTGTTAATTACAGCTCTACGAGCTCAATTCATTTCACAATGGCGGAAGTTAAAGCACCCGAGGTTGGTATGTAAACTTCATGGAAAGCTCTGACGTTTGTGGGCACTGAGCCCAATATGGGCTATGAGCTCGCTGGCACTCACAACAACAAAGAAACATGTTCGATTCAAGAAGCATGACTAATTATGCGATTATTTCTAGATTACACCCTCAACAACCCCGATACCTTGACCAAGTACAAGACTGCTGCGCAAATTTCTCACAACGTCCTTGACGCTGTCCTCGGTATGTTGCGCAAGTGCTTCTGCTGTCTGTCTTTGTGATCTAACATCTACATAGCTCTTTGCGTGGAGGGAGAGAAGATCGTCGAGATCTGCCAGAAGGGTGACAAGCTCCTCGACGAGGAAATTACCAAGGTTTACAAGGGCAAGAAGATCGCCAAGGGTTGGTCTACCCCCTCCTCAATCTCACTAGTGGTAGAAGAATCACATAAACTGATTGTGACGTGCAATTGAAGGTATCTCTCACCCCACGACTGTCTCCCCTAGCTCCTATGTGACTCCCTACACTCCTCTGCTGTCCGATGCCGCCGAGGCCGAGATTGTTCTGAAGGCCGGCGAGCTCGTCAAGGTCCAGCTTGGTGCTCAGATCGATGGATTCGGAACCATTGTTTGCGACATGGTCGTTGTTCCCAAGAAGGATGCCCCCAAGGAGGCTGTTACCGGCCGCGAGGCTGATCTCATTCTCGCTACCCACTACGCCAACGAGGTCCTTTTGCGCCTCATGGTTCCCCAGGGTCTTTTGGCTCAGGGTACTGATGAGGAGAAGAAGAAGGCCGCGGCCAAGAAGGCCCCTACTCAGGCCTACATGTCTTCCCTGCTCGAGAAGATCGCCAAGACCTACGACTGCAATGTCGTCGAGAATACCACCAGCTGGATGTTCGGCCGCAACGAGATTGAGGGCGAGAAGAAGATCATTCTCTCCCCCGGTAACGGTGTCCGCGGTGACGGTGTCCCCGAGGTCGGCGAAGTTTGGGGTGTTGAGGTTGGCCTCAGTCTGGGATCCGGCAAGGTCAAGAACCTCGACCACCGTGCTACCCTTCACCGCCGTACTACCACCACTTACGGCCTGAAGCGTCCCAGCTCCCGTCAGACTCTGTCTGAGGTTGTCAAGAAGTTCGGTACTTTCCCCTTCAGCTTGCGCCAGCTTGATGATGAGAAGGCCGCCAAGGTCGGTGTTGTTGAGTGTGTTCGTGGCGGTGTCCTGCGCCAGTACGAGCCCGCCGGCGAGACTGACGGTTCCCCCGTCTCTCGTCTGCTGACCACCGTTGGTAAGTACTGTTAATTTTGTGGATATGATTTGGACCCTTTAGCTAACTCCACTCCTAGCCATCACCAAGAATGGTCTCACCAAGCTCGCTGCTCCCAAGGCCGTCGATCTCGAGCAGGTCAAGTCTGACAAGAAGATCGAGGACGCTGAGATTCTCGAGATTCTCGAGCAGCCCCTTGCCCGCTCTACCGGTAACAAGAAGAACAAGAGCAAGAAGAAGGCCACCAAGGCCACCGCTGGTGATGAGTAAATATGAGTCAATGCTCTGAACAATCTTCTCCTGGTCATCATTTTCATGCAATACACTCTGATATAGTGTAGGACTTATTGTCCAATCTGAATGCAAAACCGATATCCAATGACGAGCCTCGCTGCAGGTCATACGAAATCTATCCAAAAACAAAAGAAGAACACTTGATCTTTCCAATGACATGCGACAGGGCTGGCAATCCCAACCCTTTTTTTTTTTGGAAACCTCGGTATATACTTTATCGACGAGCTTGGCGCCAGGAGATCTTCTTCTTGTGCTTTTCCTTGGAGGCTTGTCTATCTTGTACGTAGCAATTGGAGCAGACTCCATGGACCAAATCAAGACGTTGCCACCCTGTACTTATGTGTGCTGTAAATCTATATGTCCACTTCTATCCAGACAGTAGTAATTGTAGTTCTCTATTATTGCTTGTATGTACATTTGTCTTTGTCGGATTTCAATGTACAATTGTTGGAGGCAGGTTGTTGCTCGAGGAAAAGATCACACTAGATACATGTGCAGTTCCATCGTCGACTACTCAATAAAAGGGCGACGCTCAAAAGTCTGTAGGCGAGTCTTCTGTGGGTTTCTTTCAGGGAATGCAATATTAGGACGCCATCCTAAGTTTCGCATGTAGGTAATGTTTGTCTACTACCTAGCAATAACAGGAACTGGTCTGTCTCAACTCGGTGCAGCAATATAACCATGATCTCCGTCTCATTCCTGTCGGCTGCTGATTCCCCAGGAACACGAATAGAACCATGACGTTCAGCATATCTGCAGAACACTGCCTATGCTAGAGCCTTGGCCCTGTGAGACACGAATACTATAGTCAATCTATATCCATTTCCTAAGGTCAAGATGAAGCCTTTCTACTTCAATGGGTGCCTGAGGAATTGCCTACACGACCAGATTAGGTACAATAGAGCTAATTCCGAGCAACCATTGAAGTTTTATACACAGGCAGACCCGTATTTCTCAATGAATCAATAGATCAATATCAGAGCTATTATTCTCGTAGGCATCCTCAAAGGAGACGCCTTGGTAGCACGGTGTGTCGAGCAAGACGTGACAAGTCACCTAGACTCGTGTTTATTCAATTGTTCCCGTTTGTTCTTCGTGAAAAGAACAATAACGTTGACCCAAAAGGGAAGGTCCCCCATTCTCGCAGAGTATTTATTTCCTCCCACTTCTCTTCGTCCTCTCCCTCTTCTCTCCTCTCTTCTTCTCCACGTTCAATCCATTTCGTTACCTCACCGTTAAAAATGGATACCGTTCGAGAGACCGTGCGTCGAGTCTCGAAGCGTCTTCTTAACAAGAAGTGTAAGTGATCATCCTCCACCTACTCTAGTCCCTGGTGTCCAGTCACGTTTATGACGCGGAGGTTGCATTCCCTCTGTGCAAGCTGGAAGATTCCCCTGTGTCATGCGGCTCTGTATCTGTTGCCCTTGTCTGTATCCCCAGTCTCATGTCCCCATGGCACAATGTCCTTGCTCCTGTTGTGACCACCCCATCTACCTCTCGACTTGTACATTTTTCAGGCAAAGACGAGTGGCCTTTCTATTGCACTTCTCTCATGTCATAAATTGTCTTGTCATTGGTCTAGTCACTCCTGAGACAGGATGTGCCCTGTCATTAGGTTCACTGAGCCCTATGGTGGATGAGACAACTTACTCCCCTCTGTCTCCTCCAATTTCAGTCACTTATTTTATTGAATCCATAATACCCTTTTTCTCACTCTTATGTGAATGACATTTACTCTGCCTGTCTCACTGATCTGGTCATCGATCACTTCTGAGATGAGGGAGAATGAGATGTTGCCACATTCAGGTGAAACTGAGGATTTACCCCACACCCTTTTTTTACTCACTTCCAAGATGAGACCAAACACTGACTTTTCAAATAGCCGAAGCCGAAAAGGAGTCCAAGAAGAAGCAGGATGAAGCTGCTGCCCAGTACGTTGATCCTGACAAGTTAGGGCATGGAGCGCGTGGCACTAACCCTACCCAGACCCCTTCCGCCTGCCCCTACGGGGTCCACTCAGTCCGAACGCCGTCAGGGCTCTTCCCAACCCGCGCAACGACGGAAGCTTCAGAAGAAGCCCCCGGGCACTTCGAAGCCCCCCACCACCCCATATCGGACAATGAAACCGATCGGGGAATACCCATCGACCGCGGAGTACCGAGCTGCTGGCGTTGCTCCTCCTTCTGAACGGGCGCAACGCGTCGCGACCGTGCCGACCACCGTCTCGCTCCATGAAGCTGAGCGCATTTCCCCCGTCGGCGGGGTTGAGGACCTGACGGCCGATAATGATCATGTTGAGATCGCCGAAGAAGCGGCATTTGCCTCGAGCTCGTCTGCAGTCGAAAGCCCGGCCGATCAGGCCATTCGCGCCATTACCACCCCGGCCGCTGCGGCCACTCCTACCCTCCCAGGCGCGGACGACACCAATGAATACATCACTGTGCTGATGTCTCTGCCTTTCCGCCCCTCCGACAAATTTGATATGCCTAAACTCCGGGGTGTCATAAAGTTCGCCATCATCGACGCACTCCGGAGCAACAACGATGCGTCTGCCTTGTCTCTGCTTTACTTCTGGTTCAATGCCGTGGATGATGATTTCCGACTCTCATTAATTGCCAGCGTCTCACACCCTAACGGGGGAACCGAGCAAATGAAACTTGCCCTCCAAGCCGCCCTCAACAAGTCTGTACCAGATGCCCGCAAGTGGTATCAGAAATATGTTCGCGCTACGGCTAATGCAGCCGATCTTCCCTCCTTCAGCGGATCAAGCGTGCCACCTGCCGATTCTTTCGACGCAGAGCCCAGCTTCAAGGTCTCTGACATTTATCGTGACACAAGTGGCCCTCGGGTTGAGGAAAACTTCCTGAGCGGCAAGTCGAATACCGCTCCGCTCAAGAGGCCCAAGAAGCCATGCCGAGTCAACGAGAATGCTTACAGACGTAAGCGCAAGTGGGAGATGGATCCTGATCACGAGGAAAAGATGCGGGCTGTGCGTGCTCGTCTTCAATCTGAATCTTACTCGGAGACAGCTGTCCGGTACAGTGCAATTCGCTCTACAATCCGTCCATCAAATGACATTCAACACCCTTACAATATGAACAACATCGACACTGGTATTGATGGGGATATGGAGGCGCTCAACCGTTCGCGTTCCCTCCCTGCCCCAGGTTCTATCCTTGATATACCTCTTGTCAAAGGTCCGGAGCCCGAAGCTCCGTCTGTTTATTCACCATCCGCCTCGCTTATCGGTCGCAGGACTGGCAAGCCCGTCTCACGACGCCAGAAAGCAAAGGCCAAGGCCCCCGAGATCCCACAGCGTGCACGGTCGCTCTCTGTTGATACCACAGTCTCAAGTCTTTCATCTCTCTCAAATTCCGCTTACTCCGTCCGATTCAACGACTGGTCTGGTGGCCACGAAGCACGCCAGATGCCGAATTCCATGTAGGTGATTTCTTGGCATGACTTGGCCAGTTTCTATTTGCTAACATGACACCTTCTAGTGAACCCCCCGACAACAGTGACGATTGCCACCAATGTGGAAAAGGTGGCGATTTACTCTGCTGTGACACATGTATCAATTCCTACCACTTTGAATGCTTGGATCCTCCCTTGGATCCCAAGAATCCTCCGCAGGGAGAGTGGCATTGCCCCAAGTGCTCCATTCGCAACAGTTTCTCGACCTTGATCGCGCACTCCAAACACTACAAGAAGACCGAGTTCCAACTTCCACAGGATATTAAGGAACATTTCAAGGGAGTTGATGAAGGAATTGTCTTTGATAACGACTATGCCCGAAATTTGAAGCATCAACGCTACTACAAGTCCGCGCCCCACCTGCCGCGGCTGACTAAAGCACCCAGACAGGACGGCCCTACCATTTACGCGAATTCCATGTATCTCCGAGAATACGACAACAAGGGAGACTGCATCCGTTGCTCCAAGTGTGGTTTTACATCCCAAGGTACACGTCCCATTATTACTTGTGACTACTGTCCCTGCCGCTTCCATCTGGATTGCCTTGATCCCCCTCGCGCACATCCCCCTAACCCAAAGGTCGGGTGGATGTGTCCTAACCATGTCACTCCTGACGATATGATTGCCACCAAGGAGCTTAATGGCAGCAACGAGCGTACTCGCCGTGTGCGCCGAACCAAGAACATGGCATTCATTGACTGTGACATCATGCTTCCTGATGACCCAAATCAGAGTTTGTTTGACGAAGACTGGAGAGAAAAAAGAGCCCGCTTCCTTGCAGGCGATGTTGTCCTGAATTTCATCACTGCTGTCAAAGATGATCACCATGAACGTGAAAAGAAGTATGCCAAAGCTGTCGAACAAAAGTGCTTGGCCTTGACCAAACAAATTACCAATGAGTACCTCAACCGTACTGAAGCCGCCGGGAGCATCAACAACATCACACAAAACCGTCTTCCCGCGGATCTCACCGAAAATGTTTCTTACGCTGTTAACAACATGATCGCCGGCGCTCCTGTTTCCACTGAAGACTTTGACGCTGCCGCCGCTCTCCTGAGCATGGCTACAAGCCAGCCTGCTCCTGCCCCTGCTACTGCTACTGCTACTGCTATTGGCGAAGGTCACATCGCCGAGGCTGCCGAGCCTGTCTCGCCCGTTGCTCAGAAGCCTCTCTCCCGCATCGATGAGGAGTCCACCCTCGGTTCCTCCCACGCTGCCACCTCTCCCAAGGAGGGTGGCTCTCCGGAGTCGCACCACTCCGACTCCGAGCATCTCCCCCGGATCCCTGTGTTCAATCGCAAGCGATCCCGCGCCGATGACCAGGGATCTGGGGGAGAGCGGGCGCAAAAGCGCCAATACACCAAGTCTAAGTGAGCCCCCCCACAAGGGGGGCTCTTAATTCATTACGCGCATGGGACCCGGCGTTTTGAATTTTAATGACTTCGTGTTTATTTTTTTATTTTTTTCCATTTTCACGATCGCCGGGGAGGCGATCGTCCAATTTCTTCAATCTGTTTCTCCGGGCCACCCGGCCGCCTTTCTGTTTTCTATCTTGCTTTTTTTCACCAAAAAAAATTTGCGAGGTCGGGTGGCTCGGGGAAACGTGTACGATAGCATGGGCCAAAGGCCAAATGAATACTTGTCAACTCATTTTTCTCTTACTTGTAAATGTAATTACTCTCGGATTTTTTTTCATGAACGTAATGATATTCGTACTTTATACATAACTTAGGGAAGAATAGATCTCGGTGCTGGCCTCCGGGCCAGGCACACTTCTGAATATGATATATTCCCCCCACCTCCTGTCACATAATAACCTCAGACGACACAGCTTCATATAGGACAAGGGGGTGGGGGGAGGAAGGGACAGAGCGGAGGCGCTCAAAGGAACTTCTTGGGCATGTTGGCCCGGCGACGCTTGTAGATGACGTAGGAGATCACAAGGACTACCTGGAACGCGATGAGCAAGAAGATAAAGAAGCCCATGCGTGGGCTAGAGGCCGTAATGACTATGAAATGAGAGAAAAGCGATTAGCGAATTGAAGGAATAATTGATCTAAGCGAACGCAAGCGGACTTACCACTCAGCAGGTGACCCTGCAGGTTCTCGCTCAGGCTGAGGTGGGATGAGCGCAGTGTCTCATGAAGCTGATTGAAGCGTCCACTATAGTCCTTGCTCTGCGAAGCGACACTCTTCAGATCGCTCTGGACGGTCTGGAGCACCTGCTCGACGCGCGAGAGTCGGGAATCGAACTGGGCGAGCTGGCGGTCCTGGGCCAGGGACTTCTGGACAAGCTCTGCGTGGCGCTCATCGGCCTTCGAGGCTTGGTTCCTGATTTCCTGAAGGATGAGGTTGGTGGCCTTGCCCGCTAGCTGGATGCGACCGCTGAGGTCAGCGATCTGGGCAGCCAAGCCGCTCATTGACATTTCTGTGCCTGAATTGATGATGGGTTGAGGGGGCTGATCAGGAATTTGGTTGACAATCGGCTGCTGGGGGGCGCTGCCTTGGTTGGAAGGAATTGTCGATCCTTGGCCTGCGGCGGACTCAAGGATGAACTTGAAGATCTCGAATGAGTCTGGGTTTTCGGGAGTGGCTGCTGTGATGCCGAAAGTGTTTCCAGCGGGCAGGGTGACCTGTGAGAATAAGTATGGCTGGGGCGTGTTGTCGGCGGGATATGGTGTGCACATACCTTGTTGGTTGAGAAGCAAAGCTTGTCGTCGATGGTGACTTCAAAGATGGAGCTGGTGTGTTTGATCTTAACAATTGATGGACGGCCTAGGTTACGGTAGAAGTAGTTGCAATGGCCAAAGGCTAAGCTGTCTGGGCTGTTATGGCTTTTGTAATCGATGGTACCGTCATTAAGGAATCCACGGACACTTCCGCCCTATAGGAGATGTTAATTAATACGCTGCGACAATACGCGACAGGGCCAATACGTACATTTCCACCATGGGTATCGATTACCAGAGCAAAGCCATCGAACTGGCCGACGGTATAGATACTCGAGGTGCCAATACGGGACTGGCCGTCCTTAGTATACCACAACTGCAGGATTCCACCCGCTCGTTCTGGTCCGCTTGCTCGGAATTGGAACTCTGCTGACCATTCCGACTGAGAGACTCTATACCCATGTTATGATCTGGTGTCCAGTGTCACGGTTTGGAGCCCTTCACTTACGGACTTTGTGCCCAAGCTGATCCCCGCGTGTTTCCGGGGTACGGCGGCGTTAAGATGAGCTTGTTTGATAGCTGCATGGCTATTAGATCGGTTCGGTCACGATTGCAGCAGGCCTACTCACGACGGACGGTTCATGGCCTTCCCCTCCAATTGCCCATCCGGGAATAGAGTCCCGATTTGGGGATATCCTGATCTGAGGTCAGATAACCATAACCCAAGGACTGAATATGTGCGCTGTACTGACGTTTGAGCAGCACCAAAGCTTGAGCTATCAATGATCTGGGACGTAGCTCCTGCGGCAAGCAATGCCAGGGAAACTAATGTTCTCATCATGTTGTGTGGTTCAACGGGTGGTGAAGCTTGGTATTGATATGGATTCGTACAAGGTCCGTGGAGCAGCTATCAGCGCTTGCTATGACTTGAATCACGGTCACAATTCCGACTGCAAAGGCTGGAGACAACACTGGTGGTGATCCAACCGACAACAATGGCAATCACGCAGAGACGGGCCTCTTTTGCGATGATAGCGGCCGATGGCGAGAAATCAATGAAGTGATGGAGCTGTACACTATTGAGAATCGTGTGGCGGATTCCGACGTCTGTGAAGTCCATACGGAGAGAGCGTTTCTTTTTGACGTTGTATGAGTTGTATTGACTTATCTGTCCTTCTGCCCAGGTGTTTAGCTCCTGATTTGACCTCCGACCTCCGCATCCAGTCACGTGCGCTCAAAATAACATGCGGAGGAAGCTACTGACTCCGCCGATTTGCGCATTCTTGCGTCTTGTGTCCTCTCAGCTTTCAACATTGCTGCACCATCATGCAAAGGAGTTCCAATGGCTGAACTCTACCCTTCATTGGCACAATGCGCCATCGTTGCAGCTGCCTTCAAGGTGCTACTCTTCCCCGCATAGTGAGTCCCGCTCGTTTCGTCGCAGCAAAAGGAAAACACCGGGAAGACAGGTGGAAGAAGTTCAAACAATCATTACAGAAAAAAGCTGTGAAGGACACTCAAGAAGACTCTGGCACAGGATATCGGGCTTCCTAAATGAGCTTAGCTGACATGCTTTTCTTTGTGTTGCAGCAAATCAACCGATTTTGAGGTCCATCGCAATTGGCTCGCTATCACCCATTCGCTACCAATTCAAGAATGGTACTATGAAGTATGTTCAGTCCGATGCATGATTATTAGACAAGTGTGGTTGGTGTTGACTCGGGCTGGTTTAGAAATCCTCGGAATGGACGCTCGATTACCCACCGTTCTTCGCAGCCTTCGAATGGCTTTTGTCGCAGGGTGCTGCATACGTGGACCCTGCGATGTTGCTTGTGAGGAACCTCGGCTATGACTCCTGGCAGACTGTTTACTTCCAAAGAACAACTGTGATTTTGACAGAGTTGGTTCTTGTCTATGCGCTTAGTCGGTATGGCACTCGATCTTGTTTTTTCTTGATGCAATGGAATCCTGACTGCTGTTCGATAGATTTGTCAAGTCCGCTCCTTTGCCAAATAAGCAGGCTGCGCACGTGGCCAGCCTTTCGATCCTGCTATCCCCCGGTCTCCTCATCATTGATCATATCCACTTCCAATACAATGGCTTCATGTATGGAATCCTGGTCCTATCAATTGTTCTGGCTCGCAAGCAATCGACTTTGCTATACAGCGGTATCCTGTTCGCGGTGCTGCTATGCATGAAGCACATATACCTCTACCTCGCTCTCGCCTACTTCGTCTATCTGCTGCGCACCTATTGCCTTAGTCTCAAGTCGGTTTTCCGGCCCCGGTTCGGTAACATTTTCAAACTTGGAGTCAGTGTGGTGGGCGTTTTTGCAGTTGCCTTTGGGCCATTTGCGCAATGGGGACAATTGCTGCAGATCAAGGACAGGCTGTTTCCGTTTTCGAGAGGGCTGTGTCACGCGTACTGGGCGCCAAATATCTGGGCGATGTACTCATTCGCTGATCGAGTATTGATCTCCCGTACGTAATCTTTATATCTCCCAGCGCACACGGTATATAAGCTTATCTGACAATCTCTTCAGTTGCTCCACGGCTAGGGCTTGCCGTGAACGCTGATGCTCTGAACAGCGTCACGCGAGGACTGGTGGGGGATACCTCTTTTGCCGTCCTTCCGGAGATTACAAAAGAACACACCTTCATATTGACCTTCTTGTTCCAACTGGTATGTGTTCCCTATCTTGTGTCTTTAGCCTTCTCTCACAATTATCTAGATTCCTCTTGTCAAAGTATGGTTTAATCCAGGCTGTTGGGATACTTTTGTCGGTGCAGTCACCCTCTGCGGTTATGCATCATTCCTTTTCGGCTGGCATGTCCATGAGAAAGCCATCCTCCTGATTATCATCCCGTTCAGTCTGATCGCCCTCAAGGACCGTCGATACTTCAGCGCCTTCCGACCTCTGGCAGTTGCGGGACATGTCTCACTCTTCCCTCTCTTATTCACAGCAGCCGAGTTCCCCATCAAGACTATCTATACAGTCATGTGGTTGGTGCTGTTCCTCTTCGTCTTCGATCGAGTTGCCCCTGTTCCCGAGCGACCCCGAATCTTCCTATTCGACCGGCTTGCGCTGCTTTATTTGACCATCTCTATTCCCTTGATCATTTACTGCTCGCTGGGGCACCAACTGATATTCGGATGGGACCGGCTAGAGTTCCTACCATTGATGTTCATGAGTAGCTATTGTGCCCTCGGGGTAGTCGGAAGCTGGGTTGGGTTCATGGTGGTTTACTTTACATCTTAGATTCATCTAATTCACTGGGATCAAGAGATTATTTGAGATCTTTAGCTCTTGAATATTAACTACAAATATTTGAAGTCATTTGAGGTGACTTCAGGATCACTCGGTAAATATTTGCATTGTTTGTTTCCACGTGGATATGACCCACAGGTCACGGAGTCTATTCCCCCACTAGGCTCAATGTGGTTAGTATCCTTTCATCCATGGTTGGCCTGCAGCCAAATGCAGGTCGGATAGAAACATGGGGGAAGAATATGTTTCCATTCCAGGACGGTGCTGGCAATCTTTGTCTAAATATTTAAGTATTTTTTTATGTTCTTGATCATAATGCTCTAGCCTGGGTAACTGTTTAGTCGTGAAAACACATGTTCGCGAGACATATATATATTTCTGTACGTGGTTGACGTTATCTTCCGGTCATGCATTACATGTAAGTGCTTATATTTCTATTTAAGATTAACGATATGTTTCAGGGTCACTGATCCAAATGAATCACAAATAACACGTAGAAACAATAAAGTATATAACATATGTACATATAACGATTGTGAGCAGTGACGTACATATCACATAGCACGTTTGTTATTCATGCCTAGCCGCGCGACAATCAAATCATCGCCAAAAAAAGGCGTGATGAAACTTAGAAAAGAGGACTATTGACCTCAGTAAGGGTAGATATTGAGTACCCCTTAATGAACGGTATATATCTGGGTGGCCAATGCGCTTGTGACACCGTGGCTGAAGGTGTATCAAATCTATATGCCAAACATGGCTGTCTGCTTCAGGGTCATGAAAGCTGATATGTAGCTATGAGCCGACATAAGATCTAGCATTTGCATACAAAGCTCTTTAATAGGCACGACTTGCCCTTTAGTGGGATACTGTTATTCTCAAAAATAGGTCTCGTGTTTTAAGCATGAAATATGACGACCTCTGTAGGTAGATGACTCTCGGGTGAACAAATAAGACTTGAGCATTTGAAGCCAAAGAGAATATTGTTGAAAGGTTGGTGTTTCATGCTAAAAATACAAACAAAGCTGGTGGTCGATATGGTCCGGTTAGTTCGATTTGATTGTTCCGACCTTAGCCCGGGGAGACCGAGAATAGAAACAGAGAATTGATCTCGTTGAAGGATAGTAATAACATAGTAATTTGAAATTAACAGGATATAGATAAAATCCCCTGAATCAGACGAGTCGAATGAGGGTAAATACGGGTAGAGTTGGGGGTTAAAAAGAAGGAATAATTGATAGTCGGGAGATGACGAGGGGAGGAGGGAGAGTCGAGGGTCCCGAGGAAAGCCCAGCGTTTTTCTGCTGGGCTTTGGCTCCCGCTTGCTCCTCCTCTCCACCAATCAGCTTCCACCGCTGATTCGCGGTCCTGCAATGATCTACCGCTTCCTTTTTGTCTACCTTTCTTCTTTCCTGCTTCTTACACCTTCAAATATTCACACCTTTCCCCCCCTCCACTGATCTGATATTGTAGCAGTCCATCATCTCAGAATCACTTGGTTCACTTTATACAGGACGCGTTCTACTCCGGTAAGTCCGCATGAAACCCGACTATTCCACTGTTCGCGTGTTCTGGGTCTGCGACCAGGCCTGATCACTACAATTCTCTCCCACAACCACTACCTCTCTACACAGCAGTGCACTAGAGCAACTGGAGTATCTGCAATCTATATCGCAAACCCCGTTACCTCCGCCAATCGCATGCCTGACGCGGTCTCTACCTTCACACAATTGACAAGCTTCATCGCTAACTAAGATCGCGTTTTGTTTAGTCCGGTTCATGCTCGATTCTGCACACGGTAGCTCCCGGCCGACTGGCGCGTCCACGCTTAATATTTAAAACATCATGGTATGCAACACTTATCCGATGGAATGATTGCGGATGTGCCAAGAAGAAAGTGGTGGATGGTACGGGGACAAAGAGGCTTACGCAATTGCTTCGGCAGGTGTTATTCAAACGCAAACCAGTTCAATACCTCCCACAAACTGTCATTGAAGATGATAGTTCGGAGGTATGTATCTCTATCACCCATACTGCAGACTTTCCCACTGACCCTCTTTCTTCCTTCTAGGTCTGGGTTATCCCAGAGACCAATGAGGTTTTTACTAGCTACGAGCCTTACCTCCAGCGAATGGACTTCTACAAACAACGTCGATTCATCTGCGAGATCACCGGCCATTCGGGATTGACCTTTTTCGAGGCGCTCCGCAGTGAGGTATATTGTATCACACAGACCGAGTGATGGGCATATGCTAAGTCTTGACTAGACGGAGGAATCGCGTGAAGTCAACAACAGTTTCCCTGATGCGTTGAGAGAACCTATTCTGCGCCGAATTCAGTTCTCTACAGTCTCGAGGGTGGATAGCCTGGGTATGCCATTCCTGTCTTTTCCAGCCTGAATCAAGCTAACATCGCGATTTCTCAGTGGATGAAATCTATGAAGTGAGATAATCCCATCATTTATTAACAACTAATCTAACAAATATAGGAATTTAAATCGGACTTCTACCCAGGCGAAGCCGTCCTCATTTTGCTTGAGGATAGCAGCCGGCTTCATGGTACCATTAGAGACAAGGCAAACTTTGCAGAGCAGTTATATGCCGATGGAACCATTAAAACCCCTGCTTTTGCCAGGTATCTGGTCAAGATCTTAGATCGACAAAATGAAGAGGCCCTGCTGGACCAGGACCACATTACGCGCGACCGAAAGGCATTCACTAAATTGATGCTGCGCGGATTTATCAAAAACAACGTCACCAGAGAGTCCTGGACAGGTGCCCCCTGGTTGGTCAAACCATCTGTCGCAGAGACATACAAGATTCCGATTGAGGTACCTAAACATTTGCAGTATGGAGCGAAGGTGGCAGAGAAAAAGGCGATGAAGAAAGCGGATCAAGACGGCTTCTTTGGTTTCTTTTCTTCACAGCAGCTGCCCGAGCTGAAACCCGCAGTCAAGGGGCAGAAGTCGAAACTGTCTGCACAGGACATGGCAAAATCGCGGGAGGCGCAGTATCAGGAGTATCAGCGGTCGCTGAATGGGAACCCATCATTCCTTCTACCTTCCAATCCCTTGCGCCCTTCCAAACCGCCACTGGTTGGCGATAGGAAGCTTGCTGGACTCCCTGCAGTGGTCATCAAGAACGAGCCAAGGGCACCAACTCCGCCACCGATCAAGTACCCTATCGAAGATCTGGACCTTGCTCCAAATTTAGAACAGCAACACCGGCCAACCCTGAAATTTATGATGGTAGGCGAGTCTGAAGACGACGGCGCGGAGGACCTTCTGCCTGATGACCTAGAGCCGGAAACGGTGGGGCTGCTTCTGGAGACCTGGGACACACTTAATGTCTATTGCGAAGTATTTGAACTGGATTCTTTCACCTTTGACGATTTTATTCAAGCTATGCGGTTCTCATCAGATGAAGTGGACTGCGAGCTTTTTGTCGAAGTGCATTGTGCCGTACTTAAGAAACTTGTCAATTCATCGAACGATGATGGAGCTGTTCAAATCTCACTCCCAGATTTCCCCGCTGATGATTCTGATGAATCCGAAGAGGAGGAAGAAGAAGAAGAAGGAGAAGAAGAAGAGGGAGAAGAAGGTGAAGAAGAACCCGAGGAAGAGTCCTCAGAGCCGCAGGCGAAGCCTGAGCGAATGACCACGAGAGGAAGCCTGGCCAAGGAGGAGGCAGTCATCATCAGAGCGCAGATTAATGAAAATGAACCCGAGGTGACGAAGATCCACCGCGCCGGCGAAATGTTTGAAAATTATGGTTGGATTGATCGTCTCCGCAAGCGCGATTTCCGCAACGGTGGATGGCAGTCGGTGATAGTTGGACTTTTGCACCAGCTGTCTATCCGTCCTCGCTCGGAACAGGTCTGCAACACCATTCTTAAGCATTTGGCACCCCTCGATCGCGAGCCCACACAGCACACCGTGCAGGAGCAGTACCAAACACTCGACATCAATTTGCGTACCAAGGTGCTCCAGATGATTTGCATGTTGAGTCTGGAGACCAAGGCTATCCGAAACTATCTAGAGGAGTGTAGCAATCAGATGACGGAGTTGCGCAAGGAGAAAATTGAGTACCAAAAAGCGCGCAAAGCAGGGTAAGCCAATCGTGCACTGCTGTCATCTCAATCGCTAACATAAAGTTTCAGACTCATCGAGCTTCGTCAGCTGCACCAGGAACGCAAGGCCGTTCAACCCGAACCTGAAAAGGCTGGGAAGTCACCAACACCGGTGCCCGAATTGGACGGCTTAGATGATTCTCGACTGACTGGCCTGGAAGGGGACTCTGAAATGGTCGGGGATACAGAAGACGAGGATATCCCTCGACCACGTTCATTACGCGGAGGGGTTGATCGGGCCCTGGAGCGTAAACGGAAGCAAGAATTAGAAAAGGAGCGAAAGGAAACATTGGCGAAGCAGCCCAAGGGCTCCAAGCAATACCAGCGAGTCCTGAAGAAGATCGACGAGCAGAAGGCCAAGATCGAGAAGCTCCAGGACCAGATCGAGACTGTGGAGAACAGTCTTCGCGAAACCGACTGCCCCCGGACCCGATGCCTTGGACTGGATCGCTTCTGCAATCGCTACTGGTGGTTTGAACGTAATGCGATGCCATACGAGGGTAAGCCGGAAAGCTCGACGGCCGAGGCATGCTATGCCAATGGCCGTTTATGGGTTCAAGGTCCGGATGAAATGGAGTACGCTGGCTTCATCGACGTGACCGACGAACAGCGCAAGCAGTACCAGAAGCATTTCCAAACCACACCCGCAGAGCGCAAGAAGAACGAAGAAGGATCAACCCATCTGTCGAATGCCCGTGAATGGGGCTACTACGAAGACCCCGAGGCAATTGAACAGCTCGCGGAGTGGCTGGACTCGCGCGGCAACCGAGAGTCCAAGTTGCTCAAGGAGCTGCTCATCCAGCAAGAGTACATCGCCAAGTACATGAAGAATCGCAAGGCGTACCTAGCCGAGACGCCTGATAGAGCCGAGTCGGAGGACATTCCAGCCAAACGTGTGACCACCCGGACCAAGACCTATGTGGAAGTGAACGAGAATAGCCCCCGCTGCCTGCGCTGGAGAAACACGACGGCGTTGTCCGCGCATGGACATCTTCATGTTGACCCTGGGCGGCCGGCGAAGCGCAAGCGGGTTTCGGATGACACTAAAGTGACTAAGGCAGCTAAGCAGGCTAAGCAAGCTAAGCCTTTGACTCGAACACGCGCTCAGCGCAGGGGGTGATGCCTTCCGGGGGCATTTATTCTACCATATCACGCGACCACGATATTCTTTGTACTTCGTATACATTTCGAGCTGCATGGAGACGGGGAGTTCATTTCTTTTCGCTAGCTTTTTTTTTTTTTTGGCAAGTTAAATAGCTTAGAAGCAATGCAATAACATAGAACCCATCTTGAAAACAAATTTCAAACTATGAAGCCCTATCTTGTAGGCTGCAAGACTGAATATCGGCTACATATCCCGATTTGGACTAGACATGCAGGTGGCAGATTACGATGACAAACCGGCTTCTCGGGACTCGTTGATTTTGCGGGCCGCGTATTAGTACCGTAATCCCGCGGTTATTCGCGGATGGCTGCTGGTATCGGCATGTTAGAATGTTCGTAATGACATTTGGGACTGTCCGGACGCAAATACGTCAGTGGAAACAGCACATAACGTTATTCCTCTTTCACCTTTTCGCCTTTGCACAGTTCTATTCTTCTTTTGAGCTTTGTTCAAGCTTGCTGTGATATATATTCATTTCGTGCATAAACGTTGCAGTGTCCCGAAGATCATCCCGTACCCCGAGAACTCTGGCTGATTACCGCCGAAACTGATCACGAGGGCGACTCCCCCGGATATTCTCACCCCTCCCATGATACTGTGAGCCTCGGTTGCTCTTACAATCCAGTCTTTCTTTTCCTCTTCCTCTTCTATGTCGACTGGTCTTTCGGACTATGCCTATGATTCACACAAATCCCCAGACTCGACTCCGCAATCCGCTCCGATGAGCAAGACCGCATCGCTGGGATCGCCGCCTATCGGCGGCGCTACGAAATCAATTGAGTCAAATAACACCGCAGCTATGGATAAGCCACAGAGCGGCGACAACAAGATTCAAAAACGTAGCTTGGATTATGTGATGAGGAGTGGAATTGCAGGCGGGCTGGCGGGGTGTGCGGTAAGTTTCGATCGGTAATAGGTGATTGCGAGCTTTATACTGACCGACGCGCCGGATATCATAGGCCAAGACCGTTGTAGCGCCTTTAGACCGAGTGAAGATCCTGTTCCAGGCGTCAAATCCTCAATTCGCCAAATACACGGGCAGCTGGACTGGCCTGGCAGCAGCGATTCGAGATATCAAGCGCACAGAAGGCTTTAAGGGCCTGTACAAGGGCCACTCAGTGACCCTCCTTCGAATTTTCCCATACGCCGCTATAAAGTTCCTCGCATACGAGCAGATTCGTGCAGTTATCATTCCTTCCCGCGAACACGAGACCCCGTTCCGCCGCTTGATCTCCGGCAGCTTAGCAGGTGTCACTTCTGTATGCTTCACATATCCATTGGAGTTGATGCGCGTGCGAATGGCATTCGAAACAAGACAAACGCAGCGTTCAGGCTTGGTGGATATATGGCGGCAAATCTATCATGAGCGTGTTCAACCCCCATCAACAACCCGCTCTGCGGCAGCTGCGCAGTCTTCTTCCGTTGCTGTTGCCGAAACCGCTTCTTCTGTCGTTTCAAAGGTGGTGCCGCGCACCGGTCTCGCCAACTTCTACCGCGGCTTCTCCCCGACTATCCTCGGAATGCTGCCTTATGCCGGAATGTCTTTCCTCACCCACGACACAGTGGGTGACTTATTCCGCCACCCAAGTGTGGCGCGCTATACCCTTAGGAAAAAAACAGAGTTAGAAAACGCCGCGCATCCATCTAAGCGACCGCAGCTCAATACGACGTCCGAGCTTCTTTCCGGTGCTATGGCCGGTCTAGTTTCGCAGACTTCATCATACCCAGTGGAAGTGCTCCGTCGGCGGATGCAAGTCGGTGGTGCAGTTGGTGACGGACGTCGACTCGGAATTGCAGAAACAGCTCGTATGATCTGGCTCGAGAGAGGGTTTAGAGGATTCTGGGTCGGATTGACCATCGGTTACGTCAAGGTTGTGCCCATGGTTGCAGTGAGCTTCTACGTATATGAGCGAGCAAAGACCTCGTTGGGGATTAACTAGACTTGTGAAATATTCAATATTTGGCCCTTTCTTTGCATATATCATGAGGGCTCTTGATACTGGTTCTCTGTGGCGTTTTGTGGATACCCTGGGAGGGTTCTTTTTACATACAGAGCCGGAGTGGCTTCTTCGGACATATACCAGTACAGAATTTCAAAAGATCTTCGTTCAACCTACATTAAAATTTCTTTCCAAAGAACACTCTTTCAGGCAGGACAGCCCGTAGGCACATCTGATAGTTCTTGACTTTTGATATGTGGCTGGTGTGTGGCTGATTGGTAGATCTAACCTTGGAACTCCGTGGGCACAGACCACCCGCATAAAAAAAGTTGCAGACTTCCGCCTCCCACGACCAAATCTATAACCAACTCGGATTGCACAAAATGACGACCCGCAAGCACAACGATTTCCTAGACATCGAGGCTAGTGATGATGAGGGCAGCGGCAGCGATCGCGGATACGACTCCGAAGCCAATGTGGCGGAGAGTAAAGGACGGGCCGTGAAGCGGCGACGGACAACAACCGCGCAAAATTTCTCGGTGGAGTCTGACGAAGACGAAGAGGAGAACGACAAAGATCTCGACAATGAAGACCAAGATGAAGATAACGAGGAAGAAGGCGGCGCAAGCCTAAACGACTCAACACAACCCAGCACCAAATCAGCCAAGTCACTCAAAGCAAAGGGCAAGCTTGCCAAGCTGTCTAAATTGGCCAACGGCAAAGCACCTAAGAAAGCACGCGCAGGTGTCATATACTTCTCTTCTCTCCCGCCATACCTCAAACCCTTCGCCTTGAAAGCAATGCTAGAAAAGCGAGGATTCGGAGATATCACAAAGATCTTCCTAGCGCCTCTTCTCCCATCTGCAGCTGGCAATCGAAACCGCTCGAATAAGAGAAAGCTCTATACCGAAGGCTGGATAGAGTTCCGCTCCAAGAAAACGGCTAAGATCTGCGCCGAGACATTGAATGCGACTATCGTGGGTGGTTTGAAGTCGAGCTGTGAGTCTACCCGCTATTTTCGCGTTATACACATCTCTGGTTTTCGATATGAATACTGACCGGTGCTACGAATATAGGGTATCACGATGATGTTTGGAATATTAAGTACCTCTCGCGATTCACATGGGATGATCTCATGCAATCCGTACAACGAGAGCGATCTGAACGGGAAAGCAAGCGGAAGATTGCCGATGCTCGTGAAGCCAAGGAAGCTAAATTGTTCATTGAGGGTGTTGAGAGTGGTCGCATTGCTGATGGAATGGCGAAGAAGAATGAGGAGAAGATGAAGAGGCGGTTGGAGGCGGCTGGTGATGGGGATGGGGATAAGGAACTGCCGCAGCCTAAGAAGGCTGCGCCGTCTACGAGAAGACGGTTCCATTTCCAGCAGAATGAGGTTGTTAAGGGATCCAAGGAGGGTGCTATGGCTGATGATGCCAAGCGGGTACTTGGAAAGATCTTCTAAGTATGATTCGTATTGCATGGACCGGTGTGCACTCATCTCTTCTTTTTCTTTCCTATTCTCGAATAATTTCCAATTGCATTCCATGTCTACGGTTAGAGATTGTCTTATTTGACATTGTCTATTCTATGAACAAAGACGATTTCTCATTTACTATCATAGCTTGTTACTTACGCGCTCTGTCCTTGTATCATACTCTAGTGAGAAATTCCTTGAGCTGGAAGGATGATATCAGTATAGTAATAATAATTTGTCCTGAAAACAATTTTTGGCAAGGTAATCACATAGCACATTACCGACAGACAGACAGAAATACATAAGGACAAAGATAAATAAATAGATAGACACACTCTCTGCACGTCTCTTCCTCAATCTTGTCAACAGCCATAGTCTAAGCTCATACATCGAGCATGACCTCTATCATTTTGATACCATTGGTGAAAGTCAGATTGACATCAACATCGCCTCAAGCTGATACGTTCTTTTATTCCATTTCTTTTTACACTCCCCTCATTCCTCATGAGGTTTGAATAATTCTCATTGATGTGAAAACCAGGAAGTCCATACAATAACATGGCGGCAATGGATGTTCTGAGATTCAACCCGACAAATAGCCCTAGGAACTGCCACTTAGTTTCCCTCTTCACTCTATCACAATCTATAGATTTTCCCGACCCATCTGTACAATCCCAATTTTGTGCTTTGATTGATTTATTTCATCTCAAGTCATTCATCTATTTTATAGTCTATAAGAGATATGTATGTAGAATAAGAATTCAAGTTTTGCACCTGCATGCTGTACATTGCACGTATCAAATTGAAAATAATGAACTTTTTTGTTGACTGAAAATCCCACAACACACAAACGCCACCCAGTGCCACACATGATCGTCAATGATAACATTCAGATTTCTTCCATGATAGCGTTCAAGTTGATACTAATTGTCCTCCATGTTCAAATCATCAAAGTCATCAAGCAGCTCATCCATGTTGATTTTCGGCACAGCGTGCTCTTCATCCACGTCATCATCCTCCTCCATCTGGTCTGGCCTGGCCTGGTACTGGCGGTTCTTGTACAGGTCAAGAGTTTGACGCAGCTCCTGATCCTCCTCGACGTCACGCAAGAACATCTCGTAATCCTGTTCCATTCTGGCCTGCTCCTGCTCCTGGCGCTTGTTTGTAGGGACATTGACCACGGCGGCAGTCGCCTCCTCTTCATGCTCGCGAGCCATGCGCTTCAGACGCCAGGGACGGGCCTTGGACTTCTTGCTGCGGACGTAGTGCTTCTTGATGAGGACCACATCCGGGATTGTTGAGCCGTACTGGTGGCTGTTCTCAATTTCGTCGTATTGATCATTGTTAAACTGGGTTCCCGTCAAGTGGTAGCCAAGGACAGAATCACCCACGTGCAGGATACCACCGAGGTGAGTCCGTGTGAAATAGGTGATATCGTTAGATCCTAAATCCGAGGCACGAGCAACAGTGGCCTCAGATAGAAGGAACCGACCATTAGAGATTCCGGTTGATTCTATATCCAGAACGATGAACTCCTTAAGCTCTGTAATATCTGCAAGAGCGGGGAATGGTTGGCGCCAATAAACCGCAGTAGGGACGTCAGTTGTCCGCAGGGTGCAAGGGTCCAAGATGTTAATAGAAGTGCCGACCCGATGACAGATAGCGAGTGGGCTTATATCGGACAATGAACGGGCCAGCTTGATCGGAAGGGCAACTAAATCATCCTTGCAGATAGGAACAATCGAGACGGACCACGAATGCTTGTAGACGGATTTGCTGGTGTGAATATCCATACTGACCAACTCGTGCGATTTGGTTGTCTTGCAGGGAATGCATCCCTCCAAGAAGGAAAGCATGCGCTCGGCCTCGTTCCTCTTTGCGAAGTAGAAATCAAGACCCTCGCTCACTTCCTTGATGTTGACAGTGTCCTTGTGGGCATTGTGCTTAAGAATCAGCTGCTCGAGGTACATAAAAGTCCGCTTGTGCGGTACCTTCTGTCTGATCTGGATCGAAGCTCCCCAGGTGTGATGCGTAAAGGACTTCTGGCAGCTAAAGATGCGTTAGCATTTTTCAAGGCAATTTCTTTTTTTCCAGTCATATTATTTATTTTCATCGAGGGTTGGGGTGATTTTGAAATTGGGAAGAAGGAGGGGGTGAGGAGAGTCTATAAGCATACCCAGAACACTGCTGATTGGCAATAACATATTCAACCTCAAATTGCTGCTGTATGATAGTACCCTGGAAGGCCTCCGCTTGTGGGTTGTTAGCTTCGACCTCTTGGCTAGATGTGTTGCATTGGCAATTTGGCGAATATTTCGACCGTTATCAGCAGGGTAAAACTAACTTTGTATAGTGATCTTCAAGCGCAGTCGCTTGCTGTGAGGTTCCGTCCAAATGAAGCTGGCGTCGATGATTCGGACTTTGTTCAGACCACGGAGCTTGCGTAGACAAATGGCGAGTAGTTCTTTCGACTCGAGCGCTGCGACGACCCAGCTGTTGGGAGGTTGCAGCCACCGTTCGCAATCCCTACAGCAGTGAATCACGGCTTCGCGTTGCACCTGTTATCAAAAGGAGTTCATGTCAGCTGTATCAAATTATAGGCGGGTAGGAGGGCTGCTTTTGGCAACAGGCCTCGGATGAAGTTGTACATACACCTCCGGCGACATCGACAGTAAGACGAATGCAGTCCGAACATAAGGCTCCGGCTGAGAGTGTTCCATCAATAGCAGCGCCGCAGTTGCAGCACAGAATTCTTTCAAGAGATTATTAGCGGGGAACAGGCTTTCACAGTTTGCGATAAGAACTTACGTCGCTGCAACTTGCTCCTGCTGCTTGAAATAGACAGGATCATCCAGATCCATCGACATTTTGAGTGAAATAAGGAAGCAAAATCCAAGACTTAAAAAAAAAATCCCCAGGGTATTGAAAACAGAGAGTTCACAGCGCCGTGGATTTGTGATAATTCCCCCACCTGAATCTTTTTTTCGATGACTCAGCTGTTTGCAGTGTTTGCTCCCGTTATCTGATATCAGCCGATGGGAGCAAATCAAGAACTGAATCTTGGAACTGTTGGAAGAACTCATCCTCATTCTTTTTCCAGTATAACCATCATCATGAGCAGGGCTCTCTTACGAGGAGCCGTGTGCCAGAATTGCCGGCATGAGGTCCTGCGGTCCTTTGTCTCTGTCTCCGGCCTCCCAATGCCACGATCATCTCCTCTTTCCTCCCGTTCGATCTCCAAGCCTAGAGCTTTCTCCGCCGTAAATAATTTGCTGCGGTCTGATCGCCCTCCAACTCCGAATCAACTTGACATTCATCTGTCCGAGCCAGAAGAGCCATCGCACTCGGAAACCAATGCGCCGGCTTCGTCCCAACATATCCCCTGGTATCTGCAGGAAGAGGCACCGGCCATTAAAGAGCGCCCGTTGAGCGAAGCATATCTTCCCAAGATTCCAGACGATTCGCCAGAGATGCTTTCAACTCTATTGGAGTATACGTATAAGGACTTGGGCTTGGATGGTCTCAAGCTTTTTGACCTACGCGGCCTCGAAATTCCCGCAGCTCTCGGTGCTAATGTAATCATGATCATTGGAACTGCTCGCAGTGTGAAGCATCTGAACGTGTCCGCGGATCGTCTCTGTCGCTGGCTGAGAAGCCAATACAAATTGTCTCCCTACGCCGACGGCTTACTTGGACGCAACGAGTTGAAAATCAAACTCCGCCGCAAGGCCAAGCGAGCGCGCGCTGCTAGTGCAGCAGGCGCAATGATCGATGAAAAGGATGATGGAATTACGACAGGATGGATCTGCGTAAATGCGGGAATGGTAGACAAAGGCGCTACTACGACGCAGTTGAGCGATGTTGGAATCGAAGGTTTTGGTAATCTGGACCTTGGAACCAGTGTGGTTGTTCAGATCTTCACCGAGGAGAAGCGGGCTGAGGTCGACCTCGATGGTCTTTGGGAAGCTACTCTAGCCCGTGAAGGGCGCAGGAACATCCGGGAGACTACAAATGATATCTCCAAAACCGGTGTTGCGCCCCCCAGGTCTATGTCCGATGGATTTGGCTCTATTCCTGGCCACAGGAGAGGTTTCCATACCATGCGTAGACTTGCATTCTCTGCCGTGAACTCCACAAAATCTGGTTCTGAAGCCGGGTTTCCTGGCCTGAGAACTTCGTCTTCCACACTTCCAAGCGGCGCAGCAGCAGTTGCGTCCCAATTAACACCAACATCTTTGCTCCAGATTCTCACTGAACTTCCAGCGGATAGTGCACGAAATGAGCTCGGGAGTGGCCCAAATGATCGCCAGTCCACTCTTTTTCTACGTCTCTTCCATACCAACCACGCCGCGCGGTTCTCTGCACAGGAAAAAGCCACTTTTCGATTGAAATTATTTTCTATTGCCGTGTCTCGACAACATCCAGCTTACACCAAGGACGCACTTTTTAGCACATTCTCTGATTTTCTTCGCGATGGGTATGACCTTCCGGATGACCTTGGATTCGACGTTGTTTCTGCGCTTCTAACGCCGAGAACAGCGGGTGTTATCACCGAACAGTCTGAGACTCATTCGTCAGATGCGGACATGGAACTTGCTTTGTCAGTGCTGGATCGCTTGAGTCTCCGTGGTGTACCGATCTTGAACATGAAAATTTTCAATATACTCTATCAAGCAGTTTGTGCACCCAATCCAGCACCCTCGAGCCTGAACGAATTACACCCGGAAGAAATTTCTCCAACTTCGACTGCGGTCCAAAAAACCGTGTCTCAGAGACAAATCTTGTCTCGACTGTCCAAGATACTCGCGGCGGCCAATGTTCCATTTGATGCGGTAGACGCACGTCAGCTTATGGTGACATTATTCCGATGCGGGGATTACGATGGTTTCTGGCGTCTGTGGCGTCAGTTTCCTTTGAAAGGTGCTAATCGCACACAAGATGATTACGTGCAGCTGTTTAAGTTGCATGCCGAGCTGGGTGAGGAAGTGCGAGCGCGGGAGTGTCTGTCGACGGGGGTAGAATTGATGAACCGAGAGTCCCCTGCGATTGTCCTACAAGGTCCGATTGTGACAGCTATCATGCATTGTATATTGGTGGCAGACCCGACACTTCAGGACCGAGATGAAGGAGCGTCCCCAAGCTTCTACATGCCGCTCTGGACTGAGTGCCAGGAGGCACTTGCTCGGGAAAATTGAATGACGAGGGGTCAATTTGTAGAATAATCTAGCATATATTATCCAGTGTACAATAATCCAATGCGTGTCATGTTAAATGAAATCGTTGTAATTCAATCCCTGATGAACGGAGGACATAAGATGAATCTCCTTGGGGCTTCCCCGAGCGACATATGTTGTAGTCAGCTCGGATAAGTTGAGCCTCGGCATATGATCAATTGGTTCCGGCGACTCTTCTTCTCCTCCAAACACCTTCAAACGCCATCCCTATAAGGATGACTGACACTTCTGACGATGGAGTACCTTCCTAGTCTTCAACAGGAGTTTGATGAGCACAAGCCATCGCTCTTCGGTAAGTTGAGTGATACTTCCCCGCGGAGCTGGACTCACCCCAGAAACGGGGAAACCCCATACATGATCTGAATCGCTAACGTGGAGATTGTGCTCGACAAAAGAACTCCTTGCTGAGCAACAGCTATCCGATCTTCTTCCTCCGTCTTTGCGTTATCTTCTCGCAGTCGCAACACACCGCCACCCGCGCTACCTCCTCCGCATCCTCAATTCATACGACGAAGTCTACGCCCTCCTTTCATTAATAGTCGAACGTTACTACCTGCGCACATTTGGCGGCTCCTTCACAGAAAACTTCTATTCCTTGAAACGCGAGCGCGTTCTCCGCACCAAGAATGGCGAGATCCCCCGCGCCCAAGTCGGCGCTGCAGGCCCCGTCCGCGAGGCCCTCAAGCTACACTCGACGGACATCTGGAAGAACTTGTTCGTCATGGTCGGCATTCCTTACATCAAACGCAGGTTAGACGAAGGATACGATATCCATGCCGCACCACATGCCTCCCTGGTCACTAACGGCGGCCCACGATATCACCCCAGCGACGACCTGCCGGCCAACCCGTCGCTGCGCCAGCGCCTCTTCTTCTACTACAAATGGTTCCTGCGAAATGTCTATCCATCCGTGAATGCGGCATACTATTTCTCTATTTTGGCATTTAACCTCGCCTACCTCTTTGACAACACCAAATACTCCTCCCCGTTCTTGTGGCTTATCGGCACGCGCATCCGCCGCCTCGGCACCGCAGACCACCGCGCCATCGCCGCAGTCTTAGATCCCAAGCCCGGCCCTAACGCCGGGCGATCTCAGCGACCCGGCGGAGGCTTACTGGGTCTTCTTAGTCCCCAGAACATTCACACTCAGCTCCTAGGCTCGCTGCGCTACTTCCTTCCCGCGTCGATCTTCGCCCTCAAGTTCCTAGAATGGTGGCATGCGAGTGACTTCTCTCGCCAGCTCGCACGTAAGGCAACCGAGGTCCTGGATCTACCCGCCCCAGTCGTGGCAGGTTTGACTTCTCCTGCGGAACGACGGAAATCGTCAATTCAAGACGAGAAAGAAAAGGCGAAAAAGCAGGCCGAGCAGGAGAAGAAGAGTGCTACCGGTGATCTTAAACCAGCACTCAAGCCTCCTCGTCGCCATCAACCCCCCATCTCCGCGACTTCTTACCTTCCTATCTACACTGTGTCTTTGCCTCCAGCTGATCCCTCGAGCGCCAACACTTGCCCTGTCTGTATGGGTCCGCTCGTTAACCCGACTGCTTGCCAGACGGGGTATGTGTTTTGCTATGTGTGTATCTTCCACTGGCTGAACGGTGAACACCAGCGTCAACTGGACTTCATGACCGGCGAGGGCGCTGGCGCACCGTGGGAAGAGGAGATCACAGGCGACGACGAAGAGACGAAGAAGAGTCCTAATGAGGATGACACTGAAGAAGGCCCCCGCAAACGATCTGGTAAATGGGAGAGTGGCAAGGGAAGATGTCCAGTCACAGGGAGGAGAGTGCTTGGAGGCACTGATGGATTAAGGAGGGTGTTGGTTTGATCTGGGTTTGTGTAGTCTTAATTTCCGATCCATGAATCGTTAATTGCTTATTGTACAGCGAAATGCTTCGAATTGGAGGTTGAGAGGGTGCATTGCTCGAATTGTATATATATTAGCAACACAGAAATCCTCCTGGTGCCACCATTGCAGAACAATTTCTAGGTCTCAATTTTAAGCCGAGATCATGATCAATGAACGGGCTTCTTGAATGAACTTGTTATGACGGCTTGGCCACTGCATGTGCGGACCGGAGACATCCAACCTCGCAATCGACGTCCATATACTATATATAATTGACAGAATTATGAACTTCTGGTCTTTCGGTCAGGTCCAGGTTCGGGATACCCGTCAGTTTCTGCTGATGTTGAGGTGCTTTGTATATAAGTCCGGCTCAACAAAAATTGAGAAGGAAAAGAACCTTCGAAGGCAGGTACGACTGAGTCGGACTAGGAAAGACCAAATGCCCATTTTGGGAAGGTATGGGGGAGGCGATCATATAAAAAGTCTCCCCCATCTTTCCTCTTCTCTTTTCTTTTTCTCCTTTCCCCAGCCCTTGACCCCCATCTCACCGTAGCCCACCTGAGATCGTGCAGAGGGTCGTGCCTTACTTACACACAACGTGGATATCAACATTATCAAGTTGTTGAGGTCCATGTGTAGGTCTGTACCCACATCAAACTGGGAGTTCTCGTGGATGTTCTGTGAAACAGTCAATGGCTGAGCTTGGGGCTCAGTAGCCATTGATAGATCCCACGGAATACATGGGGGGTCGATACTTTTGACGGCGTGAGGACTTACAGCCGGTGCAAGCCTGTCAGATGAAACAACTTCTTTCTGGTAGCCACCGCACCACTGGTCCCTCCCCCAAAGAATGGACAGTCCCTTTACAGGATGAAAATTGCGGACTACCTCCAGATGGTATACCGAGCTGGGCAATGACTGGGTCCATATGGCAGAGTCCAACAGTCCAATGTTCGGGAACAGTAACACTTTAGTTTGCTCGTTCTGGGAGTGGGGAGTGGCTGATGTCTTCAGGCTCGATAGTGCTCTTTCTTCTCACCTTTGACTATTTGACGCTGCAAGATTCCTTGGAGCTCCTTCCTTTGTTCCAATGCCAAAAGAAGACCGTATATATTCATGTGTAGGATTGTGGAGGCCAGGTCTAAGACATTTGGCAAGGTGGTTTTAGTTGTTTTGTTTGTTCAGAGCACTCGCAATTTGTATTATCGGTCGTGACGAAGTTGCTCTAGAATAAGATATTCTTGTTAGTACAGAAGACATGAGTCAAATAGACCCTTCTCATGTAAGGTTATACATAGAACATGATAAGTGATAAACGGCACAGAAAAGCCCCTGGAGATACTCTAGGCAACAGTCAACCCTTTGTAGAGGATGATCTCGTACGATACCCATCTGCGAATTCAAACAAAACACTTACAACTTTCAACCGATCTATAAGACCTGAATGGTATTTCTGGGATGTTTGGGCTATATAGTTGCAGAACTTAAATGCATCGATACATCCAGTTATTACTACATAAATTTGCCTCCAAAATAGCAAGAGGCTATAAAGGGGTAATATAATACGTGTGTACTCAAATATCTCCAAAAAATGCTATCTAGGCCGTGTTATCTAGTGATTTGAATATCTCAAGTCAGATTTAGCCCTAAATGTCGGTATATGACCAGTTGGCCGCTATTTACAGCGACGTCATGTGTGGGGACCTCCTCTTTGAACTTCATAGCACCGCCTTTGGCCTCAGAAACATCTGGGTATGCAGCTTTTCAGACTGCATTTTGAGTCGACTTGAGCCTCCAACGCTATGGAGAGCTTCGATGATGTTTCTCTCATTGGACTAGTGTCCCAGGAAGCACCTTTACACGATGAACATCTCTCGACTCCATCCGGTCCTTCAGACTCGAATTTGGCCAAAAAAGACACCACAACCGGACCGACTTCGACCCAAACGATGAGCATCGGACCGTCTTCGCTAATAGAGCGCAGCGATGATGCTGGAATAATAGATGACGCTTCAGCGGTATCGGAATTTCCGTTGCCCTACAACCCACCGCCCGGAGCTCGGATCGAGGAGGAAGAGGAGGGGGATGGCGAAGATGAGGAGCCACAGATAGCAACTTCATTTGAGCGAGAGGCTTCGCCAACTTTTGCACAGAGACACCGATCAGCTTCAGACAACTCGGAGGACGAGGGGATCAACCGCATGCACAAATTCACGCTGTACGAAACCGCGACGCGATTCTACATGGTCGGGATCAATCTTGCGGAAACCCGTTTCCGGATTCTGAAAATTGATCGGACTTCGGAGTCTGGTGAGTTGAGTATTATTGAGGATGAGATGGTATACAATAAAAGAGAGATGGTTCAGTTGCTTGACGCAATCGACGATGGCAACAAGAGCTCTGGCGGCTTGAATCAGAAGTGCAGTGCCTGGGCATTGCTTGGCTTCATCCGATTTACGGGGGGGCATACTATATGTTACTCGTTACCAAGAGGAGTCAGGTTGCCATGTTAGGTGGTCACAATGTCTATCAGATCGACGAGACCGAGCTGATCCCATTGACCACCTCGGAACCTTCACATCTTAAGGCTGAGAAGAATTCAGAAGAGGCACGATATATTGCGATTTTGAACAATCTTGACTTGTCTCGCTCTTTCTATTTCAGCTATTCCTACGACATCACTCGCACACTGCAGCATAACATCTGCCGGGACCGTGAGACCCATCGAGATGGCCACCCACAACCATGTTCGCATGATTACCATTCGATGTTCATCTGGAACCATCATATCCTATCCCCAGTCGCTGAGGCCCTCAAGAATCCCTACGAATGGTGTCTACCTATAATTCATGGATATGTAGACCAGTCAAAGATGAGTGTCTATGGACGAATGGTCTACATCACAATCATCGCCCGTCGATCCCGATTCTTCGCCGGAGCACGGTTCCTCAAGCGCGGTGCAAACGACCTAGGATACGTGGCCAATGATGTAGAGACTGAACAGATTGTATGTGAACAGACAACAACGTCGTTCCATGCTGCTGGTCCAAGACTTCATGCAAACCCTCATTATACTTCATTTGTTCAACATCGCGGGAGCATTCCACTTCATTGGACTCAAGAAAACACAGGCGTATCACCGAAACCGGATATTGAGCTTAATCTCGTGGATCCATTTTACTCGGCCGCGGCGTTGCATTTTGACGACTTGTTTCGAAGATATGGTGCTCCAATCTATGTTCTCAATCTGGTTAAGTCTCGCGAACGAACTCCGAGAGAGTCAATACTTCTCAAAGAATTCACCAACGCTGTCACTTATTTGAACCAGTTTCTTCCTGAGGATAAAAAGCTCATTTACGAGGCGTGGGATATGAGTCGTGCCGCAAAGAGCCGGGACCAGGATGTCATCGAGACATTAGAAGCTATTGCAGGTGACATCATTCCCAAAATCGGATTTTTCAAGAATGGAGACGACGCGGAATCCGGCCTGCGGCTTCAGAACGGTGTCGCGAGGACCAACTGCATTGACTGCCTCGACCGAACAAATGCTGCACAATTTGTCATTGGCAAGAGGGCACTCGGCTATCAGCTTCATGCTCTTGGCGTTATAGATGACACCACGGTGGAGTATGATACCGATGCTGTTAATCTCTTCACGAACATGTGGCATGATCATGGAGACACTATCGCTATTCAATACGGCGGGTCGCATTTGGTGAATACCATGGCCACCTACCGTAAAATCAATCAGTGGAGCAGCCACTCTCGCGATATGGTGGAAAGCTTCAAGCGGTATTACAACAACTCTTTCCTTGATGCTCAGCGCCAAGAGGCATACAATCTCTTCCTTGGGAACTACATCTTCGCGCAGGGAACTCCAATGCTTTGGGACCTTCCTAACGACTACTATCTCCACCATACCAATCCGAAATCCCACTTCGACAGAAAGAAACCTAACTACATCTCCTGGTACACCCCAGAAAATCTAAAGGCCAGGCAATTTCCACCCATCTCATTCCATCCTAAAGCACCACTTTCCCATTTCGATGACTTCTGGCTGGAATATTATCGACCGCTCGCTCTGTCCTCCCTATCCAAAGTCTTTTCGTGGAAAATGAACTCGACGTCCCGCTATCTACCCCCAGTCCGCCCAGGACACCCAGTCCCCGACCTCAGTCCCTTCGTGCCTCGAATCCCTCCAGAGCAGATCCAGCGCGAGCGGCTACCACAGCGCACCGTCAAGATACAAGAGCCACCTAACAGCCGCAGTCGAGACTCACCAAGCACGATTGGTATACCCGAAGCTGCACAGACATGGGCTCACCAACCACCTTCATCCGAGAAACAACCCCCTCTCACGGGCATCATCAAAGAGCCCGCTTTTAAAAACCCCCATGTATCCCGCATCCCACCCATTGACCCTCCGAACGCCCATACTACCCCCAGCAAAGCGGAGATCGCCCAGTGGACCCTTGGACAGCTAGTCAGCGACTCGCTGAACCCGTCTGTCACAAGTGCCGAGGCAGAAGAATATGAGCGGTACATCAACCACCCGCTCAAGGTCCCACTTGTCGTCACATCCGAAGATGAAATGACTGCTTCTTCGCTGCAAGACCACGGCTACAATCTCGATCTCTTGGAGTACGCTAATAAATGCAATGTCGAAGAATCTGCGCTCGAGGCGAGAGCTGGGGTAAACATGCTTGCTTATGCTGAGTTCTTGGATGTCTCCGAGGACGGTCTTACTGTCGTGGGGGAGGACTATGAGAAGAAGAGGTATAAGCGGTATCGCCAGTGGCTGCGCGGGAAGAGTCTTTTCAAGCAGCGGGTTGATCCATGATCTCACGCACTTCACATTTGTGTGTCTGTTTTTTCTTTTTGTTTTGGCGTTTCGCACAGCAAAATTGATACCCTCATTACATACTGTTTATTTTATCGAAAGTTACATGGAGCTGACTTGGTTCCAAATCCAAATATCTACCTTCAACTGAGTCCATGATCATACATAGCAAAGTTAGATACGTATTCATGTCTTTTCCCGCTGTCTACATATTGAACTGACATGGAAAAGAAAATACCCAAAAGTTATATGGAAAATCTATTTGAAATGGCTACCAAAAGGCCTACCAAAAAGACTACTAAAAGACACCTCAAGACCGCATAAAGGGCTGTCTATTCTTCTTGTCATTATTCTTGTCATAAGCCTTTTCCTAATAACATGCCAGAGATTGCCAGTAGCATCAAGCAAAAAGTCCCTTAAGCTCTGAATCCGCATCAACAAGTTCCTGGAACTCCATTTCCACATTTTCCTTCACCTGAACTTGTTCTGGGTCTGGACCATCAGCCGCAATAGCAACAGGGTTCAACAAAACAAGCTTCAAAACCTGAAGCGTGGTTTTCAACTCGTGCTTCAGATTGGTCAGCTCAGAGGAATCTCCGCTATCCTCGGCAATATGGAGCCAACACGAACTCAGCCCGCTCAGGATCTCACCACGCCAGCGCCAGATCCGCGGGTGTGCGTTCTTGATCACCACCTGTGTAGCTAGTGCTGCAGCAAGCAGGAGTGGGGGATGTGCTGTTCCGAATGGGTTTGATAGTGTGGTGTAGAGGACTGGGATGAGTTCTTGGAGATACTTTGTTGTGTGTATTCCCAGCTCATCGATGATGATTGTTATCTTTTGTAGGAGGAAGGTTGAGAGATGGGGGTGCGGGAAGGATGCCGTTGAGCCGGAGGCTGGAGTCCCGGAGCTGACGTGGTGGAAGGAGGAGATGAGGTTTGATCGGAGAATTTTGGAAAGGCTGGTAGTGTAGGCCTCTTTATCCTTTTCGGATTGGGCGGGGCCTTTATATGCGGTTTTGAGGGTAGATAGGAGGGCTGGATATGCTTCTCCTAGTAGCTCTAGGGATCTTTCCTCGGGTGTGATGGATGGTAGGGAGAGAAGACACGGCGTGACGGCGTCTTCGAAGACAGAAGTGAGGTTGGTTCGACGGAGGATGTCGGAGCCGCTGCTTTGAATCGGTTGCAGCAGCTGAGTCAGTAGAGCACAGCCTTTTGTTTTATATGGGAGGTTGTTGTCGTCAACCATTGCTAGGATAGTGGGTACGAAAAGCTGGAAGTGTGCTTCGAATTCTGCTTTGTCCTCAAGTTGGTACTGTGAGAGGATCCACGACAACACAGATGCGACGTAAACATCGGTGGTCTTCCAAGGCTTCGCCGATGCATCTGAATCGCTTGCGCCGAAGCGAGGTAGAGTTTGAGGATGGAAATTCTTGCGGCCGGCACTGGTGATGGCGGGATTTTTTGTCTTTGCAAAAAGAGGCCTAATCCTGTCCCTGAGGATAAAGTCGATAGCAGGCCAGAATGTATTGGCGCGACGAGTGTCCTGAACCCACACGCTCATGAGCATTGACGCCGCATTATAGCTCTCTGACGTGGCCCATGGATTTTGCTCGTTGGCAAAACATGCCCCCGCAAGAAGAATGTCCGCTGCATTGTCTGGTTTGCCATTTGGCAGACCTGTCAAGGGCTTGTTCAAAACCAGAAGCAACTCTAGAGCGAGCTCAGACCTAAACCGACTCTCGTTCTGAGCTTTGATAACATCTGTATGGCACAATGAGTCAAAGCTTCGCATGTTCATGGCAAGAGCTTACCGTCTGAAATCTCAGCAGTCTCATCAAAATCGACTGCAAAACCTGATGAAGGCAGAGCAGCAGCACTGGCCCAGTCGAACAAATTGTTCACGGCCTTGGCCTCGGCTGGTTTCAAGGGTCGCGGGCCTTGGTCATTTGGCAGCATGCCATCCCAGTAGTCGATATAACTGGTCACAGTAACGAGACTCTCGCAGATCTAGCAAAATTAGTTTATTTGTTTTTCAAAAAGTTGATATAAACATACATTCAAATGCGTTGAGTGATCATAAGTAGCGACGTTCTCCCATAATTGAGCCAAATCACATTTGGACGCAGCTGCAACGGCGGGGAAGAAACCGATTGGCATTTTGCCGGGATTCTGCACGAGAGCCTCGCGGGCTTCTTTGCGCAGTTTATCCATTGCGAACAATATTTACTACAAAACAGAAAGGAAGAGAAGAGTTGTAAACAAAAGTCACGTTGTCCGCGAGGGCATGGGGTTTTTTCATTTGTCATCGGATCTTCAGTTTGGACGTCACTTTAATTCTGCTCGTCGACCCACGATCTCCTCCAGCACTTTTTCCTTCTCTGTGATATCAGGATGAAGAAGTTGCCATTCCATGGCCATATTAATTGCCTTGGACATCCAGGGTCCCTTTTTGGCCCCCAGACTTTTCAAAATTTCGTCGCCGTTTACAATGGGCTTGAGGTCACAAACGTCCTCGAGATCGCTTTCTACAATGTACGCAAGGAACTGATCGTATTCGCGGAAGACTACACATCGTGAGAATTGGGATGTTATCATCAAGGGATGAAACTTACCTTCTGCGAACTCACGAAGCGCCATGGCTTCTTGCATGATAGCCAGGAGAATGCAAAGCTTCCAATCCTTGTTCCACGACCGTAGTTGCAATCCAATGTGCTGTCGGATTTCTGCCGGTGTTCCACTGATCTCGTTGGCAAGAAGTGCATTTTTGGTGGCAATTGCTTCCTTGTAATGCAGAGCAGAAGCGCGCAGGGCATTGAGGGTCTTGTTGTCAGTACGAAGGCTATCTCTTCCAACCTCAACCGCTCGCGGAGGCAAGGGTTTGGTTCCTTTTCCAGTACGACCGGGGATAGAAGTCCAGGGAGCAAAGGTCGCAATCATCCAGGCATAGTATATGGTAGTCTCGTCTCGGAATAGAATATCCCGAACGCGCTTAGTGACTGCTTGAACCTCTTCGCTATCACCAGCCTCAGGATGCAGCAATCGTGCCATGGTATTGTAGGCAAATGGCCATGTTGATGTATCAGCCTTGACCTCATCCTGATGATTAGCGAAGATAGTGGGGAACAGTTGGAGTCGGTCGATGAGCTCCAATGCACCACGAGGATCGGGGCCTAATATATGAGATATGACTTGTCAGAAATGTAAAGCACTTACCAAGCGCAATGACTCACCGCGCAACATCTTTTCCAGCTCAGCTCCCACTCGCTCTTTACTGATTTTAAGTTTCAACGCCTCGCGAATATCTTCAATCTTCATAGCGGCTTCGGTTTCGGGCTCAATTTGATACCCCAGTCTGCTCGCAAACCGGATCAATCGAAGCACCCGCAGCGGGTCGTCTTTGAAGGTTTGGTATGGTTCCATTGGGCATCGAATAATCTTTTTTTCATGTCGCCCAGTCCTCTCTCTGTGAAATCCTCCAGCCGTGACTCATTAAGGTTGTAGAAAAGTGCATTGATTGTTGCATCGCGCCTCAGAGCGTCTTCGACAGCGGTGCCGAACTCCATTTGAGGATTTCGACTGTCGTCTGTGTACGTTTCCTTCCGTAGATTGACCAAATCAATGTCCAGGCCGAAGATCTTGGTAGTCACGGTCTCGAGATGCTTTGACTTCTCTGGGTTGGCCTCGATTTTGTGAAGGCTCACAATGGCATCGTGCATTTCCCCGTTTGGAAGGCCTTTCTTGTATTTTTCAAGGTGCTCTGGAACATCCAGATAGTCTTTCAGGGCCATACCGAACTGGTATCCCGTCATGTTGCTGATGCCCACGTCGATATCATGGCTCTCGACCCCGAGCAGCTTGTCTCTGACCCACCCGCCTGTGAAACGCAGGACAGTCCCGGAGTGATCTATCAAAGTGCTACCCCCCGCGGTAGTTTTCTTCTCGGTGATGTATTGTGCGACATCGAGGAGTAGGGTTCGTAGGGTGCTCTCAAGCGGAGTGAGTTCGATTGTGGGTATGTCGGGGCTCATGGTTGCATATGAGTCTTCCCGCGTCGGAGAAGAAATGCGTCGCCTTTTACTGACTCGTTCTGAGAAGTCTGGGTCCGATTCGGGGTTGCGCATGGACATGCGACGAGGTACAGATGCAGAGTAGGTTCGGAGGGGCAGGTGTTGTTGAAACGGGTGTAATTGACCAGCTCTTCTCGCTTGAGTGCGGGCAAGTGGAGCTTTAGCTGAAGGAAGACCAGAAGCCTTAGATAGACACACGAAAGGGCGCAACTTCATTGAACAAAGCCAGGTTAGATGCTCTGAGAAAATGAGTCAGTTCGATTGTCGATAAGCATGGCCCTCACGTGGTTTGCATCACCACTTGGAGAGATCGTCAGCCTATACCTGTGAAGTACTCTGTACTGCATTTACAGTTGGCAAGACGATCATCAGCCTCATCAAAAGGCTTTTGTGCCCAATCTGTCCACAGGTTCTGCCGCTCTATTTCGTTGTCGTGTCTGCGCTTATCGGCCCGAATCCGTCGACTTGGCTTTCTCCCCCAACAACACCTCCGTGAAGCCGCCTGCATCCCACTCGCTCTATCACACCTTGTTCGACCTCATCTACCCGTCGATGGGGCCTGTCGATTAAATACACTCGCTTTAAACCTGCACAAAGCAGCAGGTGTCCGCTCATGACATCGCCCGGGGATGCTGCTCCGGTCAAACCTCCGCCGTCCTTCTCCCCCGGCGTTGCGCGAGTCGCATCCACATCGCCATCACGATACGCCGGGGAGCATGAGCCGCAATCTTTAGATGCCGAACTGGCAGAATCCCAAACAGTCTCATCGCCACCCCCTCTCTCAGGCACGATCGCCGACTTACCAATACGATCCGGCTCGTCGCACTCGCGCTCTGGGAGATCCTCCACCCCACAATTAGCAAGGTCATCAATCGGTTCACCTTTTGATGGAAGGGCTGATGGATCGGACGACATCAGAACATCAATCATCCGGTCATTCTCACCCACGATCGCAGTCCATGCCTCCGAGGATACTGATAATTTGGTGCGGAGTAAGGGGTTCAAGGGGGGATTTTGGGAGTTGGTCCGACCTTTTGGAGAGACAGTTTCCGGAAAGGTGGTCATCCGGGACAGTATAGGCTCGAGTCGTGCATGGGAAGACTATGGAGTGCGCTTTGCGGATTTCAAAGGGATCGGCAGGGCGCCGGCTAGTCGAGACCCTGGGCCCCTGGCGCAGATGGAAGAAGTGTTGACGAAGCAGTTAAACTCCTCAGATGGCATGCTTGGTGTATCTGTCCGGACAAAGGACGTTTTGGGATTCCCTGCAACAACTCCTTTATGCAAGTCGTTTTTGCAACAAGTGCTGTGTTCGGCACCGACAGCGCCCCATGAGACATTTGGCCACCCAGTAGCCAATGTAATAGCAATCAGCTCGCGCAATCCAGCCCCGCTGGAGACACTCCGGCAACTTTATGCTGATGGTACCACTGGATCCCAACAGTTACCCGAATGGGTCAACCAGGAGTATCTTCGATATTACGTTTTAGTTCATGACGAAGAACGAGACGATATCACGGAATCTATCAAGCTTTATGATCAAATGAAGCGGCACTTTGGGCTTCACTGTCATCTTTTAAGACTACGGAGCAGTCAGTGTGTGGTGACAGACGATGACAGCATGCAAGTTCCCCAGTGTGAATGGCTCTCGCCGGCAGAGCACCTGTCGGGAGCAGGCGAAGCAGGCAAGTTTCTACCGCCATGTGTTAGGACGTAAGCTAACTTTGCACCAGAAGCCTTGGTTGACCTCGGCACTGACGGCACACCATATCTCTTTGGCTCCGATGCTACTGCGATTAGGGCATTTATCCGAGAACTCGTGGTGCAGTCTGTCATCCCATTCATGGAGAATAAAGTAGCTGTTTGGAACGATCAGGTTGCATCTCGGAGGCGTGGTATAAGTGGCAGATTTATGTCGATGTCTCGGCGATGGGCTGGCTTCGGTTCCAGCTCACGTTCAAGTATTGGAGGGCCGTCGGGTGGCAACAGCGGTAACTACGATCCAGCGCAACATTCTTACAGTCCAGACTCCCAGGAGGCTATCTTGCGAAAGATGGCAGACTTTGCGTTCATGCTCCGGGATTGGAAGCTAGCTACGTCCACATATGACATGATTCGATCTGATTTTGGCAATGACAAAGCTTGGAAGTACCATGCAGGCGCCCATGAAATGTGCGCTGTTAGCATGCTTCTAAATCCGTTGGCCACATCGGCCAAAATCAAGCTTGAAAGCGTCGATCAAATGTTCGAGACTGCTTGCTACTCCTATCTCACACGTTGTTCAGATGCGCCACATGCACTGCGCTGTTTATCCCTAGCGGTTGAGCTTCTCAAGTCTCGTGGCGGGTCAGCCACTGAAAGTGCAGCCAAATGGGCCATGCGGGTCATGGACTTTGGTCTTGTGGGCTCAGTGGGCCAGATTCTATACACCGAGAGGGTATCAGCTTGTTATGCTTCAAAGACACCAATTGGAGCAGCAAAATGGGGTGGGCGTCGTCGAAAAGCCGGCATGTGGAGCATGCTTGCTGCCGATCAATGGCTCAAAGCTGGGCAACCAACCCTAGCTTCAGCCTGTTTGGAAGAAGCTGAGCGTCTCTATGCTGACGTGCTACAGGCTGATGGGGTGTTCCCCATGCCTGAGATGCAGAGCTTCGTCGATAACCTGCGCCATGCTGTCAAGGTTGAATATCTTGAATCGAGGGGATTCGATGCCCGAGATGAACCGGCGAGCGATGATCCCCTGGGCACTGAGGAGACTAGTGAGAAGCTCGACATGCGCCATCATCGCCGGTCTTTAATTGGGCTTCCTGTGCAGCTGGATGCCGGAACTTTCAACTCGACGCAGGGGTCTCTGGACCCCGAGAATCCATCAAGTGATGACTTCGAACGAGCTTAGACTCATTATGGCCTTAATACCTCATCATAGCATACATATAACCATAGAATACAAGCTTGTTCAAACAATCATTCAGGTGTCTGATGTTAAGTATACATGTCTATCAACATTATGTCACGGCCTCCAGGGGGTCCACGGGTATCCACCACAGGCGTGTCACGTGGTGCTTATCGATAAAGCTGTTGAAGCCGTAGCAGCGTTCATGGGTGGATGCACAGATGACCCCATTTGCTTTGTCTGCGAGGCTCCCAAGAACACATTTTCCAAAATTAGGTCCTTGTGCTTAGAGCGAGTCGTTTATTTTTTTTTTCTTAACGTATTCTTGCATGATGAGCGAACTACTAAGATATATCCTCACTCAAGAGGAAGCATTTCGAAGGTAAAGACCGAGTCACAAATGCCAAAACCAGAGAAAGGACACCACGCTTACTGTCAATATCATGTCCTCAGAAATCGCTTACCATCTCTGTACTCTGACTTCACGCCCCAAAAGAAGACAAACCCCGACGGCTACGCTGTTAACGTCGCAGCATGGGAACAAGCACTCAACCGAGCCGCAAAACGCGGCTATACCTCCTCTCGCGGTGTGCGCGCACGTTCCGGCTCCAATATATCAGCTAAAAGCGGAACAGCATCTGCTAAACGAAAGAAGACGGACCACCTGATTCTGCGGACAGATGAGTCGCTGCTCCGGGATTTAGAGAGTCCGGAGTGGGGGAGACCCGTAGCTCTGGGCACTGTATTTGTGGGTCTATGATGTTTCCTCTAAGTGGCAGATCTATGAAGTTAACCAACGAGTATTACAGGACGAGGCAGTGCGCAAGAGTTCGATGATTCCATTACCAATCTACAAGACAACTGCTGGGCTTTTGCAAAAGAAGAGTCAGTGGAAGCTAATTGACCCTGGGGTTTTGAGTCCTTGGAATGTTATGAGCTGGGGAGCTCGGCAACTCAAAGGGTTTGTGATAGGTTCTGAGAGCGATTCGGCACCAAAGCTGCAGGTGCAGGAGTTGGTCTTGGTAGAAAACCTACAGGAAGCAGCAGACCGAGCAGTTAAGAAAGCAACAGGCAACAACTCAACAAAGCTTGACCTGATTTACTCTAGAGAGAGCTTTGTTGAAGAATTTGCAGGCATACTGAACGACGCTACAGAATTATCAGATGCGGATTTTGATGTCTTGTTGCTTTATTTGTCTCGCGATAGCGGTGCTATTGCATATGATGGGAAGGTAAGTTGGACTATATAAATATGGACAAAAAACCCAGATACTGACTTGATTGAGTATTAGACAATCAAGTTCAAATCCGCAGGTGAATCGGGGGAGATCACCCAACAGGACACAACCATTGCATCCATCAAGACTTTGGTGTCGACAATGTCGAAACAGGTCACAAGTCTGGAAGCCAAGATCGCTGAGTTGAATTCGTCTGCAAAGGCGGCCTTGGCCAACAAAAACCGTATTTCGGCGCTGTCCGCTTTGCGCTCTAAGAAGCTGGCTGAACACAACCTCCAGCAAAGGTTCAACACCCTCATGCAGCTCGAGGAGGTTTATTCCAAGATCGAGCAAGCGGCCGGCCAGGTTGAGATAGTACAGGTCATGCAGGCGAGTACCGGTGTACTTCGCGGTCTGCATACTCAGATCGGCGGCGCCGAGAGGGTTGAGGACATCGTTGAAGAATTGCGGGAAGAGATGACCAAGGTAGATGAGGTCGGAAGCATCATTAACGAGGCTGGCCCGGTCATTGATGAAGGAGAGATTGATGATGAGCTTGCAGAGATGGAGAGGAGCGACAGAGAGGCGAGAGAGAAGGAGGAGGCGGCAATCACCGAGAAAAGGCTTGCCGAACTTGACAGCGCCAAGCAAGCCTCCGACGAGGCCTCCCGCAAAGCACGTGCGGCCAAAGATGCAGAAGCGGAGTTGGCAGATAACCTTATTGACCGGCTCTCTAACATGTCTGTTGAAGACCGCCCGATGCAAGCAAACTGACGCCCTCCGAATTGTGGGGGAAACCTTGTTTTACATGTGACTTGTTCTTTTCGGTGCTTCTCAATTCAAGTTCAATGTGGCTTGTTTTGCGATCACCCAGATAGATCAACGACATGATTGGCATCAGTGTCTGGGTTGAGCTCAACGCGTGCACCATTTACGGGTAAGCCGGTACCCTCCTGGTGGGCAGAAGAGGATGAAGATGCTCCGGGGATAGTCGATCGTACTTGCACCTCGCTCTTTTTACGCGCATTTGCGATCAAACGCTTAAAATCATCATCGTGGTTGTTTGACCACTCATTGGCATCGAAGTCCTTGCGCATGACATTATTGGAAGTGGTGAATGCTGACGGCGCCGCCGCATGTCCACCCTGCGTGCGTTCCCAAACCTCTAGTTCCTGGAGCAATATCCGCTTAGATTTGGGGTATTTGGAGTCGCAGTTTGCATTCCAAAGGTTCATCCACTCCGTATGGCGTCTTTGCAACAGCTGTTTTTGACCCCAGTCTGGGATTCCAAGATCTCGGAGCTTTTTCCGCAATGAGTTATCCTTCAATATGGAGTAGTTTATAGCCGGAAGCCGCTCGGGCTGTTTGCCGGGGAGAGGGAGGTCTCGTTGGGATGTGCCTTTTAATGACCTGTAAATATCATCTAATTAGCGCCATTTATTGATTTGTGCAATAGAATTTACATACCCAAAAGATGCTGGCTTCGTAGAGGTTTTCCTAGGCACTTCTTCTTCCTGCTGGTGCACGTTCAGGTGTGGAAACACTGCCTCTTCTTTCATTTTGCGAAAGCATATTGGGCATGCAACCAGCCCATCTTCTGTGACGTGATTAGACGGGTATGGTATCCATGTAGTAAAAGTATCATACCAGGCATATATTCTTCATCATCCTGACTATCCTCAATGATTTCGGGCATGATCTGAGGAACGGTTCGCTCTGCTACCGAGCCATTTATGGATTTTTGAGAGCGAGTCCGTCGGCCTTGCGAACTCGTTTCCGGGACCTGGAGGTCCTTCTCTTCGACCTGCTGGACCTTCCGCTTCTTCTGGGCCGGCTCTTCTGTTTCTTCTTCTCCCCTGGTAAGACGCACGTTTGCCCTTCTCGCAAGATCCAGTACACTAGGTCGTGCCAGTTTAAACGCGTCGACGAGTTCCTGCACTGCCCAATTGCGACGAAGTTTGAGCTCTTGGTCGGAGCTCCGGCATGCAGGACACTTGCCTTCAGCGCTAAGGCAACGGCGAATGCATAGCGAGCAGAATGTATGACTGCAGGAAGTAATAACGGGGTTATCGAAGAAGTCTTTGCAGACTTGACACCGCAATGAGGATTCGAACGGCGCAAGTAATGAAAGTGGCGTTTCCAGCCAATCGGTGGAGTCGGGGAGCTCGAACGACTTATCCATTGGAGCAAGACCTAAGCCCTGAGCTCTCAAGATCTTTTATTTGGCAATTCTAGCCGGACTCACCCGGCAATAGCAAATAAAAGAGGAGGAGGATGTGAGTGGAGAGCCTGAGCAATGAGACCGCAAATGCCAAGACCCGCTGACTGATACGCGTTAAGTGGTTGAGAACGCGTCGGAGTATCTTTCAAGCATTTCAACAGCAACCATGGACTCGAAGTTGTATCTGGCTGAGAATGTGCTCAATGAGCGACGCCCTGTATGATTTTCTCACGCTATTCAGACAAGCACGAGCTTATGAAAATTAGGTCACATATCGCTTACTGAGCCGCGCGCTCAAAGTGCACGCCAATCGGGCCAAACAGTACGTTCTGCGTTAACAAGAATGGAAATTGGGATTTTAATGACACTGATGCTCCGTCGCATAGTATTCTTTTTGAATTCCACCGCAATGAGAACGCGAAGAAGCCACATACTGTCCACGCAACCTACGTCATCTCCGGCATCCAGAAAGCGCCTGAGCCGGCCCCTACAAACGGCCATGCGGACGATGAAGATGATATGATGGCGAGCATTCCCTACTTGTCCAGCTCAATGCCGAACCAAGATGCAGACTCGGACTCAATTCGCACTACCTCCATCGTCTTAGCGCGCGAGGAAGACTTGGAAGGTACGCAGATCCATAGATCTTGGTGATATAATTGTACTGAATGAGTTGAACAGATGCGAAATCAACCTTCCAATCCATATCCACAATCCATGTCTACAGTCTTGAGCCTACAGCTCTACCGGATCTGAATGTGTTGGTTGATTCCAATCGGGAGATTGCGAGAACATACGGACAGGAGGACCCACTGGAGTTTGGGAAGCAATGGGGTATGATCCAAAATCGAAACGTCAAGGTAGGCCATTTGTACTTCCGCATATCTCTCGTGGTCTAATGCTTGTATGTTACAGCGGAGGACTGGCGCGCGCCCACCGCCACTTGCAGCTTCAGCTGTAAAGGCGCCGACTACTAAGCCATCAAAGCCTTCTATTGAGTCGACGGTGCCTGCTAAACGGCCACTACAAAAGGAAGCATCCTCTTCGAAAGCAGAAGCTACCAAGTCTGATGAACTGAAGTCTGAGCCATCTTCTGCTGCCAATCCTCAGACATCCGCGAACCCTTCGGGTAAAGCAGCCCCAGCCAGACCAAAAGGCAATGGCAATCTTTTCAGCTCTTTTGCCAAAGCAAAGCCAAAGACTAAGGTATCGACGCCCGCGGAATCGGTTCGTGTAATTACTCGTGCTGCATTCTTCCCCCTATCCGTTTTTGTTCATCACTGACCCTGTTCACCAATTTTTACTACAGGCCGCACCGAGTGCAGAAGATGGTTAGTTGACTCCACTTAGCTTTGACACATTAGCTAACATTTTCTAGTCGTACTTGATGATGCATCTGAAGAAGAAGCAGAAGAATTGTTCCCTGATAGTACCGATAAAGCAGCCGCAGCAAACCGCGAAAACAGGAAAGAGCGCGAGGAAAAGCTCAAGAAAATGATGGATGATGATGACGACGAGGCTGATGGTATGCCCGGGCCTCCAGGTTGCATCTTCAAGAATGGTCTAATTGACTTGGGTGCAGATGAAGAAATGCCGGATGCCGATGAGGAGCCACGAGAGCCCACGCCTGTTGAGCAACCGCCACCATCCAAGCCCGCTGAACTTAAAGAAGAAGTGACCGTACAAGGCGGCCGGCGGCGAGGCAAGCGACAAGTCATGAAGAAGAAGACGGTCAAGGACGAAGAAGGATACCTAGGTCCGTGCATCCCGCTGAGGCCTATTCGTTTGATGACATGTACTAATCTGATGCAGTTACTCGGGAAGAGGCGACGTGGGAGTCTTTCTCCGAGGATGAGCCGGTGCCTAAGAAGAAGCCCGCAGTCAATGTTCCTAAGGCGAAGGCTGGAAAAGCTGCGGGTCAGGGTAATATCATGTCTTTCTTTGGAAAGAAATGATCTCCGTAGTATTGCTGTGTTGCAATGAATTTCGAAAAGCACCGATATCTAATAAACGCACTGTGATCATATATCGTTCCCTTCTATGTCAAGTATATCAACCCTAAAAAGGAAATCCCGCGATGTCGATCTTCTCCGCACTTTATGTGGAGAAGAGTGTCATCGTGTTTTGACCGATGTCACCTCGATTTTGTGTACTTTCTATTCCTCCGACACTATCTCAAATTCTCTATCCAAAGATATGTAGCTCGGTACTTGCGAACAGCACGGAGAAACTGTATGCGTGCTGTGGAATGTATCCCTGTCCGGTTGGGATCGACATCCGTCCCCTCTTATTTACCCCGGCCTGATTTTCTGTAGCAGTGCAAGTTGTCTTTCTTCCAACTTGAGGCTTGCGCCATGACTCTTCCTGCTGTGCTTGCAGTCGCGATACTGGGCCTCCAGGCCGGCGCCCTTCCAGAGAGAGATAACCCAGCCATCTTGCGACGGGCATGTCCGGACTACACCTCCTACGCATCATCACCGCAGTGAGTGTCCACACCCATCGAAATGCGCCGGATATCTGCTAAGCAAGATCATATTGTCACAGTGCTCCCTACAGTGGGGGTCCCTTGAACCTTCCCTTTCAACGACCTGCGGAAGCTTGCCGGACCTTCTCATCGCCCGCTGTGGAGAAGGTCATTGACGATATCACATCGCGGCTAGTCGATAAAGACCTAGCTCAACTATTCCGAAATGCATTCCCGAATACCCTGGACACAACAATCCGGTGGCATACAAATGGATCAACATCATCCGGTACCAATACCAGGCGGGATGGCGCACAATGGACCGGCGTGCAGACCTTCGTTGTGACAGGCGATATCAATGCTGAGTGGCTGCGTGACTCGACAAACCAGCTCACAAACTACCAGACACTGGCTGCCAAGGACAAGACTCTCTACTCGCTTATCTTAGGTGCTATCAATACCCAATCCGAGTTCGTCATTCAGTCCCCCTATTGCAATGCTTTCCAGCCGCCAGCCCTCAGCGGTATCAAGCCCGAAGCCAGCACCCAAAAAGATACTGTACATCCTGCATATGACGAGTCCTTTGTATTTGAATGCAAATATGAACTTGACTCTCTGGCCCATTTCCTACAGCTAGGCACCGAGTTCCACGAGAATACTGGTTCAACTGAGTTTTTGACTGACAGATGGTACAAAGCGCTGCAAACTGTGCTCAAAACCATCGACGCGGAGTCTCAGCCCACATTCAATACCCAGGGCCAGTTCGTTAAAAATCAGTACACGTTCCAGCGACAGACTACCATTGGCACCGAGACCCTCAGCCTAGCTGGTGTTGGAAATCCGCTAAATGGCGAGACTGGCCTAATTCGCAGCGCGTTCCGACCTAGCGATGATGCTACGATTCTAGGCTTCTTCATTCCACCCAACGCTATGATGTCAGTGCAGCTGCAAAAGACAGCGAAAGTTATCAAGGCAGCCGGTGGGCCTGCAGGTCTCATTGCAGATCTACAGGAGCGCGGTACCAAGCTAGCCAAGGCAGTTCGAGATCATGGCATTGTTCAACACCCCAAATATGGAGATGTTTATGCATTTGAAGTCGACGGGTACGGATCACGTATTCTCATGGACGACGCCAACATCCCATCGCTGCTTGCGCTACCCTACCTCGGTTTCGTGGACAAATCAGATCCCGTCTACCAGAATACACGCAAAATGATCACCGACAAGGCCTCCAACCCATACTACCTGGTGGGTCCGGAGTTCCACGGCATCGGTGGTCCACACATCGGTCTTGAGAATGCCTGGCCCATGTCTCTACTTGTTCAGGCTATGACCTCCGACGACGACGCTGAGATCATTGAAAATCTAAATCTCGTTCGTGACTCCAGCTTGCTTGGGCTTGTACACGAATCTATCAATGTTACGAACATCAAGGACTATACCCGTCCTTGGTTCGCGTGGGCGAATTCAGTCTTTGCACAAACTGTTCTTAAAATTGCGGCTGAGAGGCCTCATTTGATATTTGGTGCCAATGCAAAGCCTTACAATGTTCAATAGGGTTGATTGTCTGCTTGTGGCTTGGGCTTCCTTCGCATTCCTTGATCATGCTCGTGGACCCTAATCATATCCTTATATCATTATCATTATGTTTATACATAGCATCAATTCTGAATGTGGCTAGGTTATCTTCATTCCGAAATACGTTTCATCCAATGCACAAATACGTGTGTAGCTTAGTTCCTCCATGTCAACAAGTACCCATTCTCTCATACTTTAGACTGCCTCTTCTCAAGTGCCTTTCGCCGAGTACGGATCGCCTTTGTCTCCTCCCTCAGGGCCAATCCGGCCATAATCTCCTCACTTCCGCCGCCGACTACATGAACCCGAGCATCACGACTAATCTGTTCGATCCTAGCTCCTTTCCCAGCCTTGTTATAGCCCGCACCTCCCATAATCTGCTGTGCTTCTCGGACACTCTTTTCTAGAGCCCTCGTTGACATGACCTTTAGCAAAGCAGTCATGCCACCAATGTTGACATCGTCAGAAGGACGGTTTTTGGTGAGTTCGAGGATATTTACAAGCTGCTCCATGAACGCATAGGCTGGCTCAATCATCAGACCAAATTTGAAGATCTTGGACTGGATTGCCTGTTTTTCAATCAGTGGTGATCCAAATGTCTCGCGTTGTAAGGCGTAGTTGTAGGCATCTTCGGCACAGACTCGGGCGAGTCGTAAGGATGCACAGGCAAGGGAGAGACGTTCTGGGTTGAAGTCTGATTCAAATATTAGCATTCAATTCAGGTTCCTGGATTAGTTACACTCACTCGACATAATTAGGGGGAATCCCTTGTTCTCTTGACCGATGAGGTTCTCGACAGGAACTTGCACATCTTCAAACTCGATGAAGGTTGAGCCTGTACTTGTGTCAATCAGTGGTATCTTCACAGCCTCATATCAAAAGAAAGCCACCCACCACTGGCATTTACGCCCGAGTTATGCATACGCCTGCGAGTCACCCCGGCAGTAGCCAGGGGGATAACAAGCAAGCTGATACCAGACCTGCCAGGACCACCAGTCCTAACAGCAGTAGTGCAATAATCAGCCCAGATACCATTGGTAATCCATTTCTTCGCCCCATTCACAATATAGTGATTTCCATCCCGCTGGGCGGTAGTCTTGATACTGGCAACATCAGAGCCCGCTAAAAAAAAGCAAATACGGTCAGCAATCCATCTCCTCTGGTAAGAAGATACATTTCCACTGCAAGTAAACATCTACATACCATCTGGTTCGGTAATCCCCAAACAAAATCTGATATCCCCCCTCGCAACACCAGGAAGCCATTTCTTCCTCTGCTCAGCATTCCCAAAACGCGCAACAGGCGGACATCCAATCGCATTACCACCGCCCAGCCCCCAAGTCACGCCGACATAGCCAATGCGTGTGAGCTCGTCCGTTGCAATCAGCGAACACCATGTGTCCCACTTCTCGCGCGGCACATCACCAGGTAGAGAGAGGCCGGCCGAGTCCTCCTCGCTCGTGAGGGGATGCACGATGCCGTAGCCCAGTCTGCAATGACGCCGGCGTACAGCTTCGGGGACTTGACCAGCTTCTTCCCAGTCTGCGGCGTAGGGGGAGATATATGTGTCGATGTACTCGCGTACGGTAGCGCGTAGGTTATGGTGGAGGTCTGTATAGTATGGATTGCGGATGTCTAGTTGTTGGAGAAGGGGCTCACTGTATGGAGCTGTTGCTGGACGAAGAGTATGGGCCATGATGGAGTTATTAGTAGGGAAGATACAAGATGAATACAAGATAGATAGCTGAGTAGTGTGGAATAAGGGATATGGCTGGTATTTGATGTACAAGTTTATGCGGGGAAGACCAAGCTCGGTCGCCTGTGAAGAATCTGGGGAGAGCTAGACCGAGGCCCGATTGCTGATCTTCATTTCCTTCTTCACAAAGAGACTTATGCAATTTTATCATGACTTGGGTCTATGTTATCAACCGAGAGAAACGCCAGGGTTTTACCTTGATTGCTCTAAGGAGTAGTTCAGTCCTTCTCTTGATTCCATTCAAGTCTTACATGGCCAAGAAAAGAGGTCAGTTACTCCTGTGTGTCAAGAATATGTAGGATCTTAAAGGAACATTGTTTTGATATTCTTTCAAAACGGGGCACAAGGACCACCACACCACACGGACAAAAAGAACACAAACGACCGACCGACAGATTTTCTCTTATTCCTGCCCCTCGCCCTCGAGATTGTCAACGACCTTGAACTTTCTCCTTCGTCCCTCCTACACCGCTGCCAGAACCCAATATTGACACAGGAGCCTTAGAGGCAAGTGCTGCATTCTCCATGGGCTTTCGCCTCGCTGAGGAGTCTTGATCCTGGTGCTAAATGAACCATATGGAGTGGGTATGAGCCTCGGTCGTCGGATGCGGTTGTGTATTCAACACGCACCGGTAGAGCCCGGGGATGCAAGCGGGACACTGGAGGCATCGTAACGTCCGCCTCGGCAGTGTCATTCGAGATCATAGCGTCACTCGAAGTAGGGGCGTCTGTCTGCGTCGTAATGGCGGCAGAATCGGACCGAGTCAATATCGAAGAGGCAATCGACTGGAGAGTTGCTGTCACAAAGGCAAGCAACCGTTGAAGAAAAGGGCGACTACTAGGAGTATCAGCGAGCGCCATATCAGCGGCCTCAATCCTCGCGATAGCATCCCAGTAGTCGTCTTCATGTTCAAGATTGTATTGGCGGAAGACAATGAGAGGCTCAGGGAAATGGTGGCGACGCCAGGCTGGATAAAGCAAGGGCATCAATAAGCCATGGCAACAAAGGAAAAAACACTAAAATGAAACTCACCAGGACGGGCTCGGCGCCGCTCCCAGATTATGCGGACGGCATCAGCGAGAGGAATTCCGAGGGGAGGGGAAGAGTATGGCGCGCTATAGATGGCAATTTGTGTCAACAGCCATGTTTCTCACGTTGGTCTATTGCATGGCACCTACATGAGACGCACGAAAAAGTCCTTCACGACTTCAAAAATGTTGGTCACAACGACCCAAAAGGCCATTAAGGGCCAAGCAAGAATCCCAACAAGCCGCATTATTGTTGTGATTTGAAAGGCGAAGAGGAAAAAGGAACGACTCAAAGGGCAGATTGTTATTGTTCACCTGGGTGTACTTCGGGAAAGATTCATGGCTACTCATATGAGGGCAACTACTATAGCATCAAGTATCAACAATACAGGAAAGTACCATTACAAGATAGGAAAGCAATAAAAAGTATCATAGGGACGACCATTTTGGTGTATGTGCGGGAATAATCTATGGATTGTTCATAGATGCCTTTATCATAGTGCTACAAAGACACGGTCAAGGCTGTGTAGAGACAACCTTAGAGATTACCTTGACAGATTATTGAGATATCCTGATACATTTTCTTTCACGGGGCTATTACAGTCATCCCAAAAGCCAATATGAAGTGTCGCGTTCACAATAGGGTCAACTAGCTTGTTGACCGGAACTGTTACCTCTGCGTGAGTATCTCATGGAGAATCAAAGCAAGGAGAGCTATGGCTTTATCATTTAGGGGAACGAGGAAGAGTAAGGAGCGTGATGCTCTGTAGAATAAGATAGGTAAACGTGTAGCTAAGTCAGCCAGTTGAGATCTGAAACCAGATCAATCCCAGGTCAAACAAGGATATGTCCATACCATGCTCAACCGCAATACTTTTCAGCCTCTCCAGGCCTGTTGCCCTATTTCCATTTTGGTGCTTGGTCCCTTTCCGACTGAAGACCACTAAAGAACGCCCGCATATATCGAGCATGGGAGGTCTTATTGCCATAATGATGCATATCAGCGAATTCCTCCATGAGACGCTTGGTAGTCTCCTGCCAAATGTTGTCCGTTCCCAGTGGCAGTATCTCGAATCCCCGGGCGTTAGCGCAACAACTGCATTCAACAGTGCAGTGGCCAAGCCCTCGAGGTCTTTCGGGAGTTGGTTCACGTTTTTCGCAGCAACCACACTGACGGCCGCAGCATCCACCTCTTCCTGCGCAGTCATTTGTCAGGTCAGGGTGGAGATACCACTTAGGATTAGATCGATTGGTATCATAAGCCCTGCGCAGTGGGCCGGCTGGAAGCGAGGATTCGAATTTGTAAAGCTCTCGTTCGTATTGCCAATACTGCTTCGGAGAGTCTCTGAGAAGGTTAAGATTGTGTTTGATATGTCTCTCCACTTCTGGGGTCTGTTCCTTTCTTTCCAATATCTGGCACTTCTGCTTCAAAGACTCTTCCCGTTGGACAGAATATCGAAGTAATAGGTCGAGCCCGGATATCACTGTGAGAACCTCTTGAAGCTCAAAGTGCTTAAGCCTTGGGTCATGCTTGATATAATAATTGACAACTGAAAGGCGGAATTTTTGCAAGGAATCGAAATTGCCCGACTTTTCTAGTCTGGCGTCGATTTTCTCAAAAAGGGGTATGAGTATCCAGGCGAACATTTTGTAAATAGGTCAGTGAATTGTATGAGATAAGTGAAAAGAGGGTATCGCAGCCCAAAGGCTGATGGAACTCATATTCAATATATACCAGCATGTATGCCAGCCGCCTCCCAAACGGGTACCGGCCCAGTAGGGTTACTTTAGACAGAATTGAGGTGAATGAACAACAAAATTAGATGGCATCCATGGATACCAGCTCATTTTGAGTCATATGTATGTTTTGGGGAATACAGCAGATGTACACACAGTAATATCTCTTTGAAGCCCGTGGGCACTTGTACCTCACCCTTGGAACATTGAAAATCCAGTCAATTTAAAAGTTCTTATATCTAGGTGACTACGTACTGAAATCATGAATCTTCCAAGGTCTACTTGTACGTCATATATACAGTAATATAGCATCTAGGATTCACCCCCCTTTTGGCGGCGGAGGGTGAACTTGATTACCCTGATTGATGGCTAAATGCCATGATTTCTGTGCCAACTGGATTTATTTTGGCGGTGCAAATGCCCATGGCTGTATGATATTTCCCTTCGCATTGAAAATACTGTACCATATTGTGAATATTAACCTTGACATATTGTTGAAGATCCTTGACAATATATGTCCTCGATCAACCAATTTCCAGCGCAATCACACACAATCAACCTGCAGAGTAAGGCCTATCTCCTCTCCCTTTATGCCTTTATTGTTGAAGGGAACAAGTCTCAGTCATCAACGAGGGAAGCAAAATCCATAAGCATACTACAACTGTGTTGACCTGGCCCAGACACTGGCAAATCGCTGGTCAAAACTCGCCCAGTATGACTATCTCCCCGTCAGTGATTGCTTTCAAAGGCGAGAAAGGAAAGGCTCCGGGGTTAAGGAAGTATTTGGCTCTTTCCTTCACTGTGTTGACTGTTGTAGTTGCCATTTTTGAAGAGATGAAGAGAAACACCCCCCCGGATTGTAGCACTCCTCTTCTTCTTTCTTTTTCCCAAGCAACATCAAAGCACATTAAAACTTCTGAATCAAAGCCTTTTTTTTGTTTATATACACAATGTGGAAGGTCGCACTGGTTGTTGGCCTTCTTGTAGTGGTCTTCGCTGTGGCCGTCCTTGCTCTTTGGTAAGTAAGAAGTTGAGAGGATTTCCTCTCATTTCACCCTCATTTCCCTCTCATTCATCCCTCTGTTGTGCTCAACTTCGGTTCAGTATATCTTCAAGCACCAAATATCCGATGATTGATCCTTCTGGGGCATGGTGCTAATTGATGTATAGGCGCGCCCCCCAGGAGACCTACCGGGGTGTTGACCCCATCCAAGCGGCCACTAGCGTTTGGGTCTGGAACACCACCCGGCCCTGTAAGTCATGTTCCAATAGAAGATTTTCTGTGTGATGAAGAGGCACTGACAATATTGGTATAGTCGGGTGTGGCCGCCGCCGGCGGTACCCACAACCCTTGTTCATCCAGCACGACCACGAAAGCCGATACGTGTCAGCTCCCATCAACCTCGATGCTGGCCCTACGATGCTCGAGGAGCAGGCTGCCCCTGAGACGCCTGCTGCCCCAACAACTACCTCTCTGGTATATTGGGGTTTGAACAAGCTGGTAACGCAATGCAAAGTCTTGTTCGCACAAGTCTACCCCAGTGCTGCCGGTATGAAGCCTGGGGAGCAGGCCACCACTGAGACGCCTGCTGCCTCCTCGACTGACGTTACGATGTCCGGGGGTCTGAGTGCGCAGCAAGATGCGCCAAATCGGTCCGGCCAGCAAACACATGGCCAAATCAACGAACAGTCGACCGCCGCTGCGAAGTCGACCCCGCCTGGCCCTCAGGTCGACGGGTCCGGTTCGAGTGACAATTTGATCTCGAATGCCCCACAGGCTGACGATATGACGCCTCAGGGCCGAAGCACCATTCGGGTTGCCAGGGAGTATCTGATCCCCGCCAGAATTGGCTCATCTCCGCTCCGTGTTATCAATATCTTCCCTGGAGAAACTCTCGTGGGACAGAGCACGGAATCTGTGGCACCCGCCAATCAGGCTCCCACAGATCAAACGGCGATTGAGCGTGCTTCGCGGATGTTTGCTGACACCGTGAAGGCCGTGCTGTCGTGGTGAAAGGGGTCGAAGGGCTGGGTGGTGGCGACCCGCGGACCGGGGCGGCGCTATGCCACTCCGGCCGCGGGTCGAATATCTGCATATTCATGTCCGGCGGGGCCGGCCTTTTTTGGGGAGAGGGAGGGGGGCGGAGGGTGGGTGTTGTGTTTTTGTTTTTGTTTTTGTTTCTGTTTTGTTCTGTTTTGTTTTCCGTTTTCATGTGTATATTGATCAAAGCTCTGCAACGAGCGTTGCCGTCATCACCTTCATCCACTGTAAAGAAGCAGCGTTGTAAGATTGGCTTCTAGGGGGCTTTTCTATCAGAAGGAGATATTCTCAATTTGTGCTTCAAAGAGGGGAGTTATGCATTTCTATCATTATCATTTGGGTATATAGTATTAGAATCCAAGCTCATTGGTCCCTGTTTCCCTGCGTTTCCTCGTATCGTCGAACAGCTTTCTTCATCGCCCGTAAATGCTCTTTCACATCCTGGCAATTCCACCGCTGCTGCGATCTGGGCTCCAACATTCCTTTCATACATGTCATGAGAGAGTCAGCGACTGAGATTCCATTGTCCAGTACAACTGAGCCATAATCGACCTTGGCGGCGAAATCTGGAGGGAAGACGGTGCGTTCAGACGGATCCTGGCCTGATCCGCGAGTTAGGTCATTCAAGACAAATTGTCTTTCCATCTTTGTGTTCAAACGATAAACAGTCTCGAAGAGAATGACACCGAGGGCGTAAACATCGAGCTTTTCGTCAATCTTGTATTCGTCAAAGAAATCCACTGGTGAGTTCGGGTCACTTGCAGGCGCAGACAGATTAGCTGGAGGACGATAGAACTCGGTTCCAACCACTCGCTGGATATTCGGCCCTTCTCGGAACGGTGCCATAGTGCCCTGTGCTGCCTCGTTGATGTGGGAGATGTCGGCCACGAGGCCAAAGTCCCCGATGCGGGGACGACAGAAATGCATGGGGGATGATTCGCCGGAGCTGCACGCGGTGCATATATCTGCTGTGCTAGTCTCTGGCGCACATAGGAAGATGTTTGCAGGCTTCAAGTCGCGATGTACAATCCCCTTTGAGTGCAGATACTCAACACCCGACACAATATCCATCATGAGCTTCAGTGATGGAAGTAGATGGAAACAATGGCGCCTGGCGTGTGAACATCCATCATACTTCGGAGTGGCTTGAGGGTTCAGATACGCGCCGAGTGAAATGGGATGAAGTGACATTTGAATGTGAAGAATGACCGCCGGGGGTTGCTGACCAGGGCGGGAACGGGGTTGAATTTGGAGTTTGGACTGGTCTTGGCTCAGACCATCAGTGAAGATGTCGTCAGTATTTCCAAAAGTAGATGTTTGGTCAACAGAGGTATGTCCGTCGAAGGTACGGGGAATGGATTCAATGTCATCATCTTCCTCATCCAATCCCCTTCGTGAACTCTTTTTTGACCGACGGGATGAGGTTGTAGCATGGCTGTCCCAGCGTCGAATACTCTCGGTAAAGCTGTGATCTTCAGGTAGAGAGCTTGACTGGGACTCGGGATCTGAATTTTCAGAATATCCGAAGACAATTCCCATGCTTGACTCGTTTGGGTTACCTGGAGAAGACAAGCTGTTTTGCGACTCATCACATGCTGTATCAGAAGGGTGGTATTCAGTTGGAGGTGGGTGCGAGTGATGGGCCTGCTCTACCCATGCCCCATAGTATCGAACAATGTTCGTATGCTCAAGGCGGGCAAGTGTGCGAATCTCTTTCATGATAACCTCGAGCTGATTTTGACCTCCAAATTGCAGCTGTTCAAGTCGTCTTTGACTGAGTGGGATCTTCTTGACGGCATAATCTTGTCCGTCAATGTGATTGGTGACGTGGTATACTTCACCGAAAGACCCGCGGCCCAATATCTTGAGCTCCTGGAATTCGACGGCATATCTTGACAGCTGGTTGTATGGCGGGGCTGTGGGAGAGTGGAAAAGCGGAATTCCGACCGGTGAACTACCAAAGAGGGGAATCGAAGGGTTGGGGAGGTTCATTGGTGCACGGGGAATGGCAGGAATGAAATCCACCTTATTAGCAGGAGGAAGCTGTTTCCTAAACGCTGGATTTGGTTCGGTGTTCCGCCGAAACAGTGCAGGGCTGTCCGCATTTCCAGCGCTAGGGTTCTTCATCCAAGCTTTTTTTATTAAGGCGAGATCCTCGCCAGAGTCAATTGCGGTAGACCGTCCGTGGGGTTCATGGAAATTCATCTCCTCGAGGGCAGATATACCAAGCAAGTCAAGGTTATCACGATAAGTCTGCCTACTTGGCCCCATCTCCTCTTTGTCAATACCGTCAGCCAAGACACCATGAGCTGACAGGAACTGTGATTTGTATTTGTATAGTTTCTTACCAAGGTATTGAGCCTCGGGGCTGTGTCGACTGAACGGTTTATTCGAGCCACGCTGAGCATTGAGAATGTCTGCTGCTCGACTCTGACAATAAAATTCCAAGAGGGCGGCTGTCATAACATTTGCATGCTGATCAACATTTACATCCACCAAATCCTGTGGCAATGCTGGTCTATCGTCGAAAGAGATCGAAGAGTCTGGATCTGTAGCATCCGAGTCTTTCGGGACTTGCTTGGTCTTGTCCTTCCTCGAGCTGCTGGATTGATTGTCTGCAGCATGTCGAGGAGTCGATGATCCAGATTCCTGAATCTGACTTTCTTCTGAATCGGAGTCGGGATCCGAGTCCGATGGTGATATTTCTGCTGCTGATCGGAACATCGACATGTTGATAACACTTTTCATTCATATAGCACACGCAATGAAGAATTGAATCAGGGCTGTGCCAGCGCCATTGGCGAGAGGTGAGATACACTGATATTTTCAAGTAAAAAAGAAGAGGAAGTAAAGAAAAGACAGGCCCATAGGTCGGTATAAATCGTGAAGGCTCCAGAAAGTTGGGCTGAATATTTGCCCCGCAGTAAAATTGAAAGCTGTTTGATCGAGGCAATGGCGCGAGACTGAAAGAATGACAGAAGTCAACAGGTGTCAGCTATCCCTTAGACGGAGATGACACGTTGAGCTTGAGATTAAAAAGATGTAAACATGTCATAGAATCCCGGGTCGATCATTGACTCAACCTTCCATCAGGTTCTACTAGAATGTCTTAAGAAGGGCGTGGGGCATGCAGCTCTTGGCAGAAGAATTGAAGATGTGCTGGGTAGAGTCTGAGATTTCAGGAGATAGGCAAACATGAAGAAGTAGACAAAGACTTGGCTTAAGATAAAAGCCGAGTCATTCGGTGCCAAGCCCAGTGAGGCGAGTCATCCGTTTTCGAACCCGTGAACGTGAACACGGGTCTCCAAGGTGTGATGGAAGGCAACGTCTATCCAATGTGTCTCTTTATATCAGATACGTGGATAATTGCCTTTTCTCACATGGCACGAGAGTCAAGAAGAAAAAAAGAGAACATCTGCAGCTAAACTTGTAAATTCCTATACTTCCAAGACCTCTGGACCTCTGCACCAATCAGGTCACCCCGAATCTCTGCTTCAATTTAGCTTATCTTATCACACGTGACTCACACGCGTCAACGTCACGTCCAAGGCGCGACAGCGCGACTTTCACTAGGAGTTGCCCGCTCAACACATTCTCGAGTTTACGAATCTTTTCTCACCACCGTCTCTTTCCCACAAAATTGATCGTGGACTCACTGAGGCTTGGCATTTGAGTTGCCATCATGCCTGAAGCTACCATCCCACCCCAGAAGCGGGTGCTGGGCGACGCGGCCAATAATTCCAACAGTATCTTGAAATCTGCTAGCGCGCTCAAAAAGCGGAAACTCGACAATGAGCCATCAGTGCAGTTTACGCCATCGTCACAGGTAGCTCGGCGGAAGATTGGCTCGACTCAACCACAGAAAAGTCAATTCGAGGAGGAGGTATTGGAAAAGTTGACACAAGATATCGGCGACTTGAAGGAAAACAACTCGGAGAAGGACCAGCAATGGGAGCGTCCCCCGCTGGGTGACTTTGATGAAACTAAGGAAAACATTTGTTTCCAACAGATTGACGCGGAAGAAGCAACGCTGATGGGGAAGCCTGCCATTCGGCTTTTCGGTGTCACCGAGGTGAATATATCTGTCATTCGCTCAGGTTTCGCAGCTAACAGCTCTACCAGACCGGACAATCGGTTTGTCTCCATGTCACCGGCTTTGAACATTACCTCTACATCGCTGCCCCTGTCAGCTTCACGAAAGCGGATTGCGATCCTTACAAACATTTCCTTGAGCAAAAGCTAGGCCAGAGTTTCACTGCGATCTCGTCCATCCAGCTCACAATGCGCGAGAACATTTACGGATTTCAAGGAAACCAAAAGAGTTATTATATTAAAATCACAGTCACGGAGCCAAAAATGGCCGCTCGGTTGCGAAGTGCGTTGGAGACTGGCAGTGGAAGCATGAACTACAAGGGAATGTGGAGCGGCGCGGATGGAATCCTCACATTTGACAGTATTCAATACCTTTTGCGCTTTATGATCGACACGGGGCTAGCTGGAATGGCTTGGGTCGAGGCAATGGCTGGGAAATATCGCCTTCTTGCACAAAATCAACGGTTGTCCAATTGCCAAATCGAAGCCTCTGTTGACTATCGACACATGATAGCTCATCCGCCAAATGGAGAATGGGCTAAAATGGCACCTCTTCGCATCCTCTCGTTTGATATTGAGTGTGCCGGGCGGAAAGGTATCTTCCCAGAGCCTAACATGGACCCCGTAATCCAGATTGCCAACGTTGTTACTCGATACGGCGAAACGAAACCGTTCATCCGAAACGTCTTTGTGCTCGATACCTGCAGTCTTATCGTCAATACCCAAATCCTTGAATTCCAAAAGGAAGAGAAGATGCTCGACGCCTGGCGCGATTTCGTGGAAAAAGTGGACCCCGACGTTATCATCGGATACAATATCGCCAACTTCGATTTCCCATATCTACTCGATCGTGCCAAGCATTTGAAATGTACTGGGTTCCCCTATTGGACCAGACTGAAGGGGTTCAAGACAGAGGCCAAGGATGCAAACTTCTCGAGTAAGCAAATGGGCAACCGGGACACGAAAGCAACGAACACAAACGGTAGAATTCAACTTGATCTTCTCCAATTAGTCCAAAGGGATCACCAGTTGAGAAGTTACACCTTGAATTCCGTATCCTACGAGTTTTTGAAAGAGCAAAAGGAAGACGTTCACCATACAATGATTACTGAGCTGTTCAACGGTACCCCCGATTCGAGACGACGACTCGCGGTGTATTGTTTGAAAGATGCATATCTTCCACAACGATTAATGGACAAATTGATGTGCCTGGTCAATTACACAGAAATGGCCAGAGTCACGGGTGTACCGTTTAATTTCCTCTTATCTCGAGGACAGCAAGTCAAGTTCATCAGTCAACTGTTCCGCAAAGCCCGAGAACAGCAACTCGTTATTCCCAATTCCAAGTCCCAGGACGAGCAAGATTACGAAGGTGCCACTGTCATCGAGCCGAAGCGAGGATACTATGGTGTGCCTGTTGCAACCCTCGATTTCGCATCACTATACCCATCAATTATTCAAGCGCACAACCTCTGCTACACAACCTTGCTCAACAAGAGCAGTGTTGAGAAATTGAAGCTGAAAAAGGACGAAGATTACATTGTCACTCCAAATGGAGATATGTTTTGCACAACCAAAGTTCGCAAAGGTCTTTTGTCCCAGATTCTCGAAGAATTGTTGGGAGCAAGAAAGCGCGCGAAGAAGGAGTTGGCTATCGAGACTGATTCTTTCAAAAAGGCAGTACTGAATGGTCGTCAACTCGCTTTGAAGATCAGCGCAAACAGTGTCTACGGTCTGACAGGTGCCACAGTGGGCAAACTGCCTTGTCTTCCCATTGCCAGTAGTACCACGAGTTACGGCCGTCAGATGATTGAGAAGACAAAGCAGGAGGTTGAAGCACGCTACACCATCGCCAACGGTTACTCCCACGATGCTGAAGTCATCTACGGTGATACCGATTCCGTTATGGTCAAATTCGGCGTCACCGAACTGGCAGATGCGATGAAGCTTGGCCAAGAAGCGGCCGACTTTGTTTCTTCCAAATTCATCAGCCCCATCAAGCTTGAATTCGAGAAAGTATACTTCCCTTATCTTTTGATCAACAAGAAGCGATACGCTGGACTGTACTGGACGAACCCCGACAAACCCGACAAAATGGACACAAAAGGTATTGAGACCGTCAGACGTGACAATTGTCTGATGGTTCAAAATGTCATTGAAACCGTGTTGAACAAAATTCTGATTGACCGTGACATTGATGGCGCTCAAGAGTAAGTTCCGATACCCCTCAAACCAAGCTAACAATAAACTAACTTGATATCTAGCTACGTCAAAGCCACAATTTCAGATCTTCTCCAGAACAAGATTGATATGTCGAAACTAGTCATCACAAAAGCGTTGTCAAAACGCAAGGAGGACTACGCAGGCAAGCAGGCACACGTCGAACTTGCTGAACGCATGCACAAGCGCGACGCAGGCTCCGCACCAACACTTGGTGATCGTGTGGCCTACGTAATGATCAAGGGTGCCAGTGATTCCAAGGGCTATGAACGAGCGGAAGATCCCATCTACGTTCTGGAAAACAACATTCCCATTGATACTAAGTACTACCTCGACAACCAGCTTACAAATCCACTCAACCGTATCTTCGAACCCATCTTGGGCGAGAAGAAGGCAGGTCAGTTGCTCACAGGCGAGCATACGCGGTCTATCACCAAAGCGGCGTCGAATTTGGGTGGACTGATGAAGTTCGCCAAGAAAACCCAGACGTGCATGGGTTGCAAGAAGCCCCTTTCTAGCAAGGACGAGATGGAGGGGGCCGTCTGCTCGAACTGCCGCCCTCGCCTTGGTGAACTTTACACAAAAACCCTCACCAAAGTCTCCGATCTAGAGGTCCGATTTGGGCGCCTGTGGACTCAGTGCCAGCGATGCCAAGGCAGTCTTCATTGTGAGGTCATCTGTTCATCTCGTGACTGTCCGATTTTCTACATGCGGATGAAAGCGAAGAAAGATGTTGAAGATTCGCAGAAAGAGCTGTCTCGGTTTGACTTGGACGCTGGTGCTTGGTAATTGGAGGGCATTCTCCATTGTATGACTTATTCTTTTCTTGGACAGCTGGATTTTTGGTGGTATGGTCAAACCTTGAGCATGGATGAATGGCGTTGGAGCTTGAAAATAATGTACGAGATTGAATAATAACAAGAAGTCGAGGTGACCTTCCAGTGGCTCGCTTCTTTTTGCATCTTTTCCAATGGCTTTTGCGTACTGCTATCAGTTTCTCGGGGTTTGAAGTTGTTAGCAAGATCTAGTGTACTCCGTACCTGGTGAGACTATAGACTGAGTGCACCTATGTAGAACCGTCGGCTACTTATGCAACCTTGCGGTGCCTCTTTAGCAGTCTCTTCAGTGGTCTTCTCATACATTTTGCTTAGATGTCTTTTTAGATATATTTTGTGCTCGTTCTGTATACAGGTAGGTAGACAGCAGAGAGAAAGCGGTGAAAACGACGTTTCCATGTATCACCTGGAATAGACAATAGGGACAATACACGATACACAATTGCTGTACCAAATAAACAATAGGAACAATAGACCATTGGACTCGATCAACCAGAATGGATGACAAGTCCCAAGTAACCTGGGTGAATGCTTCTCTACTCTTTTGTTCTGTGTCGTATATTTAAAGCCCGGAAGCGCGTCATCTGCAAAGCCGAAGTCTTGGCGTGGAGAAGCTGCCGATCTTCAATTTCGCCATGACTTCCAAGTCTACGCCTGCCATGAATCCCACAGTGGAGGACGAAGTTGACAATGCCGACGCCAATATAAAATCCAATAAGGGCAGCTCAACAACAAATAACACACCAGTCCCTTGGTCGGAGGTATGTGTTTGTTGCGCAAAGCGCGAACTGAAAATATGGACATTGTCAGGAATGTGAACTGGTGCTGACCGGCTTTTTCTTTGCGACTAGATCTTCTCCCGTCATGAAGCTGTCCTCTGTTCCCACCTTGAAATGCTGAGCATGGTGAAGGAGCAGGTTGCTTCAGAAGTCAATGGCTTCCAGGCCGTTTCGTCAATGGTGAACAAAACAGTCCAGGCGATGAACCAGCTGAAGGTGGCTAGAAAGCATATGGTGAGTAATCTGCTCGATTTCCTTTCTTCTTGCCCCATGACTGACTGTTTGTTTAGATGAGCAGTAAGTTCCAGCAACTTCCTCCGAAACACAACCTGCCCCACCTTTTCCCCAAGCAACAAAACCCAGGAATTGACATGACAGCCTTAGGAAATACCACACCCTCAACATCCTCCAACCACACACAGTCTACCGACACAGATACCAATACTCGCAAGAAACGACGCAGAGTCTCTGAAGACAAGGAGACAGTCCGCCCTGAGCCCACAGACGAAATGCGAGTTCCCAAACGATACCGCGACTCTTCGTCTCAGCCAGCAACGGAGCAAGAGGGAGAATATACATCCACGTCCCTTGGAACAGAGGATATCTCAGCAGAGGTCCAGCGACGGCTGAAAATCAAAGAGGAGCAACGTCGCAGGAAAGAAAACCCCAAACCGGATAAGCGCAAGCGCGACAGTCTCGCATCGAATGACGGTGAACCAGCTATGGTACCCAGGCCTCGGAAGAAACGACTTATGGTGTCCAATGTGCATAAGAGACACGGTGATTTGATGGACAAGGATGGGTTTTCTGCTCAGAAAAAACTACGCATATCCCCCTGAAAAAAAGGCGTAGAAAGAAATCATGAGTGACGCTGGTCCGTTACTTGATTTCATCTTACTTCTCTCGGGCTTGTTATTCAGCGACTGGGGATTTTGACAATTCGGGAAGACGCAAGGATGCTTCCATTGAACGGCGGTTTGACCAGTTCTTATGAAATTATTTTTACAAATTCCAAATACTCGGCAATAGTTATTGTCTCCTGTCTTGTTGATTCCTATCCAGGTAGAGATTCTATGAAGATATCCCAATCACCTGCAGGTAGCCTCTTCTAGCGTTTCTCGGCAAAATAAGGCATGTTTGATGAGTGGAGACATGGTAGACTAGAAGGCCAGTAGTTATACTTGAGAGTGCACAAGGCTTGTAATCCTACGAAACCTATCGAGATAGAGGAGTACGACATAACAGATGGATCAAATCCATAGGATAGACAGACGCCGGTGTATGCGGTGTATATGGCTGCGTATTCACTTACGCCCGCGGTTCAGATAAGTAGAAAGATTGCCGATGTCGTGTGGCAGCTTATACTATCATGGTGTCGATGATAAACGAGAGTAATGTTAGTGATAGGTGATAGATGAGAGCAATAGTAATGATCGTACTATTAATCGAGATTCGGAAAGATTGTCCAGTAAAAGAAGAGCAAGAGCAAAAAGATGAGCTTCAAGTACAAATATAGAGTGTAGTCTTAAACTGATGATGATACATGAATAAGTTATCCTTCGCAATGAAGGGAGAGTGGTGAAGTAAAGGAAGAAGACCTCAGGCACCGCGGAATACTATGAGATTACTCAAACCGAACTAGTACCAGGCCGAAGCTGAGGTGAACGTCAACCTGTGGAGCTTTGACATATCATGGCCATAATGTCAATATGAAGCCCGATACCAGATCATGCATCATAGTTCAGATGAAGAGAAGTGAAGAAGCCATGGAAAATGAAAAGAAGATACCAGAAAATACCAGAGGCCGTTGTTTGTGGATAGGGAGCAGCTCATGTTCTTTTCACCTCTATATGGCACACATAACGAATTACGAATTTGGTATATTTGGCTAGTCCTTTTGATTTCTATTTTCTGAATACATGTGGACATATTGTGATTGCAAGTTTTTCTCGAGATAGTATGTTCCGGTTCCGAATTAGGTATAGTTGACGTATCAAAGACCTGTAGAAGAAAGACATTATCTGCAGACTTTTAACTTCATTGTTCCAGTCGAATAGCATTTGAAGTCTTTGCCTGTGACTCGAATACCCGTGATGCCCCGACAGAAAGTTGCCAGCATTTCAATCGAGTGCTCCGACACAGGGATTCCGCTATTCTCCGATGGCAAGATCAACCCAGCTCAGTATAGATCACAAGACACATCGAATTTTTTTATTCTCCTGGACCCTACGGATGAGCCAAGGTGCCTGCAGTCAAGTTCATTGCTTCTAGATCCATATCCCCTGTGCACAGAGTTCATAGTCCGATTCCATATTGAGCTCCGGATCTATGAAAATGCCCAAAGACTTCTGTTCAAATGGTCGAGCCAAACCTGAGGAAGTGAAGTTTCTTTGTCTGCCCCCCCTTTATCGCTAACAATGGTCTATTGTTTGCTTTGGCTTCTCAGCCCGACTCTCCTTTAGGCTCGACATATAACGGCCAACCTCCCCATATATCATGGGATCTAGCATAGAATATCAACTTGCCCATATTTAGATACTAGCTTTTTTTTTACGAATCCAAGGAATTCAATACATTCTCTCCGTGCACAAAACCAGAATACTTCCTAGATTGGCTTCGGAGCCCACCTCCAGCGTGAGGTTATAAACGCTCCTCTGCTCATCGTCGACTCTCCTTTTTTTCTTTCCTTCTTCACCTTGCCCTGGGGTCATCACCATATAAAACCCATCCCATCACAATCTATCAAAAATCTATATTCCACTCCATTCAATCGCCCAGCCGCCCTGTGAGTTGCCAGGGTTAGGAGGCTGTCTTTAATCGTCGGACTTGGAGGTGTCACCGGCCTCTTGAGGTGAAGTATCCCAGCTGAAGGCAAAAAAAAACATTCCTCCCCAAAAAATCCACAAAACCGAAAAATAAAATCCACAAGGGTCGAGAAGAAAAAAATAGCCCAGCCAAGGGAAAAAAACAAGCCAAAAACAGAGAACCCGCTGGGCATCTTCAAGTAGAAATCCGGCTTTTGGAAGTTCAGCTGAATGACCACGCTTGCACGGAACTTCTCTCGAGAAACAGGTTGTGGTAGTCCAAACGCCCATCAAAGCTTTGGTATACGGAACGAAAACATGAACTACGTGAACGGAAACTCGTCTTCTGTGCCCACTGGGCCCAAATCTTACCAGGGCAACGGTCGTGGAAACAACAATTACAATGCCAATGCCAATGCCAATCGTCAACGGAACAATAGCAACAACAACTATCAACGAAACAGAACTTGGAATGGCAATGGCAATGCCAACCAGGGGAACAACTATCGGAACGGCAATGGCAACGGCAACGGCAACGGTGGCCAGTGGACCAATCATCGAAATGGTGGAAACAAGCACTGGAAGAACAACAACAATTACAACGTGAATGGCAATACCAATGGCAATACCTATGCCAATGGCAACCAGTGGAACAACGGTCACAACAATCAGAACGGCAATGCCAATGGAAACCAGTCGAGCAACCCTCGCAACAACAACACTGGTAATCTCAATGGCAACCAGTGGAACACTCGCAATGGCAATGGCAACGGCAATGGAAACTACAAGGGCAAAAACTTCAACCCCAATTACAAGGGAAAGAACTATAACCCCAACTACTCTCGTGCCGGACCGCCTGTGCCTGCCCCACAACCCATGCCTCCTACAAATTACAACATCGACATTGAGATGGCTGAGGCGCCATCGGACGAGCCAGTAAGCTGATATCCCTACCCATTTTGTGAAAGCGCGGTTACTAACATTGTATATAGAATGACATCGAGATGCCCGACGCACCACCGCTACCAGATCCAGTGAGTGATATCTGGCAAGCAGCACATGGCCTGCACAATGCACTAACTTCTTTACAGAGGATCGAAGCCTTTACCATGGGTGCCCTTGCAGTCAAGGAAATTGTTAGTACCCCTTCCCATTTTCAGTTCAATCCTGTTTCTTTCTATCAGCCTGCATTTCATCAACCTGATTTCCATCCATCTGCTTTTAATCCCACTTTCCATACTCCTGTTTTCCGTCCCCCAACTTTCTACCCTCCATCTGTTCATCCCAAGGTCATCAGTTCTCCAAAGTTGCAAGGCAACCCTGAATGTGATTACTTTCTCTAACACCATGACAGGCCGAAACCATGCTCAGGATTGCTACTCAGTTGGACCCCAACAATAGCTACATCCCCGAGTGAGCTCCACTAGACAGCGGCCTAGCCAACCCTGTTCTAGTGGCAAAAGAAAGAACAAGTCATCAACAACCTGTCTATCAAGATGGAGTCACACATGTCCAAGTCCATCACCATCACCATCCATCGACATCTGGACTAGCCCCAAGACCTCCGGGTTCCTCAAATTGGGCACGAACCGTCTATGACGGGTGACAACCCCCCAGAGTAGGGCGCACAAGACTCCATTGACAGGGACACAACGCAAACCTCATCTGGTCCTGGTGTGGACGGTGGCCTGCCCCATCCACAGGGAGGACCAGATCCAGGGCCGAGAAGAAGCTCGGCGGAGGAAAGAATCTAAAAGGGTAAATGTGCAACGGAGGAATCATATCAAGGAACCTGTATTTAGGACTGCAGTCCTGGTCATGGTTTTTACCGAGCACCTAAAAAGGGCTGCCGGGTTTTCCCATGGCCCCGTCCGGATGAAGACACCATCGTCACCATCGACATCAAAAGAAACCATCCTTCATCCCACGGCTCGAATGGGGGGTCTTGCCATTTTTGACATTTGTGTTGGACGTGCTGACATATTTTTCGGGTTTGTTCTATTTATTTCTGAGAGTGATATACATCGGTTTGATATTGGATATGAGACAATTTTTCATGTACTGAATTTGGTTGGCTTCGGGTCTCTCGCGATGCCATGGTCGTTGAGGGTCTCATGGCTTTCCGGATGGGATATACTTGGAAGAAGTTTTCATGTACCGTCCTCGATCAAGGATCTCTCGCGATGCCATGGTCGTGGGGAGACTCTTGGTGTGGGAACGTTTTCTATGTATTGGATTTAATGGGCTTGGGGGCTCTTGGGATGCCATGGTCGTTGAGAGTCTCACAGCTTGTCATGGGATATATTTGATGGAAATTGGAATGTACGGTTTTCGATCAAGGAGTTTTCCGCGATGCCATGGTCGTGGGGGGGCTTCTTTTTGGGAACGCTTTTGATGTATTTATTTTTTAAAAAAGGAATATCATTTTCCAATTGGATTCTGTTTCCTGTAATGTTGTAGATTCGAATTCGAGAGAGAGGACTCTGTAGAAAGTGTGGTTGTATAATCAGGCCGCATCCTCAGCAGATGTTTGTTGCTATAATGAAAATGTACAATATAATGCGCAGGGGAAGAACAGCTACTGGTGAAGCTTACGAGAAAAGAAGCGTATGGCCTGAAGTGATCAATCGATTTGACCAGAATCTCCTTGGGAAGAAGTTCAGGCTCTAAAAGACTCGACAAGTGGCGGTCCTTGCTAGCCAAAAGATTGTAGGGAATGTCATCTGCTCAAGCCGCTTGGATTGGTTCTAGTTATATTTATATGAAATCTCCCCAAGAGCTTAATACTTACCAATAGATCGCCAGTGTCGAATCATTGCAGAACTTGCTGTTACGTTGTGCCCCTGTTTAATCTGCAACAGTGCATCACCGTCAAATTCTATATATTCAGCCCGGGGTTCATTCTACTTCTAGGGTTCCGTAGCTTGACTCATGAGTTTGATGTATCATAGAACACAATCTATACCAACATCTTCCTAGGATCCATAAATGAACCGTTCAAACAAAACATCATCGAAAGTTGTAGGGCTTTGAAGATAGTGGATATTCCAACGTTGGAACTCTACCTAGGTAGGCTACAGTATCAATCACTTCACGTATGAGCATTCATCCTACCCCTGAAACACAGTGTTGTTTGTTTTTAATTGGTCTTTACTTCCTAGAGAGTGCCATGGTTCTTATTCCTGGCAAGCCCATATCGAAGGCCAAAAGCCTACAAAGGGCAGTGATGGGTTTCCATTGTTCAGAATGGAGATAATTTGACATGAAATTTATTTATAAACATCAAGCTCTCTAGTTATGAAAAACGCCATTCGATATCTCATACACTGGAAACGAGGTTCGACCATATTGAGGCAGATTATACCTTCTTCTCAGCACTCCACCTCCGATACTCCCCTTCGTTAAAGACCTCCCCTATAAGCCCTTCCCCAGCTTGCTTGATCTGGGCCCCGTTTCCCTGTGCTTGTCCTCCCGTCCAAGACTGCACTTGGACCGAAATGTCCCCCATCACATCTTTCACCTCCGTGTTACTTCCCGGCGCCCTAACGCGGTATTTGATCTCCATCCAATGCGCCAGACAAGCGAGATTAAACGTTACAAACGCCATCGGGATATCCTCCGGAAGTTCAGTTGATCTGACGAGCAGAAACTCTGACCCCAGTTCCATAGATCCAGACTCCGCGTTCACCAGCCATACGGTGTGTGTACATTTCGTACGCTTCTCCGGAAAAATCACATGGCGGCCGCGGACCAGATACACAACGTGTATCTTTATCTTCAACCCCGTGAGCTCGAGCGGCCGGTCAGCCTTGAAGTATACTGGGATCTGGGAGCGCTGCGTGAGCACTTGTGGCAGACGACAAGTGATGTTGGCTGTGCCGTTCGTGGTTTGGATTGTGCGGGTGAGTTGTTGCCAGGACCCGGCGACGGGGACTTGCGGGAGGTCAGAACGAGGACGAGACAAGACTGTGAAGACACTTGAGCCCTTTGGCATGGAAGAGAAGAAGCCTGCCTCTGGACCCTTTTTCATCGTGGTTGAGACGATATATTCGACATGGGCGGATGCGGTGCCCCACGTTTGGTTGCAGCCCATGGCCATTGTTCCTGGAAGGGAGTGTACGCTGTTCTTTCCGGGGAATGGGGCGCGGTCTTTCCATTTGTTAAAAAAGTGCCAGTTTCCCTGGACTTGTTCGGTGGATGTGGGTAATTGAACTGTGAAGGGGAAGGAGTGTTCGCCTGCGGGGAGTGTGGTGGGGGATTGGATGAGGACGACGAAGCGTTTGAAGAAGAAGCCCTGGCCTAACCACTCGTATGAGAAATTGCGGACGACGTAGGTGCGACTGATGCTCGTATATGCGCGACCGAAGATCGTGACAGTAAGCTCGGACACGGAAAGTGGTTTTATGAGGGTCAGGGTTGCTCTCGCGGTGATGTCCTCGCCGGGCATGAGATTTTCAGGGTTAGTGATGGTGATGCGCACCTCGTTGGTGGGCGACATTGTTATGCGCGTGGGATACTGCTGTTACTGAGGTAATTTTGTCACCGTGTTCGAGGTTGGGGAATTTAAAGGCCATGATTCAGGGCGTGTCACTGCTGGGCTAATTATTGTTATTCGAGTCAAAACTGCGTGTTTCATTGCGATCAACCTCATGGATCCTCTGAATGGCAAATAGCCAAGAGTAAATACGAGTTGCCAAGCAGCCGCGTCGCTGATGAGCAGTATATATGCAGCATTTTATTGATTCCCGAGAATCAAGAATATCATTTCCAAACTAGGATGCCGGGTCGATGCACTAAAGGCAGCTCTAAGACCAACATAGTATCATTCTTTGCCTCATTAGAAATAGCCCTCGTATTCGGGCTCTTAGGTTGTATGAAAAGGCGGCTATAAGCCTCTTTCAGCGAGAACTTCGTGGAGGCAGACACCAGGTCAAAACCTTGATATGTTTTCCACCGACTTCTTCAAGATTGAAGAATTGCGCGTAGCTCACTCTCAACAATTGCTCCCAGAATGGAAGACGTTAAGCTCAGAAAGCGGCCGTGGCCCAGAGAAAAAAGCTCCCACCTGGTAAATATTATCCTGTCTTGTATATAGTCGCCTGTACACTGAGTCTTCAGTGTGGATCATGCACATCATTGCCGGTTCACTCGAATCGATGTATTGTACATTGGCATAATAATGACAGACTTTCTAACACGGTCTGATAAATTCCTGGCAGGTGGAATTCAAAAAAAAAAAAGCAACCAAACACCCAACCCCAATGCAAAGCAGACAAAATATAATACATCAAGTGGGGAGACAGAGACAGAGACGCTGCACAATACACACACAAAGCAGGCACAGACAGCCCATGGAGAAATCAATCCTTCTTCTCAGCCGTCTCAACCGTCTCATCCTTCACTCCCTCACCAGCCTTCCCATCCTTCCCACCCCAAGTCCAAACATCCCAAATATGCTCCTGAATCAAATCTCCATATCCCTTCCCTTCACTAAGCGCCTTCTGCTCCTCTCTCAACCTCCTCTCCCTCCACCCCTCAGACTCCCCACCCATCCAAAGCCGCTGCACAACACTCTCCTCCTGCGCCTGTCTCGCCTTCAACTTCTCAATCTCCTCCATCAACCCCGAATCCGGCTCCCGGCGCTGCTTATCAGATAGTGCCAGAATCTGCGCCTTCAACTGTTCATGCTCAGCCAGGCGGAGCTGCGCGTCGCGCGCGGCCCGGAGTCGTTCTTGGATCTCTTGCGCGCGCTCGCTGGGTAGGGAGGAGAATGTCCACTGCATTCGCGAGATGCGCGCATCAATGCGCTCGACTATACTGCGTCCTGTGCGTTCGTGCACGATGTGGTTTGCGGAGGCGCCGAAGGAGCAGAGGACGAGGACGGTGAGAGGGTCCAGTTTGCGGGGTGGAAGGGCGATCAGGATCGGTGCGCCGACTAAGAATGTGTAGGCGGCATAGTTCTTGAAGCGTTTGTAGTCTGCTTCGCGGACTGCGTTCAGGTCTTGGGGTGGAGGGGTCGCCATTGTGTTCGATGATATTGTGGAGGTTGCGGTGTTGGAGGAAAATTTATGGTTGGGGGGTGGGGCTTGGCGGATACTTGGCGGCTTGGAGGCTTGGGGAATCTAGAGATCTTCATTCTTATATTTCCTCGCTAAATCTGTTGGAAAGCCAAAATTATCTGTTATTTTGGCCACACGAAACTCCTTATAACAACACGGATGAAAAATATATGAAAGAATGATATCAACCATATATATAGCATATGATGTATTACGCACTAAGCACTCACTGGGATGCACAAAGATCTATGTTTATATGACACTCAAATAACCGAAGTCCAATCTCAAGTAGTGAATATCAAATATAATACAGGCAAAAACAAAGATCAACTTCAGCTTCAATTACGGTTGGCAGAGTAGACAACACCTATTAGCGTTCAGGTCGGTGTTATACAAAAGGCAGCATCTTACCAAATCCCACACTATAAACTCTCGGGCTTACTTCCATTTTCTACCTCTTCCCTTCCACTTCCATCTCTCTCCATCTGTCACCTCAAACCCACAATCAAGATGTTTGCCAACGGTCTCTTCTCCTGGTTCTCCTCCAAGGAGACCAATCCCAACCCTACCTCGGATGTTACTATTCCCAGCGTCGAGAATCGCCAGCCCACCAGCCCAAAGGGCCCCTCCGTCGACGGAATGGTGACTGAGCAGCCTGTACGTCTTACAAGATACAAGCTCCCTTAACAAGGCACCAACTGATATCCTTCCAGAACTCCCAGGAGAACATGCTGAAGCTGCGTGGTGGTGGTGCGGGTGATGTCTGCTGCGGACTGTGAGTCAAATACATCTGAACCACAAACTACCAAATTAGATTAACGTCTAGCTAGTTGCGCCGGTCTTCTCTGCTTCGAGTGCTGTGAGGAGTGCTGCTAATCGTGTCATCGTTTGATCCTCGCGGTATACTCGATACTTTGCTCCTGCTTGATGAGTCTACGCTTTGTCTCTGGGTTATTGCGTTCTTAGGGGTTTGGGTTTGGGATATTGAGAGATGAAAATCAAGCGTGCTCGAGGGGTATTGTTTGCTTTACCTTCTATGCTTTATATGCCTCTTCGGCATTATGATTCTTGCTTTTGACTATTTGCAGGAGCCTTTGGGCGAAAAGTGGAGTCCGGACTCGGCTTTTACATACCCATTTTCTTATTTTAGCTGAGAAAATTGAATACACTCTCGTCTCCACTCTTCTTTTTCGGTGCTGATGTTGTTGGTCCTTGCAGCTGCGTCTAGAGACTGCTATTTTTAGCATAGAAAATTGATATTAATCAAAGTAATTTGTGCTATGGGAGTATGTAACATTGAAGGGCTTTCCCTTCTATTGCTCCTTGATATGTTATCATTTCAATCGGTAGAGCTGCGGTAGATAGTCTTGAAGCTCATCCTTCAAGTTCACCCCCCGGTACCATCCTCAAAGTTGATCATCAACCCCCCCCCTGGTCTCAATCTTACCCCATGCTCTCAAAGTTCTTCCTCCTCATCCTCGTCTTGGGTATCGGAAAAGACAAGTCTATCCAGACTATCCACCAAGGACTCCACGTTTGAGGGAGTGGTCCCTGTGATGGGAGAGACAACCCTTGCGTTGGAAGACAGGGCCTCTGCAATGGAAGCCATGGCCTCAGCAATAGAAGACACGGCCTCTGCATTTGAAGAGACACCATCCCCATTCGAAGAGACAGCCACTGGGCTCGAAGAGACGTCATCTCCATGCGAAGACATGGCCTCGGGATTCGAAGAGACTTCACCTGCGCTCAAAGATGCGATGCCTTCATTCAAAGACCTAGGAGGATTGTACTCAGGCTGGCTACTCACATCGAAAGCGAGTTCCCCCGGCTCCATTTCATCACCAATCATCCGCGGGATATGGGCAAAGCCACGAGTCACCTCGCTGAGTTCCTGTTCAATCTGGCCAGCGGTCACACGAAAAGCACACTTAGAGTATCGAGCCTCCATGTGGGCGACGAGCGCGGCGAGGGTCTTGAATCGTCTGAAGCATCGAGGGCAACTATTATCAAGATTATTAGAGAATTTCTTTTCAAGCGAAATGACCAGAGAAAGAAGATACACACTCATTGATTGTTTCATCCTCCATCGTGAGATGATACTCAAAGGTGGCAACAAACAAGAAAGAGGAACCGCAATTACAGTAGTAGCGGCCTTTCTCGGCATTCCAGAAACTCTCGGGATCCACACCCTGGATCTTGCGATGAGCCGTGGCTCGAGATCGAAGTGGACGAGCATAGCCAGAAGGGCCTGCTGCTTGGGAAGCCGGATTAGATCTTGAGGGTCCTGCTTCGCCCGACTGCTCAATAGCACCACGAGGAGACGGGAAAGGACTATCGTGGTGCATTGAGGTACCGAAAACATCGTCGATGAGGATACCTCCGGGGGACTCAGTGGTGGTGCTTGCTGCTTTTTCCTTGACTGGGGTCATTGAAGCACCCAACTCTGGCCAGTCATTATGAGGAATGGTAGCATCACTGCTATCGCGGACAGGGCGTTTTCCTTCCATACGAGGTGTAGAGATATCCAACAGAACACCGCCGTCCGTATCGTGGTCATCGCTGGAAGTCTCAGAGGGTGAAGACTGTGGTCCAGGAGAATCTCTGCCAATGGTCAGAACGCTTGCTGTGCCATGAAGGTCACAGCTGCCGCCCTCGCGGGCTTTGTCTGGCAGAGAAAGAACCGGGCATTCCTTGTCTTCGATATGTTTGATAACTGCAGAAGCGGATTTGTACTTGCAACCACAGCCCATGCAAGCGACTTCACGACCTTCGTGGTGATTCTAAGAAATGGATCGTTTGTTAAGACTGGTTCTTGGTTCCATGGATTTTGCCGTAAATAGTGACGGAGACTCACGTTTCTCATATGAACCTCTAGACCAGCCTCACTGCGGAGCTCGAGACAGCATTCAGGGCAAGCAAAGTGACGATCGCTCATAATTTTGTGCAGATGGAGGGTCTGCTGAGACTGGAAGTCGAGGTCACATTTCATGCAGTAAGAATGTCTGTCCGCATTGACCTTGTGGTGTTGCATCTCGCTGACGGACTTGAAGCTCATTCTGCAGCTCTGGAAGGTACAAGGTACCTCCTCCAGTTCTTCTGCCATCGTGAAGAACCTTGATGAGCCGGGGTGATGAAGTGACCCGTGTCAAAGGATAGGAGATATGGAAGCTGTAAAAGGAAAGAAACTTGAACACAACAAGGATATCAGGAAAGCGATCGGAGGAGAATAAGAGAGGGGAGGCAAACAAAATGATTTTGTGGTCTTTGGCAAACTGACATAGGGGAAAGAAGTCATGTTTTGATATTGTGTCATATGTTAGAGAAAGCTCAAAAAAAGAGCGTGAAATTAATTGAAACTATTTGACGAGGCCAGGAGTCGATCGCCTGGCTTTGAGATTTCAGCTGGTCGTCGCCGTTGTCGTTCCTTCCGAAAATGGATGTCTGAATAGCCTCAATTTTGACTTAATGTGGATGTACCCGAGGTCAAAGTCTCTGTCACCGACCACTTTTATATGCTCAGATTTTCTCAAAAATCAGCATATAGCAAGCTGGGTATATGCCCATATTGTGGCTCAAATTTGAATCTCATATCACAATTGGAAGGCAGTCCAATTAGAGATCAAAGATTTCGAGTGACTTCCTCCTTAAGTTTTCCTCCTATTTAGTAAAGACAAGAAGTAATACTTCAACCAGCCCCCCCCAGTGGCCCAGCGGTATTATGGCCGGGGCATCCCACACCAGGATGTCGCAACGGGTTTTACTTGCTCCCCACTGTCGGTCGGACTCCTATATGCTGAAGCTCTCCCGAAGCACTACGCTAGGTAAGCCCCCCCGCGGACTGCCACACGCGGCGACCCCGTTAGTTAAGGGGGAGACCGTAGTTAGTACGGTGAGTGGATGTATATAGGGGAATGGCCGGAGGAGAGGACCATGGATATCGAATGGCCATATTCTGTCCATACCCTCCTGAGGTCCAGGGACGGTCTGGATTCATGGGGACTTTTTTTTTTTGTTGATGTCTGATCCTTTTTTTCTCTTGTTTGTTCCTCCCCTTCCTTCCTTTTTTTATTCTTCTTCCCATCCTAATGCTCTTTTGAGGCCATTCGACCTATAATGTAACTGCCGTCTGAACGTCAATGACTCTACACGCACACATTTCTGTACAGGTATGTCTGAATGGACTGTTATCGTTAGATAAAATTTGCTTAATCTTCTGGGAAGAAGATCCAGTCTTGATCGGATGTTGACGACTACCGTCTTTCTACCTGAACTTCCATCATTGGTCGGATCGGAAGCTGCAAGGTCACACTGTTAGAGGGACTTGGCTTACTGATGGGCGAAGAAGAGTCCTAAAATTCAAATCAATACGATATCTCTTCTATTTCCTGGTAATAACCCTAGGCTTAGAATCTAGAGAAAGGCAACCTATCCATTCGTTAGACCATTGTTCAAGAGACAGAAAATACACTCTTACCATTTACCACGAAGAGTGATAACAGCCCAGTTATTTCCATCCTCATCAGTCTCCTTCTCAACCTTGGTCGAAAACGAGATAGCACTCATAATCCCATCCCCAAACTTCTCATTGAGCACCGCCTTGTAGGCATAGCCATAGTTCTGCACAATCTCATAGAGTCGATAGATAAGAGGTTCCTTGGGCGGCATTTCGACGGAGCGACCTCGATCGGGGAAGCCGTTGAGCTGTTCCGACAAAGGCTGCTCGGGGATGAAAAGCAGATCGGCCAGCTTTTTGATGTCCTCGGGCGACGCCTTGGCCTGGCCGTAGAATATGGCCGCTGCGGCTACCTCATTGCGACCGATGTGCTCACCGATCTGCTCGAAGCTCACGTTGCGAGCCGCCTTAGCTCTGAAGAGAGTTGTGGATGCGGCGGGGAGATTGTGGTGCTCTGTGGTCTGGATTGGGGTCAGCGATGTTGCAGGTTGATGAATGGCATTCTCACGTCTAGGGTTGCGAGAGACATGATGGAGTGATTTCGGTAAATGATTTTCAATAAAGGATTGACGTTCTGTGACAATAGTCCTTGGTCAATTGATTGTGGAAAGGAGACGTCAGGTACTTAGGTACTGCGGGGAACCCGGTCTTGATGTCAAGTCTATGATTCATTGATCTATGGAGGTATTTCCCGTGGATGGAATTCCATCCTTCTGCGAGTACCTGTCCACCCTTATTTCAATTCATGGATTTGTAGTGAGTGGAGCTTAATATAAGCATAAATATAGATCATCCCTTGACATGACATAGAAATCATGGGGCATGCTTGGGGCCTTGGCCGAGGGACGACCATTATATATAATGACATCACTCTGAATATATCACAGACGAAGCTCGAATATATATTTCTGAAGTACGGAGTAATACTCAAATAATCAAGCTAGATTAGTTATTTCCACACATCATCTGCACGCCCTGGAGGTCCATGCTCTTATGATAATATGATCCACGATGAGCGCCGGGGGTTTTTTGATCATACAGATGACCGTTAAACCATCTATCGAATGCATGCCGAAGATTGAATCGCATCGTATTCGAATGTCTTCCTCGTAGACAAGTAAATACTCCAACCTCGAAACCACACTTACGTGCCCTCTCCTGCAGGAGTTCTATCTATCTTAATCTCGGTCAGTTTGCTTTTTCAAACAACGGAGTACAGGAAACCCATCACTTAGGAAGGCCGGATCCTAAGGATATTGACATCTTGTGAATAAAATATACTACTATACCAAGCCTGCTTATATTTCCACGGTGGAAAAAATGTAAATTTATATAGTATCAAGTACGTCATGGCAAATGCATTATAGAGCGTGATTCCAGGCTCAGGCGTGATTAGTTTTCAGCTATTATAGCTTTGCAATCGCAATAAAATATAAGCCGGTTCCATAACTCAGTTGGTTAGAGTGTGGTGCTAATAACGCCAAAGTCGAGGGTTCGACCCCCTCTGGAACCACGTTTCTTTTTTGATTTCATTTTTTATTTTGAATCTCGAGAACGGCCCGCTAACCAGTGATCACATCGACACTTTTTTTACTTACAATCGTGTTTTGTGGCAGCGTACAAAACATGTGCAACAAGTCCCAAGCTTGGCATGTGTCAGATAGGCTACACGCATCCCTCGCCGGACGTTGATGATACCCTACCTACAAAATGATCAACACCAACCAAATTGCCTAAACCAATTTGGGAAACCACTGCGACTGGCCAGTAACCACTTGCTTGGGTCCCACTTGCCATTTTGATGCCATTCACAAAGTAAAGCAGATGGACAAAGGGTAACTATAACCTTCGACTTACACTTTACCACATGCTCACTCTGTAGACAACCTCGGTCTCGGCCATATGACATATCGAGATCAGCACAATGATAAAAATGCACTATATCCTCCGAATGGGGATGTTCCTGGAGTCCAGAAGACATACTGTTCACAATGGCCGCCTCTCGAAATCCGTTGGATAACATGAAATCCACCTGGCGAACATGGAATCGAGACCAATGGAAACTTTCACACAAAATTCTCGAACACGCCAACGTGTACCACATCGAACTCAACAGGGATATCCCAATCCATTCCAAGGAAGAGAAGATACCATACGTATCTGACTGGTCACTAAACCGCTGGGTTCTTGTCAATGCAGGAGTTCCACTCGTGGTCCACCAGATTTTTACCTATCTTACCGGATACAACTTCCACCCGGTCATCGCCTTCTTCTACTACTACTATGCCTCGAGGCTGTTCACAACACGCGAGCTGCGGAGTCTTCGAGAGCTTGGTCATACTTACGGGTTCCTAGATGGCGATAAACACGAGCGAGATGGGGTACCGGACGTGGGCGTCTCAAAGGCTCTGATCTCGGTCCTACTGGCTGGGTTTGTCCGCCCTCTTATGACTGTGTGGCTCACCTACGAAGCAAACAAAGCACCTGCCTCACTCAGCTGGGCTTGGCTACCAGTAGAGGTCAGTCTCTATGGCATCATCCTGGATTTCTGGTTCTATTGGTACCATCGTGTCATGCATGATGTGAACGGTCTTTGGAAGTTCCATCGCACTCACCATCTCACGAAACACCCAAACCCGCTGCTCACAATCTACGCGGACTCCGAACAAGAATTCTTCGACATTGCCGGGATCCCGTTGATGACATGGCTCACCATGAAGCTTATGGGTATGCCGATGGGATTCTACGAATGGCACATTTGTCAGCTGTACGTGATCTTTGCAGAGCTCGCTGGGCATAGCGGTCTTCGTCTTCACGCTTCGCCACCCAACCCTGTGACATGGTTGATGCGGATGTTTGATGCTGAGTTGGTGATTGAAGACCATGATTTGCATCATCGTCGGGGATGGAAGAAGAGCCATAATTACGGCAAGCAAACACGAGTCTGGGATCGGATTTTTGGAACGTGCAGTCCCCGTATCGAGAGTGTGGATGCGAATATTGATTACGATAATCCTGTTTCGATGTCAATTTTGTGATGTATTGTTTCATGCGCTCTTTGCTCTTCATCAGCTGAACGATACTTTCAATGTAACGGACGTGGAATAGAATTAGAACATGAACTTACAGTTATTATGACAGTTCTGTATTTAGTCCCAGTTTTGCTTCAAACCGTCATGATAGACCGAAATCGCGGATTGAAAGCTTTCTATGATACCTGAGTCGTGTGCACAGCCGGCGATGTGGGCTATTACAATACAAAGAATCTTCTACATTGAGCTCTGTTTGTGGTTCTCAGGCCTTTGTCCCTCTGCCTCTATCGAGTGATTGAGAGAGCTTTAGAGCAGTAGATCCATTATCTTCATTGATTTTTGTCGATCAATCTCTTACTTTTCTCACGGATATCACATTTACTTGAATCACATCTGACGGATCACTGGTTAAATACCAGTCTGACATAACAAAACTCTTAGCTCTTGAAATCAATACTCTGGTTTCAAAATGATATCTCCAAGGTGAGACGCAGGTTTGCATCGCTATTCTGTACGCACCAGCCGCTTCTGGTGGTGTTTTGCCGGGTCCACTGGTATTTGAGCTCGCCAAGATGGGTGGAACAACAGGCTCCGAAGGCTGGCGCTGCTTCTGTTCTTTCCTTTCTCATCTCCGTGGTTTCCAGCTTCTAAGATCTGTGCCAGATCTGTATCATAGAGGGTCTTGCAACCGCAGCTATGGCGGTCGGTTGCTGTTTTCTCCCTCTAGACCCGCCATCATTGTCGCCAAGCTGGCTCAATCCAGACGAGATCCGATATCTCGAAGTCCGCCCACTAGCCTCAAATAGCCACAGTGGCCATCACAAAGGCTTTGACAAGCGGATAATCTTCAACGTCTTTCTCGATTGGGAAGGATACTTGCTCATATTTGCCAGCTGATTCAATGCTGTTCCCAAGTACGCACTCAGGCTCAGCATGTCTGAGATCATCAAATCCGTGGACTACGAGCCAGCGAGGGCCCAGCTCCTGACCATTCATCCAAACACAGTTGGCGTGTTGTCAGCTTATGGCTTTTCCATGTTCGCTGATCGCTTCGTGTGGAGAATGCCTTCATTGTGGCACCCTAGTGGTCATTTATAGTGGCATTTAAAATCTTATTTTCTAAGGCTGGGGATATCGAAAATAATATAGCACTGTGCTACTTTGGCGTTTGTCTTGTTTCGGAATGTATCCCATTCTCCCGGGTGTCAATGCTTGGAATTTTTACAATATTCCGAATCCTCACAAGCGCGCCATGGCGATTGGGTGTCTAATTTGCTCGGGTAATGAGAGTGGAATTATTGGGAGCTACATTTACAAAGATGAAGAGAGGCCACGGTACTCCACCGGCGATGCGAAGGCACTTCACTTGCGTTCGCTGCTGCTGGAATTGTGGCTTGTCTATCCTTGAAATTTTGTTTCTGGAATAGAAATAAGAAGAATGCTATGATGACTGTCTCTGAAATTGAGGGGAAGTATACAGAGGATCATTTTCACAAGATGGAGGAGAGGAGCCCTTTGTTCAAGTATAACTTGTGATATATCATTTACCACTAACCATCGGGATGAACTTATATGTGTCTGTTGGCACATATTTCTGCATAGATACATACTACCTTAACAGCAGAAGTAAACAATCAATTCGTATACTATATTAGCATGGAATACTCGACCGGGACATTGAATGTCAGGTTGAGCGACAAATAGTTTACCAGAAGGTACGTCAACGACTACCAGGTGAGCCTAGACCAAAAACATATTCAAAATCAATAGAAACATTGCCAGCAATAATATCCTCCTTATACTGCTCTGCATATTCGAGGGCGAGCTTGAACCATTCATGCATGGGAACGGTTATATCTGCCGGAAATGATACGTACAACTTTTGCTGGTGATGCATGGCATCACCCTGAGTAACTTCAAATAATTTATTTTGAAGACGTTCAATCACGATATCCATCAATTTCACATCAGAGAGTTTGACCTCTTCTTCTAGGAATTTCACCGTCACCCACCATGCGTGTCCGTTAGAAGAAGCATGATCCTCCAAGATAGGTAGGCCATTTTCGATGAATATTGTACGAGTAGAAGACATAATGTATGTGGTAATAAGGTTGAATGAAGACGTTTGTACTATCTGAATAGAAGACATATCTAAAGGGGGTTTTTCCTGCTTTTATGGATTTTGCGATCTATTCTTTAGTATGCACGCAAACAATGATTCTAACACGATCCATACATAGGCTCTTTTAGGCTTCACATTGGTATTGGTCTAATCAAAATGCCATTGTAACTAAAACCATGTGTTAGTTGTGTCTTAGAAACCTCCCAGTTAATGCATTTGGTTGGAATAATCTTGCATATAACAAAGCCTTTCTCTCGGCTGACGTAGAACAAAGAGCGCATGAAAGAGAAGTAGCTGAACGCTGATTTCCCTTTATGGCTTTCATATAAGAAGTCCGATCTTATTTTAGAATTAATCAATCACTATCAAGTTCATTAACTGTTCTCACCATGGAAACGAAATCAACCACGGATATATTCATGAGCATCCCACCTGAAGACGCGTTAGAGGTTGGACGCGGTAGGAAAACGAATGTATATCGCAGCTATCCCCTCCCAGCCACTGTCCGCCGCATCTGGTTCTATACCACCGCTCCACTACAGTACATTGAGTATGTGGTTTGTATATCACACAACGAGACTGAAACCAACACAAACACCAAGCAACCCACATATGCTTACAAGATTCTTCAAGTATGGATGTTAAAGCACCCTATTTACCTCCATCAAGCTATCTCGCGCGGTCTGTTCAAGGCTCCCCCGCGAAAATACTGTTGGGCGACTGAGAGCTTTTTGGACAGCTGTCCGTTCTATTGGCAGTATCCAGTACGGGGTCCGAGGGAAATCATCTGGTAAATAGGACAATGCTGCAATCTCTTTGCCCCTGGATTCAGATAGTCAATAATGAATGTTCTTTCATGTTCAGTAATCTCAAAAGCGGAACCGGCTAGATATTGTTTAACGCGGCTCAGCCGTGTGGGCGTCCGGGATTGTTACTTCATTCAGTCAAGCTACCGGGGGCTAACCTATTTTAGTTATAGTGCTAGGCTTCATTCACGCTAGTTGCTTGGCGTTTGAAGGCTGTCAGAATCTGTGTGTTAAGTGCTGTACATATGTCGGCATCAATGAATCAAGCCGCGGTCTACCATGTGTAATATGTAGCCATGCTTAAAGATCAAATCTACTGGATTCCAGTTATCTAGGCATGTTTGAGCTATAAAGGCCATCTATGATACCTACTTCCGTGCTCAGAGTATGACGTACATCCATATATTGACCCAGATAAGGTATGAACAGTAAGATATTTGATGATTGAGCCGTGTACAGTCTCTAATACTTCAAAGGGCATTCCAGGCGTAGAAGTATAGATCAAGTTATCCAATGAATTCACAGGATCGCTCGGATAGTGGGTCTATATTGATGCCGACGCAGCTCTGACGATCTCCTATTGGTTGGATTACTGATCATCCAAACAATCCATCCGACTCACAGCGAAACCCTACATTGATCAGCATCAACGGTGGATTTTCACTCCGGTTTAGGTAGTTTGACAGTCTCAGCTTTCTGTTGTGGACCCAACAGGTTTCAGGGGGTCAACAACTCACACCATATATAAATTGCGATTCAATGCATCTTCAGTTTTTTCAATTCTCCTACAATCAAAATACGTATCCTCCATAGCACCATGCACCAAAAGCCATTCAAAGTCATCATTGTGGGTGGCAGCATTGCCGGGCTTTCACTAGCGTTGATGCTGGAGAGGAATGGTATCGATTTCGTGATCCTTGAAGCGTACCCCAGCATTGCACCCCAGGTCGGGGCTAGTTTTGCCGTTTTGCCAAACGGCTGTCGTATTCTCGATCAGCTAGGCTGTTATGAGACAGTTCTAGAGACGGCGCAATACCCTGTCGACAAATTCCACTTCCGTGATCCGCAAGGAAAATCATTCTGGACATTCGATAACTTTAACGAGGCATCACTTAGACGGTTGGTCGCCTTTCACACTTGTATACCAATATAAAAAAAGACAGAACTGACAGACCTCCAGCCATGGTTACCCCATTGCCTTCCTCGATCGACGAATGGTGATAGAGATCCTCTATGAAAAGATCCAGGATAAATCCAAAGTGATCACCTCTCAGCGGGTTGAGAGTGTTGAAAACGATTCTTTGAGCGCCACGGTTACCACAACAACTGGTCAAACCTATACCGGAAATATCGTAATCGGGGCAGATGGAATCCACTCCAAAGTACGTCAAGAGATGTGGAAAGCGGCCAAAAAAATAGATCCCACATGGATTGGTCCCAAAGAAGAATCTGGTACGACAATCAAATCCGAGCACTTGAGAAACATTAGCTAACTCTATAAAAGCACTACCAGCAACTTACGCGTGCATCTTCGGCATCTCCAAAGGCGTGGAGGGAATCGAGAAAGGCACCCTCAGCTCGGTGTTCAATGAGAATTTCTCGTATCTTATTGCCAGCGGACCCGGAGATCTCACCTACTGGTTTCTCGTGCGGAACATGGGGACGACATACTATGGTGCAGACATTCCTCGGTTCACCAAGGAGGAAGAAACGGCATTCGCAAAGGAACATTTTGACGACCAGGTCACTCCAACACTCAAATATTCCGCTCTGTACGAGACAAAAATCGCGTCTGTATACTCAACTTTGCCAGAATATGTCTATAAGAGATGGCATTTCCAGAGGACTATGACTATTGGCGATGCCAGTCACAAGGTGAGACTACCTACTTGCCTGAGAGGAAGATCGTGCCAAGACTGACTCATATCTGGTCAAATAGTTTGAGCCCTTGACAGGCCAGGGAGGAAATAATGCAATAGAAACCGCCGCATCCCTGACAAATCATCTCGTTGCGGCCCTCAAAAACTGCCAGTCAGGCACGCTGTCATCGGCAGAGATTACCAAAGTCTTCGAGAGCGTTCAAAAGCAGCGCGAAGACCGTGCGTGGGGATTGATCAGAGCATGTCATAACCGGCAACGTCTGGAGTGCATGGAAACGCCTGTGTTGAAGTTCATGGCAAAACACGTGGTGCCACACTTCCCCAAATCTCTTGTCCTCAACAAATGGATCGACACATATGCTCCCGCAGTGTCCTTGAACATGCTTCCTCTGCCGCACAGGCCTCGAGAAATTGCATACTTTGATGAGCGCTTCAGAACACCGACATCTCGGGGTGCGGTGAGCATCCTGTTGTACGCTGTATACTTCTTCTTGGCCTGGCTGGGCCATCGCCAATTGTCAACAGCACTCAGAGCGAACGGAACAATGGAATTTGTCCGCCAGGCACTTCAGAGCCAGTCGGTTGTACTCCCAGGAGGAGTTGAAACTCCCCTTCGCCAGGTATACACAGGGATTGGACCTGTTGACTTGTTCTTGAGAATCATTGTAACAATATTCTTGCCGACGGTCGCCAACTTCTCCGCTCCGGAACAACCATTCCAAGTTTTGTATTTTATGGCTTTTGTGCTGCCGATTATCGCTATCTTGACCGTTGAAGGATTCCGACCACGGAACAAATGGACCCTTCTTGCTATCCCGAGTATATGGGCAGTTCTATATCAGCTGCGAGGCATTGGGATGATTGCACCTCTCTGTTTCGCATCAAGCACTTATATCTCCTCGCACATCTCCTACTTCTCCCCGAGTACCCGCACACTTCCTGAATCTACCGCTCGAGCGATACTGCCTGCACTAGTACTGGGATTCATCGTGCCCACGATCATGCTGTTTTTCCCATTGACTGATGCCCTGAACATGCGACAGGTCTTCATTGCGCTGTGGCAGCCCGCTCCGATATACGTGGTGATCTTGACTCAGATATTCTCCCGCGTCATCAAATCGATCGGTTGGGGCACACCGGCCCAGACCGATACCACCGCAGCGGAGGGCGAACCTAACCGTGACATCGCCCACTTGCAAACTCTCTATGCTGTGGCTGGTGGTGTGGCTGCATGTTTCCATGTGGCCTTGTTGCTAACCTGGGCTGCTTCCGGGACAGACTTTATCACCAAGGCATTCATTCCATCCGATGCCTTCGCGCAGGTGGCGACACTTGCAGATGGTGTCTTTGTGTTTTTCCAGAACGACTTCCTGCTTGCTGCAGCGGCAACTCTCCTGTGGTGCTTAGCTAGTGTGTGGGATCTATACCGCCTTGGTGTTTCTAATGTCTCTTGGCAGGTAGGATTGGCTGGTTTGATCTTTGGTTCCGTGGCAATCGGCCCTGGTGCGACTGCGGCGGCTGTGTGGTATTGGCGGGAGGAGGTCATGAGTCGGACATATTTCCTCCGACATGGTCCCGTCTCTAGCTCAATCAAGAGCACTTAATTGTGCAATCTGGTGTTGGATGGCCATGAGATCAACGAAGAGAGGTTCAAGCAAAGCCCTAAAATTTGGGTGAAACAAGGTTGGAGTAGATAGTTCTGAGGGAGATCAGATCTGATTCATAAACTTATTTCGTGTGTATATTAGAATGGGGTATCGTAATGTTCCGCGGGTTAAAAGACATAAATGCACATAAGGCTACCATGGAGAGCCAGTAACTCAAACTAGGATCCACCTCACATTGTAGGATACTACCCTCTCGACATCAGACCGGCGAAAGCCGGCCACACACCCCAGAGCAACTGGGAGCTGGCTCAGTCCTGGATAAGTTAGTTTTTATCACCATAGTTGATGCCATGAATAGCAGGGAATAACAGGGGAAGCGTACTGTTGATCAATTTATACTCGTCGACGACCATCATCATATTGCCAGGTGGTGCGCCTTCGGGGATCTCCAAGTTCGAAGGCCCAGCGCCCGGACTAGATGGATAAGATATCGTCAGGGCAGACGAAGAAAACTCGCCTACACCAATCCCTTGATTTAACAGATATCTCTCGACATCGTGCACGTCAAACCAGTCTTCATCGGCAGGAAGATGGGACACGCCGTTTGTTGTTCGGAAGAGGGCGAAGCTATCTGAAGAAGCACCACTGGAAGGTTGTGGAAAGTGTGTTCCTGCACCACCAACGCTGATATATGGGAATCGAGCATCGATGATAGGATTGCAAGGTTCCATGTTGATGACACGTCCGAAATAATCTCGGATCTCTGCCCGTGACATTCTTTGTAATAGTAGTCCAAACTCCCACATATCTTCATCTTTATATAAGATGTTTGACAGGAATCGATAACCACTTTCAGCGCAAGCGCGGAAAAGCCGTTGAGTGAAAGGTGTGGTTGTATATTGGATGGTGTGGGTTTCAGCAATAGATAGTGGCGCAGGAATGGGAACCACGTTCAAGTCATTCGATCGGTGATCCAAATTCTCGGTATCACTCGATGGAATGATACCACCGGAGGAGCCCAAAAAGAGTTTCCAGAAGTCAGAATCCTCAGTTTGATCTTTTAATCTACCCATTGAGACCTCGGACGCGGCCTGCGCGTGGGATTCTGCATTGACAGTCTGAGGTGGATCTGAAGTTTTGTTTCCTGCGGAATCTTCATAGTGAATATCGGCCCGCTTGAAATGGGACACTATATCATCACGCAGTGATTGGACTGTCCGGAAGAGTTGAGGTTGAGACCACTGCGACCCACTCCGGATCACTTGATTATCAAATTCCTGCACCGTCTTGCTCAGATGACCAAGTACATCTTCCAACTGCTCTACACGAGCTTTTAGTGACGAGAGCTGGGATAGTTGGCGAGATCTGTATGCCTGCTGTGCTTCACGGACCTGGGCGCGTCTTACCTGTGCCAAGGGTGAGCCGAGTTATTATTTTTACTTGCAGGAAGGGGCCTCACAGATTTCGCATCATCGGCAGGTTTCCGAGGTCGCCCTAAAGAGTTCCGTTTTACTTGGGCTGTAGACATTGCAATACAACTTGAATATATGAAGGTTCACAGTTGAGATGGTGAGGCCCATGTCATAATGCCAAGCCCGAGGCATTCCTGACTAAAGTACGGAGTACGGAGCACTTGACCTCTTGTTTCAACTTGACCTTCTTAGTCCTTAATATGTTACATCGGGATTGTCAGTAGTTTTATGAATAGCTTGCTTTGTTTGTTGTCTTTTTCCTCTCTCTGAAATGACACACGTTCTGAAGGTAGAAATCCAGTTATCTTTGCGGCCTTATTCGGAAGACAAGTACCACTTAGTAAAGTATACACTGCACACTGTCTCACCCGTCTCACCCGTCTCACCAATTCTATTGCCTAGAATCTAAGAACATCCCAACTTGGGAAGATATTCCTGTCAGCTTACGAGGTATAGTACACCGCCACACTCACCACGTTTCCCATAGTGGCTGGATAGCGGGGCCATATTTAAAACAGCCACACCCCGCTCTGCAGGCACCCTTGTTTCTCTCTTGATTTTATTTTTGTTCCAACTGTTCTTCAAGGTTCATTTACAAATTTGACAGAATGTCCAGACAGGATGATTTGGCTTATGGTGGTTATTACGAGGGTGCGGAACGTGGGTCTGGCGACGGATCCCGCGGTCTAGGCGATACCTTCAAGAAGCTCCGCGATACTTACAAGAGCCACGGATCTTCGCATGGTCAGGCTAGTCAGACATACAACCCAAGTGGTTATCAAGGAGTAGGCTTTACTTCCAGTCGATTTCCACACTTACTAACAAGTTATTTACAGCAGACTTACCCGACCCAGACCGAACCACAATACGGATATGATCAAAGCCAAAATACAAGTGGACAGCACCAAAACCCTGACTATTACGGGAAACCTCAAAAAGAAGACAAACTGGCTGGTTTTCTAGGGAAACTTCAAGGGACTGTGACCGAGTTTGGTTCCGAATTCGTTCAAAAGATCGGTACCACCATCGACCCACAGGCATATGCCGAGTATGGTCCCAGCAAGCCCAACGCAGAGCATCGATTTGGTAGCTTCGCTCCTCCGCGGGAACATAACGATGTAAAGTGGTATGTGGATGGATGTAGCTATTTCTGGGCTGTGTCACGAGCTCTGGAAAATGCCCGAGAGTCGATTTGGATCTTGGACTGTGAGTTTCAACCCCCGGATTTTCGTTGAATGCGGCGCTAACTTGGCATTAGGGTGGTTGTCACCCGAACTTTATCTGAGAAGGCCTCCGGCCAAGAATGAACAATACCGATTGGATCGCATGCTGCAAGCTGCAGCTCAGCGGGGCGTGCGCGTCAATGTCATTGTTTACAAGGAAGTTACGCAGGCACTTACTCGTATGTATGTCTTTGCACATTGAACAGAATTCAACTAACCTCTGCAGTATCTTCTTCCCACACGAAACATGCCCTGGAAAATTTGCACCCTAATATCGCTGTCTTCCGTCACCCTGACCACCTGCCCGATCGCCAAGAGCTGGCAGCTTCCATCACATCGTCCTTGCAGAATCTGTCACTCGACTCGGCAAGTCTGAGTAAGATGTCAAAAGACACACTGAAGGGACTCTACGGAATGAACGATGACGTCATTCTCTATTGGGCTCATCATGAGAAGCTTTGCTTGATCGATGGCCGGGTTGCCTTCATGGGTGGCCTGGACATGTGCTTCGGCCGCTGGGACACAAACCAACATGAGCTTTCAGATCTACATCCCTCGGATGTCAACCAAACCGTATTCCCTGGCCAAGACTACAACAATTCTCGTGTCCTTGATTTCCAAGATGTCGTTCACTGGGAGAATAACCAGCTGGATAGAAAGACCATGTCTCGGATGGGATGGTCTGATATATCCGTGAGTCTGCACGGTGCAGTCGTGGAAGATTTGCGGCGTCACTTTGTGGAGAGATGGAACTTTATCTATGATTTGAAGTACAAGGTTCGCAGTGATTCTAGATACGCGAGACTGGCACTTTATGGAAGGCCCACTTCCTCGACAGGCCAACAGCAGGCTGGTTCTCCGCAGCCCAACCTGTACCCCTCTGGACAGTCGAGTCCACAGGGTCAGCCACCTGCGCCATCTTGGCAGCAGAAGCCTAGCGGAGCTACATCGCCTGCCTTCCCCCGCCGCCAGGTCAGACGTCGTCGAACTCTTATCAAGCGTCGCCGTCACCATCACAGTCCCAGCCTCAGCATCAACAATCTGCCGGGGTATACCAGCCCTACAACAGTGCTAGCACTCCAACCTATCCGCCACCGCCGGCTCAGACCTCCTCAAATCAGCATCAATATCAGCAGCAGAATACGAATACCTCTTACCAACCTGCAAATGCTTCAACCTATCCACCGCCGCCAAGCCAAAGTTCTCTAGGCTACCAAACCCAATCTACCCAGCCCTCGAGTCATGATGCAGGCAATTATAGTTACAGTGGGAGCTCATTCCCTCCTCCTCCGCCTGGACCCCCGCCAGCGCAGTCCACTGCCAACACCTCGTATCAACCTTATCAACCGGGGCAGCAACAAGAGCAGAAGCCCTATTTCCCACCTCCGCCAGGACAGGAAACATCCCACTCCAACACCCGTGGAATCGATGATTACCAGCATGAAGGTGATCGCGAACGAGGCTCTTTGAACCCCCGTCGTTTCCGAGAGGACCTGACCCAATATGGTAGCACCCTTCGCGGTCAGCTCGCCGGAACAATCCACCAGTATCAGGATCGACTGACCACATATGGCCGCCCTTCCTCTTCGCAAGGCCGAGGCAATATGTCATGCCAGATCGTGCGCAGCTGTGCGAAATGGAGCAACGGCAGCCAGCTTGAGCATTCAATTGCCGACGCATATTGCGCCATCATCCGAAACAGTGAGCACTTTGTCTACATTGAAAATCAGTTCTTTATCACTGCAACCGGCGATTCGCAGCGTCCAGTGAAAAATCAGATTGGTACCGCCATCGTGGAGAGAATTTTACGTGCTGCCCGTGCGGGTCAGAAATATAAGATCATTGTGGTCATTCCATCTGTTCCCTGCTTTGCCGGTGATTTGCGAGATGATGAGACTCTCGGGACACGCGCGATTATGGAGTTCCAGTACAACTCCATCAACCGCGGAGGTCACAGTATCATGGAGCTGATTGCTAAGGAAGGATTTAACCCAATGGAGTACATCCGTTTCTACAATCTTCGTAATTATGACCGGATTAACAATGGCAGTATGATGGCTGCAGCTGAACAGCAGAGTGGTGTCAACTACGAGGATGCCCGCAGGCAGTATGATTTGAACACTGCAGGTCCTGGTGGATATGCCCCCAGCACTGCTCGTAGTGCTTTTGATACTACCGCGCCATTCCAGAAGTACCAGCAAGCTGCACACCAGGCACAGGGCAGTCATCCTTCCTCGAACCGATGGGACAGTGTGAGCGAGTGTTACATGCTTGGCGGAGAGGATATTCGCAAAGTGCCGTGGGATGGCCACCCTGATGCCGAAATTGATGCGTTTGTGAGCGAAGAGCTTTATGTTCACTCAAAGGTTCGTTTCCTACAAAATTCGATGATGATCCACAAATCTAACAAAAGCATTAGGTGATGATTGCCGATGATCGTGTAGTTGTTTGCGGATCCGCAAACCTGAACGACCGTTCTCAATTGGGTGACCATGACTCTGAGATTGCAGTTATTATCGAAGATTTCACACCTCTGGCATCCACCATGAATGGTAAGCCATGGACTGCCAGTCGCTTTGCTTCATCTCTCCGCCGCCAGTTGTTCCGTAAACACCTTGGTCTTCTGTCGCCGCAAGATTATCAACGACCGGATGCAAACTTTGAGCCCGTGGGTGTTCCCAACCAATTCGACTTCGACTGCCCTGAGAGCAAGGTTGTTGCCGATCCGCTTTCCGACACTGCCCAGAGTCTTTGGAACTCGCGAGCGCACACGAACAGCGAGGTCTTCCGGAAGGTATTCCACGCGGTTCCAGATGACTCAGTCCGCAACTGGGCCGAGTACAAAGAGTTCTATGAGTACTATTTCCACAAGACTGAGAAGAGTGCCGAGGGCAGGGAAGGATCACGCCCAGCGCGATTCCAATGGGGCCACGTTGTGCGCGATGACTTTGCGCCTGGTGCAGAGGGGGCGAAACAAGTCAAAGAACTGCTTAGCCAAGTTAAGGGCACTCTTGTTGAGATGCCTTTGATGTTCTTGATCGAGGAAGATATTGCCAAGGAAGGATTGACTCTGAATGACTTGACCGAGCCACTCTATACCTGAGGAGGAGATTGCATTTGCCAAGTTAGGATTATCATCATTGCTCTCGTTTCTTGAATTCCGGGAGTTCTATTAGCTAAATTGTCCCCAAACGGAATTTGACTTCTTTTAGCGATGCTGTTCGGGGTTCTGTTTTAGGTCCCCGGGAAATCACAACAACAACTCAAGTGCAATCAAGTCTAGAATTCGTATGCCAAGTCCGAGTTGACATTGTTCTCGAAGAACAATCGTAAGGGGAATTTGTTTGTGGTTGGTCAACTTAGGCCTCCTTTGTTCCCCAAAGTCCCCACTGGGCGAGCACACACATCACTCCGAAAATGTCCTTTCACACTCGGAGGCCCACTCTTAGTATTGTTCTTACCCCCATGAAAGTCCTATCAATGTGCTAACTACACGTGCCAGGGGCAGGGCCCCCCCGGCCATCTCCGTGGCGTTCCTTCATGAAAGACAACCCCGGTATAGCCACGCCTCGGAGAGTATGTGATGCGGTCAATCTCAACGTCCCTCGACGGATGTGCTGGCTGCAAAGCAATCACGACAAAGAAAAAATGCCAGAGGCAACGATGCTTACATTCATGAACACGAGAACAATATCAAACGTCTCCACAATGGACATCCATCGCAGTTCCAGCCCCATGCATTCTAGATTGATTCTACACCTTCGACAATGTCCAATGCATCCAACTCAGCCATTCAATGGGACTTTTGCATTCACATCAATTCCCCAGGTAGGATATCGACCATATTGATAGTCCGAAGAATAGTCCTTCATCGAATATAAATATTACCTTCTACGCCCAGTTCCAATTCTTTTCTTCACCACCCGCTCACACTTCGATCATTCCAAACAATACTCCAATCTTTTCAAGCTTTCGCTTTTGAAGCTCTTCTCAATCTTCGAAATGTCTCGCGCTCAGGTCCAGAAGCGATGTGAGTATCTTGCTTCCAAAGCATGCACTGCTTCATCATTTCCCCTAGATCCATATGCTAACATGTCATCTCGATAGCCCCCGGTGGTGGCTGCGTCGTTATGAAGTCCCCAGGTGGTGGCTGTGTCGTCATGAAGTCTCCTCTCCCCAACGGCTGTGTGGTTACCAGAACCCCCGGAGCCGGCTGCGACATCATGAAGCGGTCTCCCGGCGGCGGCTGTGTCCTCATGAAGTCTCCCGGTGGCGGCTGCGTCGTCATGAACAGTCAGTACCATTTAATTTCCAAAATAACAACTGACATACTAACATATATTGTGCATAGCCGCTGATATCTAAACGTCTTCCATGAGCGCCCCAAACTCCAACATTCCATCAACCACCATGGCTTGACCTGGGTCATTGGTCGCCATGGTAGACATTGAAGCGCATTAATTTCCTGACAATCTTCGCCGCGGACATTTGAAACACTTTCAGCTTTTCAAACAAAAATATCAATCCCTCGAAACATGACCTTCAGCTTTGCTTTTGCTTTTGTGAAGACTCTTTACGAGTCTGTCTGTCCAGTTCATTCCTTCTTCGACGAGAACAGTTCATTTCTCTTGACGGTCGTGCATGATGATCTCCCTGCTGGGTCTTCGCAGCGGCTAATGATCAATATCCAACCACTGTCGACTCTGATTTGTTCTGCTCTTTCGAAACCTTCGTGGACGATCCGGGTGACAACGGTTTCTTAGAAAAGGTGTTTTCTCGTTCCTTCAGCTACATTCGGGGGTCCATTACATACTTCAAAATCGGTTGATTGTGTTTCTCTTTTTTCCATGTGGTGCAAGTTCCTCTGGTTTCTTGATTGGTGGGTGGTTTGGGTGGACAGGGCTTTATTTCTTAGTTAGAATTGGTCATGGTAGCTGGTAGGAATGGAGCATTGTCTCAAAGATTGTTTTCACTTTGGACATATCCTAATGTAGTCCAACTGTAGCCAAGAGGAAAGCCACCTTCCTACGTTGGAAAGGTTTCCTCGTGGTGATCTAGGATCCTTCCATGTATACACAACTACGTACTCTCATTCGGAGACAATTTCGGGGCAGATAAATGCACAATGATGCAAACGTTCATTCATAGAAATACCATATTTACTCAAATTCTGTACAAGTGATCTGGATCTGTACTTATTCCCAGATATCAATCTTCTTCCGAATCTCAGACGCCTTGGCCTCTTCCGCTTCGGAATATTCACCCAAATCCCCTTCATCGGGACCAAATGCATCGCTGGCTGTCTCCTCAATTTGATCTAGTGTAAGGCCAATAAGTCCGACAGACCGTGCATTACCAATCTGGCACATTTCCTCTCCAACCGCAGCTTCGATAACACCCTCGCCTCCCTTAGTGGTGTGATCGTCCTCGAAGCTCTGGAATACCCGCCGGAGAGGACCTAGGACATGGGCACGGAAGAACTTGACGGTCTTCTCAAGATGAAGCTGGTCGCGTAGCGATGGCGAGGACAGCAGCAGGTAGTACAGATTCAAAGCGGAATGAAGCTGTGGACCTTGCGTCTGGGTCAGATGAGACCAGCTAGTAACGAGATCGGATGCTGAGCTGGCGGTAGTGACCGGTTTGAAAAGAGCGGGGAATAGAACCCAGAAGTAGAGCGGATCCTGGAATACAGTATCGGAAGATTGGGTGGGGCGAAGTAGTTCATCCTTCAGCCATCCGATGGCGCTATCTCGCGCAGAGGCAAGATGGTCATCTTCCAAGATCTTGTGTATGAGCTTGAATCGTGTCTCAGGCGATGGATGGCTCTGGAAAATGGTGGCTGGGATCTGACGGACGATGCCGTGGCTCTGACGTGCTGTGCATGCAGTCAAGGTGACAACGAAATCTTTGAATTCGGTATCGCTTGATGGGGGTTCGATGGGCTGTTGCAGAGCATAAACGGCCAAAGCCAGTAGGGAGTCGAGAAGCGCATGCGGTTGACCGAAAGCCACTTCGTCGAGATTGGTGTGGCCGCCGACAAAGTTGTTGAATATTTGAGCCAACTCGGGGAAGACCGATACCTGGCGGAGCGGTTGTCCAGAGGCAAAGAGGGTTGCGCCTGCAGCCCGAGCCGCTAGCAGGAGGAGCGAACCATGGCGTTCTAGCGGAATCTGATCTGGGTTTGTTGGTGGTTCATCAAAATCAAGTTGGGCAGTTTGTTCTGTCGGAGGTTTGGAGATGATTGACAGGAGTTCCTCGTTATCAATTCCAACGTCTCGTGATAGAGCCTGAGCAAAAGTAGAGTCAGATTGATTATCCTCAAATATTGACATGATGCCACTTGATTGCACTTACCATAATCTTTCCCATGATCATATCGCGCTCCTTGAGCTCCTTGGTCGACCCATATGCCTCAGTCTGGGATTGGGCGGCGGGTAGACGCAAATCCGGATGCAGGTGTTCTTGCATTCGAATGGTCCACGACATTCCGGGATCCATAGGACTGGAGAAACTCAAGAGGTATGATTTTACCAATTCAAGTAAGCCGAACTGTGTGAATTTCCGAACAAGCAGGGCCTCGTTATCGGCAGACGGAGAGGGTGAGGATACCTCAGCTTCGGGATCGGGGGCTGAGGCAGCGGCAACCCTCAATATGCTCGACTCGCTAGCAGCCCTAGGAGGTGGTGCAGGCCGTTTGGAGGGAGAAACTTCGCGGAAAAATTCAAGGAAGGCTAGAGTGGTTTCGTTGGTCGCCATTGTGGTATACGCTTCCAGTGCCGCCTGGAGGGAGGTTGCCACGAAACGGCTTGGAGCTTTTGTCTGGATCCGAGTGTGAAGAACCGAGAGCATACCGAGAAGGCAGTTAAATTGTAGGATGTGCAGGGGCAGCCCCTGATCAGCCTCGTCCTCGTCCTCATCCTCCTCCGGGTGGAGTTGCATCAGAGACTCAGATACGCGTAAAATCACTTCACGTGGATTGCCTAGTCTAGCAACATCCTGTAGGCACTCAGTGGATGCTGGTAGCATGGGCAGGAGCAGTTTGACCAGATCCCAGCCAATGTTCGTCGTAAGCTTCTCATCTTGCAGGAGAGTGTGCAAAAGAGGTAGACGTTCCGGAGTTAGCTGATATTCTAACAGTGTCAGATAGGTCAAGTAGTCCGTAGCCGGAGGCAATGCTTCAATGAGAGGGTCCTCCATGGTGGTAGTTGACTAGATGTCGCAAGCAGCGCGGGGAAGATGAAACATGGCAATGACATCAGCGGCAGAATCCTGAGGAAAACACGGGCCGATCCCATCTCCGAACTATAGACTTGTCAGGGGAATGGGATTATTTCGAACACATTAGGCTTTTCGCGCTGCTTATTTCGAGATTTTCTCCCTCTTTAAGCCAGTTCTCAGAGTTGCAACCATGCATGGTTTCTTTCATTCGAGCGCTATAACCCCGCGTGACTAAAGAACCCCTTTCGGGGTTTTCTCGGACAAGAGTGGGATGGCTGTCTGAGTATCTCTAAAGCTGATAGGGCTAATTTCTTTTTTTTGGGGTCCTAGTGGTGCGGCCAATCTGGCATTATCTTTCTACCTTTCGCTACCGCTCGAAACATTGCTTCAGACAAGATTATCAGCGGCCTTTGTCTCTAGCGTATATCTCACGAACCCTGCAAGCGCTAATAAATGAGGAATTTTGTTGCACAGCCTCAGGAATTTCTAACAAGAGGTTCTAAGAGCATGACATGGCTCGAGATCTGGTTGATTAACCGCTCCACTTGAGAACTCAATCTCTCAGACTGGTAACTACTTTTCTGTCATTACAAGCGCTAGCCACTATCCCTACAACATATGTGCTCTACCTCTCAGCCCTTATTCGGAGATCACACCGCTCTATGTCAAGTCATTTTTCTTATTTACAACAAGGCAGATCTTCTCATGGAATCTTTATGACTAGAGCCTCCCGACCTGAATATGCCCAGTAATTCCTGGCTTTCTACACAATTATCGTCAAATACCAGTGTACCACTGTAGAAGCATGCCGCTTCCTGAAGACTCGCAACGAGCCTTAGTGATCGATACTTGTGTAATCCATCACCTAGAAATGTTATTAGTCAATATGGCAAAAGAGCTATTAGAACTTCTGATCACCGCCGTATAGCTCGTATTCCACGTGTGTATTATTTCTTTCCTAATTAGCGAGGCTGGGGTTATATTGTGATAATGCTTATAGAAGGAAAGGTCATCGATCCTTTACATGATGTTAGCGCTGTATATAGGGTTACTAATGTGCTCAGTCATTTCGTAACCCTACGATATATTATTCCCGGGTCACTTTATCGTGGCGCTTGTCATGGTCTTCTCTTTCCTGAAACCGAGCCTGTCATCTAGACATTGCCCCTCGGAACATTTTATGACTAGAAGATGGATATCTCTGCCTTCTCGATTGGGCGTCTACGGGCTTCTATCTAAGATTGTTTGAGTTCTGTATGCGGTGGATCTTCGATGGAAAAGACAGAAGCTTTAATTCACTTCTTTTGGAGTCGATGAATCCTCTATCAGATCTTGAAATGGCGCGGAAAAATGCCATCCTATGTGCGTGGAGGAACATCCAAAAATATCCATTGTAAGTCTAGCAAGCTCTGCATATCCCTTGGTTGATACGAATCTGCTTTTAGCCGAAACAGAACGTCTACATCACGCCAAAGATCGAGGCAGTCGACAAATTTTTCTGCCTGTGCCCGCTTATCCAATGCCAGGATATCCCGTTGAATGGCATGAATAGGTAGGGCGTGAATGCTCTACACTGAGACCCCTTGTTAACCTTTAAATTTCCGCTGCAGAAGAGAGGAAGTAAAAGCAGTTGACAGTTTAGGTGCCCGACAAAGTGGCACCATTGATATGGTTACTACCCAATACCGACAGCTATTTAGGGTGAAAGATCAAGAGGCATTGGACACATGGATATATGAACACCCCATGGAATGTGTTTTACACGAAAGCTACATATTACTCTACCTTTTTACTTTACCTGGTTTCAGGTATCAAGTCACCACAGTCTTCATCAACAGGATACAGGGTCAAGCCGATGAAATTTAAAACAACAAAGTCAGCAGTTCATTCAGCAATATACACTTAGCTCCCATCCAGTGTAGTCTTCCCATCAGATCAAAGTTGATGCAATACAAATCTCAATTCCAACAAAATGGCTCATAACTGACAGGAACCTAGCTGACAACCTATGGTACGTTTCAGTATCTAGTTCTGACTATCTATCCTCCGGCAGAAGTCCCCAGGCCGCTACTCAGACCCGAGAACATGAGACACGCTGTGATTTAACAGCCACCTCCATCACCGCCGCCGCCGCCGCCTCCACCTCCATCGCCACCGCTACTTCCACCTCCCGAATCGCCGCCGTAACTTCCACCACTTCCACCACCTGAACCGCAGCCACCACTGCCCGAATGATGGCCACCGGAATGGTGATGGGTCGTACCACTAGCTCCTGAGTCGTAGTAGCTACTGCTAGTTCCGGCATAGTAGTTGCTACGAGCCCGGGTGGTCGACGGGCCCGGTGTGGAGGGAGGGGTATAGTACGGAATGTAAGTTGGTCTGGCCGCGGCAACAGCCGCTTGCTGACGCTTTCGATCTTCCGCCTGTTGCTTCACCACTCGCTTCTCTTCTTTCCTTCTTTGCCTGGCTTCTTTCGACCGAAAGAAGGCAAACATCTTTCGACGGTAGGATCTGAGGCGATCGAGCCGACTGATAATATGTCAATGGGATTCCACCCTATTTGTAGAGTGCAAAGTTCTACCAATAGGTATAACTAGTGAAAATGAGGTTGAGTGGCAAGTGTAGCAGGAGATGGTGATCGGAGATGTTGTGTAGGGTAACCACTTGTTGAGGTTCACAGACAAGCTAAGGTGAGGCTTATGGTATTAGATTATGATGTTGAACATCATGAATGTGGACGTAGTCAGGGAGTTAAATATTTCTTACAACTAGGCATTAGGGAACGATATCGGATATCGTGCGAACTGTATAGCCTCACTAAGACAGCCTCGGTCAACCGGGCAACACAGCCTCCACTCAGTTTATCGCTTATGCAGCAATACGACTGGTCCTTCGTATATCACGAGACACTCTATTTGCTAGTTCGACTGATCTTGTATGAATTCGTCATAGCGTCTGACTCTGCCTTGCCTTATCGCACTCTTGATACTCACGGGTGAAAGTTACCTGGGCCCAGCGATGACGCTGAAGAGCCTCCATCTAGGAAGGTTTTCGATCTTCAAAGCAAGGTCTCTGATGTTGATCTACAATGGCCATATCCCCTAGGGTACACTGAATCGATAACCGACCGGGCGAAACACTATCTGGTAGCCTGAGATGTGTAGTATGAGTAGAATCTAGCAAGTACGTAGATGGGAGGAACAGTTTGAAGGCATTAGGCTGAGCCCGTGACTGGGAAATCAGGCTGTGAATAAAGACCTGGGCAGTGAGCTAACAGCAGCAGAACCCGTGTATGTAGAAGAGTGCCAGGATAGAGTGCCAGGAGACCAGCCTCCAGGGCTGTCGGACACGTGTACCCGGCACTGACAAACACATCGAATATAAAGCCAACACACATTTTGCCGACGTGCTTCTGAGGCGCCTTTTACCGGTGCGTATGAAAAATTATCGGAAGATTTCTGGGACTTGGTGAAATTGTGTTACCGTCTGTTTATAGCCTGAAGAAACTTGAGATTAGAGGCGCAGAATGAGCTTAAGCATTCAGGGATGAGCTAGAAAGGTGCTCAGCCACAGATCCCACACATTCCCAAGGGTTTCCCGCTTGGGAACAGCCACAGCCGCGCGGCTGGGATTGCGTCGATCGGCCCAAAAATAACTTGAATAACATGACTGCCTGCTTCTTTCTTTCATCTCTTGAATTACTCCTTTTTATATACTCCTTCTCTATCGCTTAAGCTCCTCCCCATCCCCCACGATTTCATGGATTCGCATTTCTGTGTCCGACCCCCAAAATAAACACGCCCAAGCCACCATGGCCAACAACGAATACTATCACACGAATATCTCACAACCTCCCACCTATGAAGCTACACCCGGGAAGACAGATCAATACCCGCCCACAGCTCCTGGATTTGGCTACGCAAGCCCCAGTTACAATAACCACAGCGATCCCGCAGCCCCTTATCACAACCGAGAAAGTCAACAGTCAATTGCATCGGAGAATGGACATTATCAGGCAGCCGGACGAGTGGCGGACGGCGACAATTATGCAGAAAACATTCCTTTGAAGACCAACACCCAGTATGGAAATCCCAACACCCAATATGGGAATGATCCAGATTGGATGCGCCAACAGACGCATTACCCTCCGTCACCAGGGGGGGATTGAAGATAGCCGACAACGTGATAGCCGAAAGAAGATAGGGTTCTTCAGCAAGAAGATTGCCTGGGTGACATACCTCTTGACATTAGCCCAGATCATCGTATTTATTGTCGAACTTGTCAAGAACGGTGAGTTCTGGTTCTGCCTCGATACTGTTCTCACATTTCAGATGAACTAATGAAATCTTTTTCAATACAGCCCAGTTGACAGGCTCAGTCATCGAAACGAAACCTACCTTTAATCCGATGATCGGGCCCTCGCCGTACGTCCAAATCTGGATGGGAGCCCGCTACAATCCGTGTATGAAGAACGTGGAGGGGATCCAGAATGCCAAGGAATCCATACAGTGGCCCTGCCCAAGTTCAACATCGGCCACGGGAACATGCACTTTGTCTGAAGTGTGTGGCTTTAATGGTGTTCCCAACCCCGTTGTAGCCGGGTCCACGGATGATAGGCCGGCCCCCAACCAGTGGTACCGATTCATTATCCCCATCTTCCTGCATGGAGGATTCATCCACATCGGATTCAACCTGTTGGTACAGATGACCATGGGCGCAGACATGGAGCGCATGGTTGGCATGTGGCGCTACACCTTGACTTACTTCGCCAGTGGTATCTTTGGGTTCGTTTTGGGTGGAAACTATGCCGCCCAGCTTGACCCCAGCGATGGCTGCTCCGGCGCCCTATTCGGCATCCTTGCCCTCTACCTCCTCGACTTGTTGTATGAATGGCCCCAGCGTGAATCGCCGTGGGTTGAACTTATCATCATGGTTCTCGGAGTGGGTATCTCCTTCGTTTTGGGTCTTCTCCCAGGATTGGATAACTTCTCCCACATTGGTGGCTTTGTCATGGGTCTCGCCATTGGTATGACTATCATGCGATCGCCTAACGCTCTCCGCGAGCGGATTGGCCTGGCACGACAGCCATATGTTGCCATGAGCGGTGGAGCTGGCCAGGCTGGCCCCGAGCAAAAGACCACCTCCCTCATGGATTTCTTCAAGGGCAAGCGAGGCTTCACCTCCAGCTCGACAGAAACCCCCGGTGCTTCCACAGGCCCGCTCAACTTCTTCAAGGGCCGTAAGCCTCTTTGGTGGCTGTGGTGGGTTGTCCGTGCCGGCGCGCTGGTTGCGGTCCTCATTGGTTTCATCATGTTGCTTGTCGATTTTTATAAATACCCTTCCTCAAACTGCTCCTGGTGCTACCGCTTGAGTTGTCTGCCCGTTAATGGCTGGTGCAAGCAGAACAACTTGCCGACTGCCACTGAGACCGGCGGCAAAACTGGCTGAGCTTTGCTTTTTGTGTTGCGTTCGAAAACACTTTGCATTGCATTTTCAGACAGAGCTTCAATGAAATAATCTATTAGCATTATGACTGTAAATAGAGGGGATATTACGCACCAATATCCATCTACAAAATTACTTTACAATTGATATCCCCTGTTCCTGATCCCCAGTTCCTGAAAATGGACCACCGGAAATAGAATTTTGCTCCCTAAATAGGCAGATATGATGCGCTATACTTCGTACCTTTCGTGGCTGGGGCTGTGGCGGAGCAATAATTACCGTCAGTTTACCGTACCGTACCATCTCACCTAATACATATTCTCATCGCATACTGTAACCCTCGCTTCTGAAACCTTTCTTATGGGTTCCAATTGTCTATAATGGAACAGATCCCCTGAAACTCCTCGATGCTCAACCTCCTTTCCCCTGTGCCATAAACCCTCAGTCATGGCCACCTTGGCCTCGTCACCCCCGACTTCGCCCTCGTGGCCCAAACGACGTCCTCGAGCCTGGGCCCTCCGCTGTGAACGATACTGTTGTGCAGCGGCAAGCTGCTTTCCACTCTTCTTCGTCTACGGTCTCACCACATGGGCGGTATACGTCGCCGTCAGCATCGGCATCAAGCCATCACGGAGTGACTGGATCGGTATGATATCGGACTCGGACGGAGCCATGTATCCGGTTGTACTAACATGTCGGCAGGTATCCCGAGCTCCATCCTCGCATTTTCCCTTTACGCATTTCTCAACTTCTCGTATACGGTCGCCGTTTTCACTGACCCAGGGTCACCGCTCTCGACCTCTAGTGGGGCCGACCGTCATGAGTACAGCGCCCTCCCTCCCTCCGAGCACCCGGAGTTCACATCATATACCGTCACCTCGACTGGTGAATCACGCTACTGCAAAAAATGCCAGTGTCCGAAGCCGGACCGCGCACACCACTGCTCGACGTGCAAACGATGTGTCCTCAAGATGGACCACCACTGTCCTTGGCTAGCAACCTGTGTCGGATTGCATAATTACAAGGCATTCCTGCTATTTCTAATCTACACCTCGATATTCTGTTGGGTTGTTTTTGCCATCGCGGCCGTGTGGGTCTGGACCGAGATTCTGAACGACACACAGTACATGGATACTATTCTCCCGGTCAATGTGGTGCTGCTGGCCATCCTGGGAGGCATCATCGGATTGGTTCTGGGCGGGTTCACAGCCTGGCATATCAGCCTGGCTATACGGGGAACCACTACTATAGAATGTCTGGAAAGAACCCGGTATGTGTCGCCTTTGCGCAGAGCGCTCAATAGGCAGCGGAATGAACAGGCACCCAGTAATAACTATTGGGGCGAGCCGGGCGAAGAAAGCCTCTCAAACCGACTGCACGAATATGGCAATCGAATCATCGATGCCCACGCTAATGCAATTCCGGGAGTCACCCGAGTCGAGGAGGGCGAAGAACAAATGTATCCTATGCCGCGCCCATCAGGGCCTCCGGACGGTTCAGGCAACGGCCTCACGCCAGCGCAGCAAGCATTGACTCGGTCATACGCCGAAATGGAGCGACAGCGCGAGCACTCGCGGTACGAGGAGTACCAAAACGACGAAGACAACGAAAAGATGCCCAGCGCGTTTGACCACGGCTGGCGACGTAATCTACTCCACCTCTTCGGGGACCGCCCCCTCCTGTGGGCTGTGCCCATTTGCAATACCACCGGCGACGGCTGGCACTGGGAGCCCAGTGCTAAATTTCTAGAAGCGCGTGAGCACATGCGACAGCGTCGGGAACAGGAATCCACCGAGGAACAGCAGTACTATCGCGAGTTGTATCAACGCAATCTCGACAACAGTAATAGTTGGAGGGAAGGCGCCGCACAGCCGCAACGGATGCCAAATCGCGGCAGCACACCTGATCGGCCTCCAACCTCGGTGTCGATGCAGACTCTTGCACCTCGGTCGCCGCGGCCGAGGCCCGGCGATAGTGATTATGGGGATGATGTGGAAGGAAACGGGTTGTTGGATCCGGGCGCTGGCCGCCAGCAAGCTACAAATCGTGACACTGATGAATGGCGGGATTGGGACTAAAATCCAAGTGATTGTATCTAGCATTTCTCTGTAGCATCATGAAGGCGTTGTATCATTCTGAAAGCATCTATATCATCTATGAAGTATGTCCAAGTATATGCGCCCCGATATAAATATTTACAAAATTAGTATTAGGATTATGAGCATTACTCGATTCCTACGCTCTACAAATCAACTATTGATTTCTTTCAGACATGCGTGAACATTACTGAACCTCGCCCGTTCCCTGCCCAATAACATCATCACCCGCAACCTGCAGGACAACTGTCATCATTTCTCTTGTTTCCTCTCCTAACTCTCAGACTGCAACCTTGGACTTCAACCTCCAGTAGAATCCAATTCCAAAATGTCTTCCCCTTCAACCCGCCGCCTCCTAAAAGAAAGCACCGACCTCCACAAAAACCCAAGCCCATACTTCACAGCCGCCCCGATAAGCGACTCAAACCTCCACGACTGGCACTTCACTCTTGCCGGACCACCCTCTCCCTCCCCCCTACGCCCAAGGCCTCTACCACGGTCGCATCACCTTCCCAGCTACATATCCACTTCGCCCGCCCTCGTTCCGCTTCTTAACGCCCTCCGGCCGTTTCGAGGTCAATCGCGAAATCTGCCTCAGTATCTCCGGACACCACGAGGAGACATGGCAGCCCGCTTGGGGTGTGCGCACTGCGCTACTGGGGATCCGGTCTGAGATCTTTAGTTCGGAGAGCCAGGGGCAGGTTGGTGGGATGGAGGGAAATGATGAGTTGCGCAGGGAGTATGCGCGACTTTCGCTTGGTTGGCGGTGTCGGGAGTGTGGGGTTGAGAATTTAGAGGCTATGAAGGAGTTGTGGAGGATTTGTAGGGAGCGTGGGATTGAGGTTGAGGGTGAGGTTGAGGGCGTTAGTGGTGCTGGTGTCGAGGGTCAGCGGGAGACGGCCGAGGCCGAGGCTGATGCTCAGGCTCCGACTTCGAGTGGGCATGATGCTCCTGTTGGAGCTGAGGACCAAGGTCCAGCGGGTGGTGCTGTAGAGAGTCCTCCAGCTGCGGAAACTGTTTCGGCTCCTTCTGCGCCTGCACCGGTGCCAGCGGTGCAGGCACAGGCACAAGCACAAGCCCAGTCACAGCTGTCTACTGTACAGGCACCGGGTGCGGCTGATATTCCTACGCAGACAGGCTCCCCTCAACTGGCCTCGACGGAGTCTCCATCTGAAGGTGTCTGGCTGGACCGGGCTATCATTGGGGTGGTCATTGCTCTTGTCTTGTTGATATTGCGCCGAGTGGCGAACGTCGACGATCTGTAAAAGACTTGAGGGTTTATGTTGAGCATTTTCTTTATTTCGACTATGCGGGCGTTTGGGATTACATTACAGGAGTTCATCCATGGTATACCTCTAGATAGTTTTTGATTCAAGCACACAGCATCATTGAAATGAACCATCTCCTTGTTCTTTTTTCATTTTTTTGACTATTCTTGAGGAGTATGGTTAGCACGTATGTTCGTGCATAGATGTAATATTACATTCGAATTCAGTTGTGAGAAAATCAAGATAGAATCATCCACCAAGACTCCTGTAAACTCCAGCAGGCCATCTCTCCCTCGCCGTCAGCCTTGACAATGCCAACTTCCTCCAGCCATTGCAGCATCAGCACGGTTTCCCATGTGCCCATGGTGGGTTTGATCATGTTAGAAATGCTGACGGCCTTGATACCAGGGCGTGTTGTCAGGCACCCGAGGACGGGGCCAATTACCAAATCCCAGAGACGGCGCACGAACTCTCCATTGATATCGTACCAAAGGGGATTCTTTGGTGGAATTCCCGTGCCTGCGGATGAGGGTGCGGGTGGAAGGATCACAGCTGCAGCTTTGTTATGGACCGGATTACCGTAGCGGTATTTTGCGGTGGGAGTAACCTCGACGGGGAACCGGAAATGTTTCTTGTCCATCTGTCGAGTTTCGTATCCGCCATCGGTGAGACCGAACTTGGCGCGAGGGGCATCACGAGGTCGCATTTGAATGGCGCCCGAAGCGTAGAGATTGATCAATGCGAGGATATCGCCGTCTTCTGCAGCATACTCGATATCGAAAGCACCGGTGGTCCGGAATTGGAGATCTAGCGTGTTTGATTTGAAATGAGCCGCACGGCGCAGCTGGGAGCTTTCGACGGCACGTTTGCGGCTCAGTGTCTGCAGGAAATATTCTGAGATATCGTAATTACGTCCTGGATTGACGCGGCCACGGGTTGTTGAGCTGATAACACGATCGTTGATCAGTGTCTGCGTCGCGGTGGTGATGAGTCGATCACCAAAGCGTTGCAGGATATCACTCGACTCATTGGGTCGATAGGTTTCTTCTGCGGTGATGATATTTGCACGGACCCAAGTCTTCGCAGTCTCAAGTTGTTCAGCATGAGCTTTTCGTGGATCCGACTGGATGCGTGATTCATCCTCGACAGGTACAGCAAATGGATTGCGTGCCATCAAGTTGCGTTTGTGGTTGATAGTGACACCGTGCACAGCTTGGTACAATTCATCGCCTGCCGTAAGAGCATCCTCGCGTAAATCGAAAACACTCTCGAATTGCTCCCGTGTTGCTGGAAGATCTGGAGCCCGTTCGGATGGAGACATATGTAGCCGAGTGCTTGCCCATTCAACCAGGGCAGGCCAATCATAGTTGTCCAAATCGGAATAGTCAATACGTGGGACTTCATCCTTTTCGTAGGCTTCAAGGAAGCACTCCTGGAAATCACGATGCATCTTTGTAATCTGCAAGCGATTCTTGTTAAGTGTCTGACGCGCTCGCGCTTCGATAAAAGACGGGTCTTCATTTGGGAAGGCTTTCGTCAAAAGATTCCAATCGATCACTCTTGATTCTGCTCCGCCTGCAAGCACACGAACGACGACGAGAGCAACCGCCAGCTTTTGTTTGAGATCCTCGGAGAGCGGGCGCACGAACCGCTGTCGGCGAATGCGTTTGGAGGTCGCTGGCGTCGCGGACTGTGTTTCTTTGTCAGGTGTTGCAGTATCATCGAGCTTAGCCAGACGGCGGTCTGTTGGAGGAGCACGCGGGGCTCGTGTCCGTCTTGGTTTTGGTGCGCGTTTGGGTGTCTCCTCTTTCGGTGTGGTTATTACAGGAGGCTGAAGTAGAGACTGGCGCTGACGACGGACATCGCTACGCCGGACTGGCAAATCCGGTTCCACTTCAGGCTGTTTCGGAGGAGGGGGCATGTCAATATCAAAGCGAATATCGCCATTGATCGGCGCTGGGTCGAAACCATCCTGAACGGTTTGGTCGATGAACTGCTGGCCTTCAAGGTTCGCTTCAAAGAGATTTGAGTGATGAAGCTCCCATTCGAGGATCTTCTTGGTCTTTTGATCGAATCTCGAGCGTAAAACTTTGGATTTGACAGCCATAGGCATTTCTGGCAGCTCTGGTTCGTCATGGGCTAGTCTAGATAACTCATTGACGGATTTCTCAATGTTCACGGCCGGTTGTCTTTCTGTCACGGGCCTACCCCTTCTGCGTTTGGCTGAGCACGACCCTGTGGAGAAAGTCCCCGTAGATGGATCAAATTGCTGCACTGGATTCATCAACATGGCATACGCTCCGATGGCGGAGATTGGTTTCATCACGCGTTTGGGATGTATGATGAGCTTTTGCTTTCCAGGACCACGTGTACCTGTTCGAACATATGGACGAATGATTGATGTGTTCGGATGAGCATCAAGATCCAATTCAGGAGGGCGTGCAAGTGTCATGAGTCGCTGAACTCCAGGAACGTCAGGCAATTTATCCATTTCTTCAGCAACCTTGGCAGCCTTAGCTGCTTGGGCTTCCAGGCGTTTGATGAAATTCGCCTGTGCCTGTCTCCTTCTTCTTGCCTCCAAGTTCACAATAGAGATAGGTTTCTGTTGTAAGTGAACCTGGGTCCCTTGTTCGACGGGGAAAGAGAATCTCTGTGCACGGGCAGGTGCACCGTGTGGTCGAACACTATTTCTTGTCAGATTCGGATCCATTTCGACATTGACCGCAAAGAAGGGCCGAGACTCGTGGAAATCAGTAGCCAAGATCTTGCTCTGCATCTCTTTCACCAGCGGATCGTCTGGTGACATTTCAGGCTTCAACAACAATGTCCTCGTCACCATCACTTTTCTTGTGTCCCTGCCGCTGAAAGTCAACTGCCGGAGCTGGCCAGCATCAATTAGTTGCTTGCATGCAGTATTGATAGTCCGCATGTCTGGTTTTTCATTGGGATGGAACTTCATCCATGCAGTGACAAATGGATACCACATTGCAGTGCCCGCGGGGTATACACCATTGGCTTTTTCCATGATTTCCATGATGAGCTTTCTTCGAAGGACACTGATAGATCCACCTCTCGCAGTCGAGAACTTTGAGGATCCCGATTCTTCCTCCCCTGGAATTTTCATGGTTCTGATGTTGATTCTGTTCCGAACACGTGGCTTTTTTGCAGGCTTGGTGCCAAAATTAAATTTCTGGGGGACCAGTGAGCCTGATCGCGGTGTCGGAACAGCGGATGGACGGGGTGTCGGAGATTGTAGAGTCTGGTTGTTATCGCTGCGGTCGGAGGGTGCTACGCGGCGTCGTTTTGATGGAGTCCCGGCTTGCTCCTCTTCGTATAGGTGAACGCTGGCACTCTTGTCACGATGGCGCGGTGTACTCGCTTTGATTGAACCCTCTTGGGGTGCTGGAACTACATCTTCGGGCAATGCCGCATTGGCATCCTTCAAGGGGCTTTCACTGCTTCCATTCCGGCCTGTGCGAATACGAGGTCGTTTAGAAAGTATGGGCGAGTCCGCTAGCTGATCAGGCAGAGTTCTCTTGGCTCCCGTCGAGGTCTTTGGGGTGGGAGTCATGACGGGCTCCTCGGAGTTGATCATTGAACGTGCAGCTTCGGGAGCAAGGCTCTCTGATGCCCGAGTGGTAGTAGCAGCATCATCTGCCTTGTCATCATCACTCGAGTCATCTAAGTCCTTGACAAACCAAGACATTGATGCTAGCTTTGGTGATTTGAAGATCGCAATTCGACTCTGTCTCGGGCGACCTCGGGCCTTGCCAGCCGGTCTTCTTCGGCCGTGGGGAGTCACATACACACCAGGAGCAGGTTTATCCATGACAAGAGCTTTGTATTCCGTCCAAGTCTCATCCATGCCAAGTGCTTCAAACTTCTCCTGCTTTGATAATCCCCTGAGGCTGTCGTGCTTAATTTTAGCTCTTTTGGCTCGTGGGATGTCCTCGACATATTCCCAGCCGTAACCCTGGCTCGGCTCCAGCTTGAGTTCAATTGCGGATTCCAGGACTTGAGACTCTCTGACTTCAGATTCGCTAGCTTCGTCTCTGGATCCAAATTCTTTAGCTTCGGTCTCCTCGGCTCCAGCTTCTTTGGGCTTAGATGCTTTGGCCTTGGGTTCTTTGGATTTGGCTTCTCTGGCAAGCTTTTCCACGGTTGCACGGTTCAGCCGGCCTTTCGGTCGTCCCTTGGGCCGGAAACGGGGCTCATATTGCTGCTTGGAGCCAGGCGGTAGTCTATCAGTACGTGTACGGATCACTGAGGCGCAATGTTAGAATTATGGTAATTTCTCTCATGGAAATCAAGGAAATAAGGGGCGATCATACCATGTTGACCGCTTGGTAGTTCAACAACAAACGGGTCGCTCGAAGAAAGGAGATAGTTGGGCGGTTTGACAGCCATAACCCCGTCGAGTAGAGTTGAATATGGATCCTTCAACATATTCTTTGGAAATGCCTTTTTGGGGAATCCGTGCTCATCAAGTTGGGGAAGAGCACCAAAAGGCGGAGCCTCGATTTTTAGCGATTTGGCTTTCTTGACTGGAATTTCAACGGCCTCCCATGATGCCTGGCCAGCTTCAACGAGTTTTGCGAAGTTGTTTGCCGAATAATGGACATAAAACATGATGGTCTTCTTCATTGCCATATCTCGAACGATGGCGTAATGGCGGAGATGTAGTGGCTGGGCCACTTGCCAAAGGTCGACCAAGCGATGCACCATACTTTCAGCAGGTCTCTTGTAAAAAGACCCAAAGCAGGTCCAGTTGAGGGTCTTATTTCTTTTGTTAGCTAAGAGAACCTTCATTTTATGAATAACGAGCTTACCTGGTTGGTGATGCCTGTTGTGCCTGCTCTTTCAACAATGTCAAAGATCTGGTTGTAGATATTACGATCCGGAGTCCAAGAGGGTACAATGCGTACAGCATCCCCAGCATTCTCTTTAATCTGGTCCACTCCACCATGCTCTGGACTAAGCGGCATTTTGCTCAGGCTCTCCAACTCCATGTCTTGGTCTTGGTCCGGGGTAAATTTGGTTCCTTTGGCTCGTACCCCATGCTTGTTCAAAACATCGAAATTAAACTCATGGAAAAGATCCAGATCTTGCTTTGTGGGATCTCGTAGGAGCTTGACACACGGATGCATTCTTTCGTATTGTGATTCGGCTCTCACACGTTGCACCACACCTATCCGCTCCCACTTGCGGAGCGCACGGGACAAGACTTTCCAACGCCAGTGGTCATCAAATCCCAGAAGTCGTTTCAAATCATTGCGTGCAATCAACTGGTGCTCCCGGAGAATATCGAATAGGCTTTTGTTGAAGCTGTCGAAATCAATCATGTTCTTCGATTGTGGTTCTTCTTCTTTCGTTTGAACACTTGTAGTTTGGCGGTAGAATCGCTGCAGTGTGCAGAGACTAGTTCGAGCCGTTTTGGTTTGAACAGGTCGCTTGTCGATGTAGCCCTTTCTTTGTAAAGCATCGGTACGCTTCGGAACAGACCGTTTGTCCTGGCCACTGATCTTCACCAGGTCTGGCTGCACGATACCCTTTGATTTGCGTGAAGCGATCACCGACAATAAGACAAATTCAAGTGGTAGTACCTTGGACTCGTCTGGTGGATGGCCAGTGATGGCGACCCAGGTTCTCTCTTCTGAGACATAGATTCGAAGCGGCGGTAGGGCAGAGTTCTGATCTCCAGCTTGAGTGCCTTCGGGATCATTGTCGTCATGACTCTCGATTTTTTGTGAGGCAAGCTGCTCGGCTTCATCTAAGGTGAGATGGTTCCACTCATTGTGCTGGCCGATGGACACCTCAGGGTTAGCCGTGAGCCAGGACCAGACCTTCTCTTTGAAACGATGATCAATTTTTTGGGTTATTTCAGTCGTTTCGCGAGACTGGGTATGGTAATCATCAATAGCTTGGAGTAGATCGGATAAGGTTGCGCCTTGGTGTCTGTTAGTCTTCTATAAAGTATGTATAACAATAACAACGCCCAATCAGGGCTTGAGAAGGATATAGATCGGCATTAGGTCTGCGCCGCAAGAACGCAGACTCAACCCCGTCATGACAAAGTCCCGAAAGTGTAAGTATGACAGGAATTCAACATGTTCCAACATTTTGCTTTGGGCTTTCGACATAATTTTGGTGACATTGAAAATCCACATGCGACATGACATGCGTCTCCGGGGTGAGGAAAAGTGGGTCCTAGTGAAGAGACTATACACACCTTGATTGCCGCAGAGTGCGACTTCGTTCAGCACGAAGTCGATAAGATGTTGTACACCAGGCATGGCTACATCTCTTTTTTTGGGATCGAAAGAGGAAGATTAGAAATGAGAAAAGAAAGAATGTGGGTAGGGGAAGAATTAAAGAAGGATAGAAATTTTCTGAAGGGGAGGACTCGAACGCCGGAGCTCACCAATTCTGCAAAAACGGCGATTGTCATGTCACATGACCTTATCTTATCTTTAACAATGGCTATTGATGCCTTGTTTGTCGGGCATCTTCAATGATTATTGAATCAATGATTATTGAAGGGTCTATTAACTCGACCAATAAAGGCCTTTTGATTGTAACAATTCTATTGGATTTCAGAGGTCCCTGGTCCTTCCGAGGTTTCTTGGAATCCAAAGCACTTTGGATATTGTAAAAACAGGTATCCACAGTGCCAAGCTGTTCTCGCCACCGTCTTCCAATCTTCTCCAACGAAGCCAAGGTATTTTTAGATCCATATAGTATTCGTTTTGAAAGAAAAGTGAGAGCAGGTTTATTCAATTGTTTAACATTGCATTAAGATGTACGGGGTAGTATGTTGTGGGACCCACGACACAGCTCTATAGAATGTATGTTGTACATTCATACGGAGTAGATCATAGGGCATTTATGAGCACAACAAACGGGGTCTAGGTCGGGATCGGCGTCCGAATCAACCGATGTCACTTTCAGGTCTCCCGAGGTTCCCTGTTTTCTACATATTTGTGCATACCTAGGGACTATTCTTATACACCGTATGAAGACGTGTCTACTACATACTGACATCGTTCCCAGATTCCTTACTAGATGCTACATAGGGAGACGATTAAATGATAATTTTTACAATCATAATGTCAAGAGGCAAAATAAGACTTGGCAAGTAAGATGTAGGCGAAAGGCGAAAATCAAAAGGAGAAGCACGAGACATAACGAGGCACACGCACAAGGCATACGAGGTACAAGACATTGAAGATATCAGTTTCGCCCGGATGGTTTGATGTTTTGAATGACATCATAGGCCCTTACGTCAGGTACCTGGGATCACAGCCAAATTTGTATGACAACGGAAGTACCTGTCTCCGTTGTTTCCGGCCAAAATTTCCTAGACTGATTTACATTCGCCTCTGGACTGTTCTTGGATTTTTCCCCTTTGGAAAACCATTCAGATTTAACATTACATGCTCGCCATGTCCTAATAAATCCCTCCTTCACCAAACAACCGCGTGTTTCCCCCGAACCTATCAACAGCGCTTTGCCACACCGATGGAAGAAGGAACCGTCCCAACACCCACCTCGGAGCCTCCTCCGCTCCCATACTCGTTGCGCACCAGGAAAAAGTCGATCGCCTTTTTCTGGACCATCTTTGTGATTGATACCTTGGCTCAGCCCTTGATTCTATATTGGTGTCTTTGGTATCTCACGGATCTATCACACAACGTGGGTATGTTTTGCGTGGAATAGATACACTCCGTTTAGATTGCTAATCTCAATGTGCAGTCTTCTCGATTGTCACCGCATCACTTGGAGGAGTCTCGGTCTTCGAATACTTTTACCGCCTACACAATCTATTCCGCAAAAACTCCAGGGCCCGACCCCTGAACTCTCGTGTATCATGGGTAAGTTTCAACCTAGGGTTGATTATAGACCATTGACTGACACCTCTCGGTAGCTGGATTTCTTTCAAATCAACTTCACCATTGTGTGGTTGATTCTAGCGGTCGAATTAGTCGTGTAAGTCTAGCACAGATCATAGGAGCAGAGGGGAACAAGGAGCTAACAAGTTCGCAGTGGATCGGTTCCTGAAGAACCATACGGTTAGACCACCCCACTATGACATCGTGCCATCTGTATCATACTGACCGCTTCAATAGTGCGCCTCATCGCCATGGTCCTACCAACCGTCATGTTCTACTTCGGCATCGTCTACCTTTCTCTCGACATTTTCCGTATGATGGGCTTCAAGGCCCCGTTCCGAATTTCCTCCACGCCCAAAGGCTCCGTTATGCCCACTGCATTGTATGCGCTTATTGAAGACGTGGTGGCAGTCGACGGTGGTGGTGGGCAGATATATCGATATGCTCTACGAACTCGATACCTATCGAGTCCTTATTTCCGCCGTATGCTCTTCGAGATGAACTGTTTCTGGAGTGGAGGATCCATCATATTCGCCGCCGCCATTACCGCAGTGGTCTTCACGGTTCAGGAAAATGTTGCATTCACGGTAAGCGGGAATCAACTCAACTTCGAATTGCAGTCAGACTAACCTCCAGTATAGTTGGGCTGGACCCTTCCGTTTGCCTGGGCTATTGTCTGGACCGTGATCACAATTCCCTGGGTCCAGAGTGACCTGCGTCGTGAGAAGAAGGCGTGGGCAGAAAACCGTGGACAAGGCGGCATCCCGTGGGTTGACGATATCAGCGCACCCACTGCACGTACCCGTTTTGCGTCCGTTCAGGCCAACGTCTGGCCCTGGACTCGTGATAAGCAGAGCCCCCCGGCGACGCCATCTGAGCAGACCGAGAAAATCCCCGATGCCCCCAGTGGAGCCTCCAATGGACCTCTTGGTATCTCCAACGATGCCTCCGGCAGTGCGCCTCATGGTGCACCTCACGTAACTGATGAAACTTATGATGGCGCAACCCTCGCGCCCAATGCTGAACCATCTACGGAGAAATTATCCGTGTAATAGGTATGCGATGAAGCTTTCTTATTTTGGTCTTTGGTTGTACATGGAAAATGCATTCTGGGAGAGAGCTTTTCTAGATTTTGACATTCTTTTAGTTTTGATTCTGCTGTGCAGGCTAGTGTTGTTGTATATAGATACCCTCTGTTTATTCTCTGGGGAGCATGAAGCTTTTGTTATTATTTCATCTAGAATGGACCATGAAACGCCTTCTTCCCTTCTCTCCCCCCTTCTCTCCCCAAAGACTTGTGCCTTTTGTGGCCTCGTGAATAAAACAAATTCAACAAGGTGGAATTGTGGTTGATTGAGGTGGTCGACTCTATACAATAAAAGCGGCGAGAGGTTAGTCCTCAAATGGAAATGGAAAACCGTGAGATAGAACGGAGTAAACAAGCGTCCCCCTGGATAGATTGCATATGTAACCTCAGCATGTGAACTGCACATGCACATGTAGTGACAGGAGATGATATGGAAGATCATATCCCACCAATACGGAGATTTCTAGTGAAGACCCATATAGATTGCATCTTTAATTTATACTACTGTAACTCCAAGGCGCTACGCTACCTCACTGCGGGGGTTGAGATCTGCACTGTTCGTCAATGTAGTAATCGGGTCGGATAACATCTCGGATACACCTACGATCTTCACATTGGAGTTCGAGCTATAAAATGGGATTGATCCGGGGAAGTAAACAGCAACCCATTCCTGCAAGCCATGAAGAGATCTATCTCAGGGTTTCTGCTTCTGGTCTTTGGCCTGCTGTCCGTAGCACAGGCAGCTGATCCATTCACTTATGACAATAACACTTTCCTTCTTCATGGAGAGCCCTACCTCCTCCTGGGTGGCCAGATGGACCCGCAGCACATCCCTCACGAACTATGGCCCGATCGCCTGGAAAAGGCACGCGGCATGGGCCTGAATACCATTTTCTCCTATGTGTTTTGGGATCAACTTGAGCCTAAACAAGGAGAATGGGATAACACCGGCAACAATGACATCGCAAAGTACTTCCGACTTGCAAAGGAGAAGGGATTGAACGTGATCCTGCGGCCCGGCCCGTATGTTTGCGCCGAGCATGAATGGGGCGGTTTCCCAGCTTGGCTCAGCGAGGTTCCGGGAATGGTTGTTCGTGACAACAACAAGCCTTTCCTAGATGCCTCCAAGGCTTTCATCGACCGTCTGGCAAAGGAGGTGGGTGATCTCCAGGTCACCAACGGAGGACCCATCTTGATGGTCCAAATCGAGAATGAGTATGGATCCTACGGAAGCGATCATGTGTACTTGAACGCTTTGAAGGATATCTTCACAGCTGCTTTCGATGTACCCTTCTACACCAATGATGGCGGCACCGAGGCTATGCTCAAGGGTGGCCAGATCTCGGGTGTCTTAGCTGAGACGGACGGCGACGTCTATGAGGGATTTGCTGCCCGCGACAAATATGTCACCGATCCTACTAGTCTCGGACCCCAGCTTGATGGCGAGTACTATATCACATGGCTCGACCAGTGGGCTAGCAACTACGTCCACAAATCCAACGTCGGAAACCAGGAAGCGATTGATAAAATCACCACAGATGTCAAGTGGCTGTTGAACAACAACGGCTCATTCAATCTCTTCATGTTCCACGGCGGCACCAACTGGGGATTCCAAAATGGAGCTGACTGGGCCGATGCCTTACAGCCCATCACCACGAGCTACGACTACGGTGCGCCCCTCGACGAAACAGGTCGCAGGAACGACATTTACCTTGCGATCCGAAAGACCATCGCCGCCGTTGTCGGGGAAGACACCCTCCCCGCTCTTCCAGACGAGGAGCCATTGATTGAAATTCCATCCATCAAGCTCACCCCATCTGTAGACATCTTTGATTCCCTCCCCGACCCCATCGAGAAAGAATCCCCAGTCAACATGGAAGCCGTCGGACAGTCGACTGGACTCATTCTCTACCGACATGTCATCACAACACCCGTCAAGGGCGCCATCAAAGCCGGTGATAAGCCCCGTGATCGTCTAATCGTCTATGTCAACAAGAAGCGCGTCGGCGTGATCGACGGTACATACAAGACACCGCAAACCGTCAATCTGGACCTGAAGGAAAGCGATGTCCTCGACATCCTAGTCGAGAACCTGGGACGCGTCAACTACGGCGGCGAGATTGTGGACCAGCGCAAGGGAATCGTTGGCGACGTCACAGTTGGCGAGAGTGTGCTTTCCAAATGGGCGATCTACCCATTACCCTTGGCGACACCGCCCAAGGCTACCGAGAACACAACGCTGAAGCCCTCCGCTACGTCCGGTCCTATCTTCTTCACCGGCTCATTTGACTTGGATAAGGTTGGTGATACTTTCCTCGAGCTGCCCGACTGGACCAAGGGCGTGGTTTGGGTTAATGGAGTCAATTTGGGCCGCTACTGGACTGTGGGCCCGCAGCAATCGCTTTATCTTCCATGGTGTTATCTTCGCAAGGAGAAGAACGAGATTACTGTCCTTGCCCTCGAGCCTACGGGGACTGACAGCGCCGTTCGTGGAGTCACCTCGCGCACCTGGGGAAATAACCCTGATCCGGATGCTCCGTGAAATGAGGATATCAAGATACGATGATAGGTCGCAGATATACATGAATGACTCAAATGAAACAGTACATTAAGTACTTCCCAACAAATTGCTGTTACGCCTAGAATATAACCTGCGGGATTGCGAAAATGACCGCTTTTAAGGCCAGAGACGGCTGCCTTTCCACCCGTAACCTTGTCCAGTTTACGAAGATGTATAGAGACCAGGACTCAAAATCCCTGTTATAAGAGGCTGATTCCTTGATTGCTATTACATATGCCAGGTAGCCTGGTTCTTCTAGCGTTCACACGTGTCAAAGATAATGCTTTGGGCCTCTAAACAAATAGACGTGTCTCTCTCACATAAGAGACAGTCATTTCTATGGCATTACATCATTTATAGATCTCTTCGGTAGTCTTCTCAGCGATCTTCTTAGATACTCTTCTTGAGTATTTTATAAAATAGTTCGTCGCGGTGAGAAATCACGATAAGGAGAGACAACCATTGCCTTTGATGGAACTGTTGGAGTTGAGATGGCACCTCTCCGGGGATTGCTGCGATGCAGGGAGGAGCAGATGAGGATGACGGTGGATCCTTTTCAGTCACATCAGGGTACGAAGATGTATAGCTATCAGGGTTCAAACCCCCTTTATAGGGAAATAATCGTGCCTGTCGTTTTGCACCGCTCCATCCATCGCCTTATACAATGTACTATAAACTCTCAACGTTCTCAACTGTCGAAAACGAAGCTTTTGTTCCCATACAGTTAGAGATATCTCCATGTCTTTGCACAATCTCCAAGTATCACGCACTGATTTTGTGAAGTCCATACAACTGAAGATATCCCTATTTCTACGACGGTTTACAGGTATGGAGAATTCAAGCTTCTTAATCCCATACAGTTGAGTATCTCCCTATGTTTGGGCGGTTACAAGTCCTAGAACTGAAGTCTTTGATCGCCATCGAAATCGGGATAACATTTTGGGTAGTCGCAGGTGTCAAAAATCAACACCAGCAGAATCAGGGAATACAGTCATTGTTTTTCCTCCTTCGTCAGCTCCACTGGCGGAACGCCGGTGTCGTGCGCCCAATACAACTTGTCAACACGCCCACCGTCGCTCGATTGGAAGATGGCTTTCCAGAAATCTGGGCCTTGGTCCGAACCCACCCAGCGGCCACGTCTGGATAACTCGTTTCGTGGAAGTAGCCACGTGAAGGTGTCATCTTCATAGTGTGCAAGTGGGAACTTCTCCGAATCAAGACCTTGCAGCCTCCAGTAGAGCTGATTGTCTTCCAAATCCACAACAATCTTGAAGACCCCAATGTCATCCCGGTAAGTCCCAGTATACGACTCCAGTGCTCTAGGTGATGTTCCGTTCTTCCGAGCCGAGCTTAGCTCCGCTTCCAGCGTGGGATACCACTTCAAATTCTCAGCGACCGAGGAATGAGCAGCTTGAATGTAATCATTTCTCTCAGATTCCGGGACCTCGAGGAGCTCTTCAAGGATGAGTTGGCCAACCCAATCAGGAACATCGTTTAGGGCTAACGAGTTCGACAAAACAATGATCATGCTATCAGTGTCTGGAAGTAGAATCACCACTGCGAGGGCGCCAGGAAGGCTGCCCTGGTGGAACAAGACAAGCTGGGAGGGAACGCCTTTCCCAGCAACAGGCATCCCATCAGGCATCAAACCATGGTTGATTCCAATCTGCCCCAGTCTATTAGGCAGCTGGGCTCTCCCCCATCCGAGTGCATATGATAGCTCATTCCTTGAGGGTTGATCCATGGGAATCTTAGCGGAAGTGAGATGCGAAACCTGTTTGAAAGGAGAACCTTCGGTCGCGCTCTTCCCAGTGCTGAATTGATGTTGAACGCTAGCGTTGAAAGTTCTGTATAACTTTGAAAGATCACGAACGCAGGACCATGCGCCACCACTGGGACCAGAGTACCAATCTTGGCCTGCCTTAGGGCGAGGAATTCGGACGGCGGAGGCATCATCAAGTGCATTATAGCACTGGGTGACGTCTGGGATACCCGATGGTGGAGGCTTCAGGTAGGTTCGATCTAGGCCGAGAGGATCGAGAATGCGACTCTGGACAAAGTCGAACCATGACATGCCACTTACTTCCTCGATGACATAGCCCGCCAGGTTATACGTTAGATTGTTATAGGACATTGCGGTCCGAAACGGAAGAAGGCGCGGCTGTGAATTTATGTACTCCAGCCCATCCTTTCCTGGAATGAGAATGTTGTTTTCGGTCCCGATAACCAAGTTACTACACCAGGCCATGCCCGATCGATGAGATAGGATATCTGTAACAGTCAAGTGATTCTGTATTGTCTCGTCTCGGGAATTGAACGCTGGAAGAACGTCCTTGACCAGTGTGTCCCAAGTGAGTTTACCCTCATCTACAAGGATCGCCATCGCGGACGCCGTCAACGCCTTGGTCAACGAACAAATCGGAAAGATCGTTTCATGAGTGACGGGTAGACTGGCTTCTGTGTCTCGGGCGCCAAAGCTTGCCTCATAGACCGATTTGCCGTTTGACATGACTTCGAGCGAGAGTCCTGGAGTTCCGCCAATGCGCATCAACTCTTCAATCATCGGACGGAGGCCGTCCAGTCGTGTTGGGAGTTCTGCCATTTTGAAGCCTGCTCGCGGTGCGAGAGTTAGGCCTGGATAGTGGGCAAGAGTGGCGACGAAGTGGAAACTCACGACCTGAATCTGGAAGGACTGTACTATCTTTGCTCTCGGGGTTGATGGGATTGTTAATCAAATTTAAAAGGCCAGGATTTGCATGACACATGTCAAGATAAATAGAAAGGTCTTGAAGATGGGGGCAGGACTACCACTTTATGGGGAGCTAGTGTCAGCCAACCTAAACAGGCTAGGTATCTACTAAGCATGTCCCAAATCCTTTCCCATGGAGATAGGTGGATCACGGACTGTATTGTTACGATACACAACACGTCTCTGAGATCTCAACGAGATAGAACATCGAGATTATAGATTTGTAGCTGTTTTTTACACCATTTCACAGCCTTCAGGCCTTGATAAGTTACTATAGCCAACCTCGGAGTACGGAGTAGTGAAAGAGTCGATCACCACTTAAAGAGAAATAAGCATATGGCGACCGTGAATTATGGCACCTCTAGGCCCTGGGGATCATGGGTTGGGTGGCCTGGTAAAATACACTAAAGTAGTTCTCCCACAATAAGCACTCCGAAGTGGAGATCAACTTCCCGTTCCATTTCGATGACTAGGACTCCGTAGTCAGTATATCCCACATTGACGGGATCCCTTATCTCTTCAAAGTGAGACCCCCACTTGCACAATATCCCCAACAGAAAGATAGATTGCCTCGTTGAGAATCCCAATCAATTCGCCACATGGCTAGGATAGTGTCGATGCTCCTATCTGCCATGTTTGCCTACTAAGGAGCCGGAAGTGCTTATGAATTGAGGTGAGGGCATTGAAGATGTTTCCAGGAAGGTCACTTGCCCTTGTGGGACTTCCGGGGGGTTTTGCACTGTTTGCATGGGGACCCTCGAAAGGCTTCCCCATCCTTGGTGCACAAGACTTTTCTATGTATCACTTCTGATCCAGATGCTTATGTTGAATAGGTACGAGTAAGAACATTTGAATGTACCTTGTTCTATATGGGCAAGAGGAACCGGTGTGTACATGTATCAAGAAGATCAAGACCCTGTCCCGGCAGAAAAGAAGTCGGTCACAAGGGGACCCATAACAATATAACAGAATGCCCCTTATCGCCTCTATGCCAATGTCTTCGACCCGGGTAACAAAAACACAAAACTTCTCCCCGCCAGAGACCGAAAATAGGATGGAAAAAAGGAGATAACGCCTATGTACGGCCCGCTGCAGGTAGAGGGTATCTAGGAGACACGAGGGGCCTGGTCGGAACAAACAGATGGTGTACAAAGAATGGGGGTTTTAAAAGGGTGTAGAGGTATTAGGCAAAATAGGAAGAGAAAGAGAAGAAAAGAGGGGATATAGTGCAAGATAAAGCAACGCGGTCATTTTCGGAATGTCAGCTTCCGGCCGATATTGCGTATTGTTTTGATGTGACTAGAACCGAGTCAGTTGCTTTGCCTTGGTATTATGTGACCAGGAGCCGGGATCCATACCTGTCATCCTGATCATTCTTGCCGGCTCGGATCGTACTCGCGGTTGGGCCAGAGGTCATCGGCCTTTCGGGTGCAGGGGGATTGACAAATCGACGCGATGCCTAATCATGTATTAGCATTCGGGGAGATTCATGGTGACAGAATGAGACAGAAGAATACGAACCTCCCAGCGAGAATCCACATCCACCTCACTAGCGGACCGTGAGTCATGGATAGTGGGATCTGAATAACTTGTGTCGTGGGCGTCTGAGCCCAATGAGGTGGATCGGGCCAATGGCGAGGCATTCGACTGCATGGACTTGCGCGAGCGCGACTCCGAATAATCGCTGTTAGAGTCGTAGCTGGCCACACTGAGGGCTTGGCTACTGCTTGGGTTCATCAAACTAGGTGTATTTGGCAGGAGTTGAGACGATGAAGCAAGTTCACGGAAACGCTTCTGTTGCTGCTTCGAGGGTCGGTGATGGGAGAACTTGTTACCAAGTATGGCAGGGGCGTGCGAGATAAGAGCTTTGATCACGTCTTTCTTGAGGCGCAGGGCGAGATCCAGGTTCGACCACGTCTTGTTGCTGTACTCAAGAACTGGAAGGCGGAAGACGAAATCATGGAGATCCTCCAAGTTGTGCTCTCCTTTGCCCTTGTAGCTCAGGCAGAGCACCACATCGTTGACCTTCACACGTGCGAGGGTCATGAAGTTGGAGGCGCGGGATATCATTTGGGACAGATCGTCAGTTGGCGCTTTAGATTTGCCGCTCTTGTTGGATCCTTTACCGATTCCGAATTTCTTGCGACTATCTTCACCAGCACTGTGGCTAGACAGGGATCTTTCAGTCGGCTGTCTGGTCAACATTCGCAGACTATCAGCAGACTTCTTTTTGCTGAGACCACCAGTTGTAGCCGGTCGGCCCGTTTTGCGCGCCGTCTCTGATACACCCAGTCGGTTGCTATCTTGGTGAAGAGGTGTCATCACAAGACCCTTCAGATGGCCTGAGCGATTGCGCGACTTAGTCTCATCCGAAAGCGACAGTGTAGGCTGGAGTCGTAGTTCAATGGCGCCCGGTCCCTTGGAGATGGCGAGACTGTCCATAGACGAGCTATCACCGTCGATACTTGTTGAGCGTGTCAGCGGTGTCCCACTTGAGCCTTCATCGTCATCTTCCTCATCCGAGCCTTCATCAAACACCTTCATGTTCTTGATCATGAAGGGCGAGAAGCCACCAGCCTCGAAGGCACTAGACCCCACGTTGGGGAAGATGTATTCGAAGACTTTCTGGCCTAGCTCACGTTCGAGCTGTATCTTAAGTGGGAACAATGAAACTTCGAAGTTGTCAAGCACGGGGATACCGGCAACGGCCTCCAGCATGTGCCATTTGACGCGCAACATGAAGTCGTCCAGGGTACGTGCGCCGTCGAGGTAAGGTGCGATAATCTGAGGGTAGATGGCGTCTGGAAGCAAGTTCAACCCAAATAGACGCTCGATAGATACCAGATTGTGGTTCGAGCCATCAGTATTGTCGGTTCGTTCGTACGAAGCATTGCGCAGCTGAAACTCAATCAGAGGCTCAGAGGCCTCCTTCATGAGGTGCCACACAACCTCACTTGCTGATATGCTCCAGCGTAGTACGCCATGGGCGCCAGCTGCTCTGGACGAACTTGGCTCCATCCGCCGTTGAGAAGTTGTGATTGCCTTCATCATGAAGAAAAGCTCATCCTCGCATTGACACAAGTCGCGTTCGAGGGCCAATCGATCCTCCCAACCCTGTTTGTCTAGGAACTTGGCGTTAATCTGGAAATACTCTTTGATCTCCTCCAATTGGCGAATGCGTGCTTGAAGTTTGAACACCATTTCTGGGGCGCCACGAAGATCACTGAAGTCAGAAGTGAGCATGATCCTCTCCAGGCGCTCGTTTCGGACCTTTTCTAGCGGTTCGCTGTAGAGCATAAGGTCCAGGACAATGATGTACATGGAATAATATTCTGCGGAATCACAAATTGCGCGGAAATGAGGGAAGTCGACACTGATGGAGTCTATGCGGTCTTCTTGGTCCTCCGGATGAGGCCCTTGTTGACCCGTTGCAACCTCTTCATTATACTTGAGGCGGAGATTGTTGAACTTGTCGTAACGCAGGGTGGCAGAAGTCTTTTGCACAATACGAGAGAATCCAAATGGATTCAACTCGAAATCGAACATAGCTTCCAAAGTCAACCACGGCGGCCACGCTGATCCGGGCGCGTTTCCATACTTATTGCCAGCATAGAATTGCAAGTTCGCCATCAATTTCTTCTGTGTTGCAACGAAGAACTGGGCACCGTCCATCTCAAGGAAGAAACGGCGTTGTATCAAGCCGCTAACATCGTCCGCGACACGCGCTTTGTCCATGATTGACACGACCTTGAGTTCCATACCTTTAGCTGCCACAAGTAAGACCGACTTCTGGTTCTTTTCACTAAGAAGCTGGATTTGAGGCGCAATAAGGCGCAGGTGATAACTGTTCTGAGGGGTGAACTCCGGCACGATATTCTCGCTTGAATTGTCCGAATTAGGAGATGATTGAGGGTTCGAATCCGCTTGAGAGTTCGAGTCTGCTCGGGGGTTCGGGTCCGATGGCTCTTGCTCTGCAACATTCACAAAGCGCTTGGCATCACTCAGCAAGTCTGCGATGCGTTCATCAACCTCCTCTTCATCTTCATCGGTATATGAGCTTCGGGTTGAGCTTCGAGTTTGCGTCTTCGACATCTTAGACTGCCTGCGCTTGTTCCTGTCCTGTTCCTCCACGATGTCAAGAATGAATTTGACGGCGCGGCGCGACATATAGTAAACAAATCCACGCCGCTGGCTGACCTGGTGACTGTACCGCAAGATGATATTGCGCAGCGAATTGTTCCATTTGAGTTGCACGTTGTGGATCATGAATCGATTGTTGAAATCACTCGAGAACTCATCGTTGCCCTGCGGGTAGATTCCATCCATGCCTGAAGAGCGGCCATCGGTTGTGGACTCGGCATAATGAGCTGTGTGTCCTGTTCGGGAAGACGCAGTGCTAGGTGCAATATTTTTGCCAAGCGTGTTGCCATGTGGTGTCCGCTCGTCCCGTGAGATGTGCCTTTCGAGACGATTGAGAGTTGTGGTCAAGAACTTGCGTCGTCTTGCCAACGACTCGGACTGGCGAAGGAATAACTCATGCTCTGCCTTCAGATCTACGTTGCTGTCCACGTCTCTCATGAGCTTGAGTTCTAATTCCCCAAGCGTGCGTTCAAAATTGCGAATTTGTGCCTCGACTGTTGCAAGACGGTCTTTGACCAACTCAATCTGAACACCGCGAAGATCATTGGTTTCCGACATAACACACTCGTGAGTCGGTTCATATCCAAAGGTACTGTAGCCCGTTTCATCGGGTCCAATATCGTAATGATCTGTGTTGCGGATGTAGGTGAATCGCGGGGTGAAGGCCAGAGGTAAGATCTGGGTACGAGGGTTCGATTCCTGCGGAAGGATCC